TTTTTACATTTTGTCTTTTTTTCAAGTAAAATAATACTTTTCACAATTAATAATTTCTTTAAATCTTTTAAAATACCTCCTATCTTTTGTAAAAGTAATTTTGTGACTTATGGAATTGTTGTATTTTTTGTATCCAATCAAAAAATATTCCTGTCTTGTTAAATTAATTTTGCATTTCAATTAACTTCTAATATATTTTTAAAAATTCTTCACATTAAAAAAGAATAATTTTAATCTTGTGAAACATTTATTGGGAAATGTTTTTTGCTTTTCATAAAATATAAATATATTTTGAAAATATTTAGATTTCTAAAAAATATTTAAGGTAACTGAAACGTTTTTGCACTTTATAAGATGTATTTTCATTTTTACAAAAAAAAAAATCTGCACCTTTTAAAATAATTTCATAACTTTTGAATATTTTTTTATTTCAAGCAATACCTTTTTGTTTGGATTCATTAAGAATTAAACTTTTTTAAAAAACATTTTTTGAAAAATTTTCTGCAGTCAACTTAATATTTTTACATTTTTTGAGATATGATTGAAGAAGTGTCGCACATGTTCATTTCCTGGCCTCAGAGTATACCAAACCAGTAAGAGGAGAATACATGAGAGTGATGCTTCTCATGCAGAGAAGATGATTCATCAGAGTTTAAATACCAACAGAAATTCCTGCTGCAGTATGTGTGTGTGTGTGTGTGTGTGTGTGTGTGTGTGTGTGTGTGTGTGTGTGTGTGTGTGTGTGTGTGTGTGTGTGTGTGTGTGTGACCCAGTGACACACTCAGCTGTCAGGATCGATTGGTGCTGCCTGACTCTGGGATCAGCTCTGGTTCTCTGACTTCATCGTACAGTGTCTGCTCCACCACCCATCATGACAGCCACACACACACACACACACACACACACACACACACACACACACCGATCACCCTCACCTCCTCACCTCTGCTCACTCTCTCCTGCTCTTTTATTTCTTCTGTCTTCTACTTCACCTCCTTCTTTACTCCCTTTGCCTTTTCCCTACAAAACACCTCCTCTTTAGCTTTGTCGTTCACCTCATTCACCTTCTGTCCCTTCTTGTCCTCTTTTTCTCCTTATTCTTTTTCTTTACCTCCTCTGTTGTTTCTCTTCTCCTACTCTTTTTCACTTTCCATACATCCTGTCCTCCCTTCTATTTCTTCTTCTCTCAGTTTCTCCTTCCCTCCTTCCAAACCTCCCTCTCCTCTTCCTCATTTGCTTTTACGTGCCTCATTTTTCTTGTCCCTGTTCCCTACTTCTTTTTTCCCTCCTGGTCCTCTTTTCCTTTCTTCCAAAACACCTTATTCTTTTCCTTTTTCCTGCCTCCCTTCTTTCTCACCTCTTTCTTCTCTTCTCTGTTCTTTGTCCATCTTCTATGATTCCTATTCCTTCTTCTCTTTGTTCCTTTTTCATTCTCCTTCTATTCTTCTTCTCCTTGACTCTCTTTTATAATTCTACCTTTTTCTTTCTTCCTCCCTTTTCCCTTCACCATCCTCTCCCTCCTCTGTATCTTCTTTGCTCCCTTCCTCTGTCCCACCTTCTCCTCTCTGTTCTTTTGCTCAATCTCCCCACTCCTCCTTCCCTCTGCAGCAGCTGAAACATTCTGCAGAGGTGATCAGATAATAAAATAGTTTCTTCTGCTAAGAGACCAAAGGGAGGAAGGAGAGAAAATAGAAGAGCAGAGCAGGGAAACGAAAAGTCGGGAGAGGAGAAACGATTAAACCTGAAAAGGGAGTAAGAGGAGGAGGAGGAGGAGAGGGAGGAAAGCCAGAGAGAAGGACTAAAATATCAGATAGAAAGTGTGTGTGAGGCTTCAGCATCATCTCTCTCTCTACCCTCAGTGCCAACACTGTGCTGCAGAGGCTAATCAATCACCCCCAACACACACACACACACACACACACACACACACACACACACACACACACACACACACACACACACACACACACACACACACACACTAGCTTAACTGGTGAACTACATAAGGGAAGCATGGGCAACTCAGAACAAGTCACTTCCTGCTGTATGCACACTTACTCTTCAATTGTCATTTGCCATAGAACACCAGTAATAAAGCAACTGCATCCTTGGTGGGTTCCACTGCCTCTACTTTTTATCTTTTGGCAAATTTGAGAAGAGGAAAACATGTGTGAACAAAATTAAAGACACCCTCAAATATTAAATAAATATTACAAATATTTCATATGAATGCAAATAAATATGCATATAAAGAATATAAATACAAATTAGGACATTATGAAAATGTGATTTGACTTAAATCCACATCAGAACAACATAAACAACAAAAAAGTGTAACAAGTGCGAACAAAATTGTAGACACACTGAAATAATGAAGCAGTTGTGTCCTTGGTGGGTTCTACTGCCTTTACTTCTTATCCTTTGGCAAATTTGGGTCGAGGAAGACAATGATCTCAGTTTTGTCAGCTGTTGGTAACTTCTTTTCCATTCTAATATTTGTCCTGTCTTCGAGAATATCCCCTGAATGGAACCAATGTTGCCACTACACAGAGCTTCTGAACCATGACTTTGGTAAGGCTGGGGTCCACAAGGGCCTGGCTTGTCCACCACAGAAAGGCATCTTCATTTTTAGGAAGATCTCTCTTCCAGATAACCCCACATCTCCATGACCACCACCCCTCTCTCTAACATACACACGCACGCACGCTCACACACAAGAAAGACCAGATCATAAAGACAGAAATAACATTTCCAAATGTTTCCATGAGTGGCAGAAAAGTTAAGCTGTTTCACTGTGCTCTAAAAATATAAGAACAAGCGTCAGATTTTTCTGTGCACACACAACTTCAACTGAGGCTCTACATCCCCTACATAATCCTCATAATCATTGGTAATAGATGAAAAAAAAATGCTAAAAAAAAAGAATACCCTCTTTGTCTCACCACAGACTCGAATACAGTTTTAGAGATGTGGTAAATTAAGGCAACAGATAACAACAGTGTTCTGTCACATCAAGATTTTTTCTCGACCAACTTACATATTTCGGGCAGCATCTCTGTTAGATTTTTCACTTTGTGGTCCTTATAATCGAATATGTTAACATGCATACCATATTCCCTTTATTAATCAGAGGTGAGAGTGAGTTGATCACCATCTCTCGAGTTCTCATGTCTGAAAAATACAGCAGAAGTGCCCTTTAAGATGCTTCAGCCCTGACATAAATAAAACATAAAATTTCACCCTCCAATGTCCTTTCCATAAAGATATACAGCCTATACTGCAATAGTGGCAGCACCTTTAAAAGCTCACATAAGAAAGAGTGCCATCTTTCTGATATAAAGTACTGGTAGTACCCAAGATGCTTTTCAAGCAAACAAAACTTTGGATGCCCCTTTAAAACAGTGGAAAAAATAACTCCCGAATATACTTTTAGCATATTAGACATTTAAAATAGTTCCTCTGGCTACCCTTCCAGTACAACCTGGCAAAAAAGTGCCTCCCTGGATGCATTCAGAGCAATTAAAACATGCCCTTTCAGGATATAAATTGTGAAGAAAAAAAAAAAAGCTTTCTGACTGTACCTTAAGCAAATTTAACCCTAGGTAGTCTTATTTGGATGAACTTTCAGCATGTGAAATGTGGGGGAAAAAGTGTTTTCAACATGCCCCTTCATTCAATAGAGTATCCAAAAAGTGCCCTCTTAATGCCCTCCAAGTACATAAAACATGGGAAAAGTGTACTCTGGATGCCCTGTCATATACATTAGGAAAAAGGGTGGCTTCTTGTTGCACTCTTCAACTACATTATGCTAAGTGTCATCTGGATGCTCTTCCAGCTTTCAAAATGCAAAAAATGTTCCCTCTGGATTTCCTTTCAAACTGTAAAAAAGGGGTCCTCTGGATGCCCCTTTTGAAGTATTAAGAGTGGAAAATTTGTTCATTGTGTGTTGTTTTTATATATAAAACATGGAAAAGGGCCTTTGGATGCCTTCAAGTATATGAAAATGTGGTGAAGTACCCTCTGAATGCCCTTTTAACATTCTCAAACTTGAAAAGGTGTCCTTTGGATGCTCTTTCATTGCATAAATGTACAAAGCAGTCTCTGAATGGCTGTCTCGTATATTGTTATCGGAAGAAATCAAAATTTACAAAAAGTGCCCTCCTGGATTTCCCTCTAGCAATATTCAACTTAAAAATGGTGCCCTCTTAAAGTGTTGGTATAAAAAAATGAAAAAGTGCCCTAACAGTATGTAAAAATGTTGTAAAAATGCCTTTTGGTTCCTTTTTTAATATATCAAAACTGAGAAAGTCCCTTCCTCATGCTAGCACATAAAATGTAAAAAAGTGCCCTGTCTTGTATGTTAAACTGGGAAAATTTGCCCTCTGTATGTTTTCTTAGTATAAAAAAACATGTGAAAAGTCCTTAAAGGCTGCCCTTATAATATGTAAAATATAGTAAAAGTGCTCCTCTACTTGATAAAACATTGAGAAAGTACCCTCTGGGTGCACCTCCAGATAAAGTATGATAAGGGAACCATTTGTGGTATTTTGGCTTTAGACAACATAAGTTTAGTTAAAATATAAGGTATTGGTGCCAAGTTTAATACTTGGGTTGAGTTTTGTTGAAGTGTTAAATTTATGTATTAATTCCCAATTGTGCTGACTGAAATCTTTTTACTCACCTCCAAATCCCACGAAAACATCACGTTATCTTCATCAATATTTTATCACTTTTTTACTTAATTAATTTGCAGTAAAAAGACCAAAAAGTATCATCATCAGTTCCCTCTGTCCATGATTGTTTGTTCTCTCTTACGTCAGATTGGACTGTAAGAGATTTTCATAGAGAGTTTGGACTCCAGAAACTTATGAAGGTGTTGGTGTTTAATTCAAGTATCAGAGGTGTAAAATCTCTGAATCATTCATATAAAAACTTTTAAGTGTTTTAAGGGAGAATTATTTTACTATTGCTGCTCAAAAATGAAAAATAAACTCAAACAATGAAGTTAAAAGAATTTATTTCATCCATGTTTTTAATCCTGGTCTTCTTTATTGCTTATGATCCATGATACAAAACTAAATACAGCTTTTATTACAGAGTGTAGAGTCATCAGCAGCTATCAGTAACACACACACACACATACACACACACACACACGCACGCACACACACACACACACGATGGACTTGCTGCCCCGTTATTAGCTCCTAAATAACCTCCTCAGCCTGTCGCTCTTCAGGTTCAGACTATTTCCTGCAGCAGGTTACACTCTGCTACACATACTACACAAACTCACACACACACAGTTTGGAGTATTATATATTAGATTACAGTATAATGCATAATGAACAGTTTCACCCTGAGTCCAGCTCTGAAAATACCCCTATGACAACTTTTAGCAGCTTCATATACACACACAAACACACATAAACACAAACACACATCTTTAACACTGTGTGTCAAACTAAATGCAGCCCGGATTTAAAGGGACAGTCCATGTTTTAAAGAATAGAATTATTTGAGTTATGTATAAATTGTAAGTGTGCTGTACAGACAAGTCCAAGTTGAGTCTTTCAGGATTGCTGTTTGACTCATAACCATGGTTCATTTGAATGTGAAGTGGCCGTGTGGGACCTTTTTTAACTGTCAAAAGTTTTAGCACACTGTCCTGTTCATAAGCATCCCATACAACCCTACTTCAAAATAATTCTCCTTATGAAGAGTGTGAATGTTTGTGTGCATGTGTGTGTATGATTGACAGCTCAGTGTGCAGCATAAAAACATTTGTGACTCTTCAGCCAACACGTAAAAACATTCAGTTCATTATCAGAGACTGAAAACAGCCATGCACACACACACGCACGCACACACGCACACACACACACACACACACACACACACACACACACACACACACACACACACACACACACACACACACACACACACACACACACACACACACACACAACACACAACTAACAGCTCTACACAATAAGCATAAATGGAAATAAGACCATCAATCAGTGTTTGAATAAAGCTGCTGCGTTCATCAATCAGGATGATTTCCTGCTGCTGACGTAAGCCCCGCCCCCTACCTCAGCTCACATTCCTTCATCCTCGCCATGTGATGGATAGATGGAGGCAGAAAGGAGGGAGAATTTGGATCAGTCTGTGCTAATGAATCACTCATGGAAACAGTCACACACTCGCACACACACACACACACACACACTGTATGTGCAGCATGGGGTCAGCAGTGGGAGGAGTCTGACAGAGTCATGGTTATCCAAACGCTGCTTCATTCAGTCACAGTGAACATGAACCTACTAAACAACAAAAGAGGAGGCTTTAAATAAAAGACAGAAGACTGTCTGAACACAGCAAACACACACACACACACACACACACACACACACTTTAACATGATGCTATATTCATACACACACACACCCATTAAAGTCACACAGTGTGCAGAGGAAACAGTTAACACCAGCCCTAAAAAAAAAAGCTTGAACCCCTGACCATCAGCCATCAGTGAGTCTCCATCCACCTGTATGATCATCTTCACCTGAGAGCACACTCAGATGAACAGAAGGTCAAACCAGAGAGTGATCCCGATCCATGCAGACGGCTGGATTCAAACTAGACTACAGAGTAAATGTTCAATATTATACACCTGCACCAGTGTGGGTGTTTAATTCTTTATCCTCACTGATGTCAAGAAATTCCTGTTTAATGGAACAGCATTTACACTTTTCAGAAGTTCCACTTTGGTGGTTTCCTCTGTTTCTTCAATAAAGGTTACATTCACAGGTCTGTGGGGATTTTAATACTCCTAAAAGTGCTCCTTGTGATGCAGTTGTCCACTAACATCAGTCTGATTGGTTGTACCTGTATTCTTCACTCATTTATGGTAGTTCAAAGTACTTAAGTGGTATTTTAATCCTGTTTGAAGTGCTTGTTACGTCTGACCAACACCAAAAGTGCAGTGGTTTCATTATTTGCCATGACGGCAGACTCCTACAGTGTGCAAAAAGCATGCAATAAGAAAAAAAACATATCATCATGCTTTTTGATGTTTAAACCTGGAAAGAGCTACTTACATTGTTCCTGTAGTTTGCTTTTGAATTGACAAATTTTTACGATGGGTAATCTTTAACCATACCAGGTGAGCATGACAATTTCTGGGTTTTAAGTAATAAGGAAACATTGACTTGACCTCTATAAAATTGGATGTTGGAGCTAGGGATGATGTCCACGTCCCCGATACAAGCTGGAAAGCTAGCTCTTGATGTTGTTAGCAATAACACAGTATGTGATAGTTTGTGAACCATAACAGAACTTGCATGATTTTATTGGTATAATTGAATTTATTACATAAACTGGGACAAAGTTGCCTAACACTATTAAAGTACAGATGTTTCATTGTTGACACAAAGTGCAACCATCTTGGATTTTGAGCTTCAAGCACGAGAAGTCTCCCCAAGTTCTCGAGTTGGAATTGTGACCAAGTCCGGGATGACGTATCTGACTGGCGTCTCAGAATTTCCAGATCAAATGCAGACAAAGTAAACACTAAGATCCAGGGCAAAAGTAAACTGGATTACTTGATGCTAAATGAAAGAGAGTGAATTTCATGATTTTGGTAATTTTTCATATTAAGTGAATATTTGTGCAACATTTAGATGGTAACTTGACTCATGATGGTTGTGGTCAGAGGTGTTGAACAGTATCCCCACTTCTACTGATGTCACAGTGTACAGACACACCCCCATACCACACCCTTACATCGCTGTAGGTTAAAACAGGTTTTCAGGTTGTGATGCTGCTCCGAAAGGTTCCCTGTAGAGTTTTGAAAGCACTGACACATTCCTGTTCTTTTCCTTCAAAATTTCAGGACCCATCAGCTCACTAGTGGTGAGCAATAAGCCACTTCCAGCGAAAGCTCCTTTTTCCTTCAGCTGCATTGTTTATGTTCATTTAACAGCTTAGAGAGCCACAAAGTGCATCTCTCTGGAGTTTTCTGTAAAATAGGTGCCATAATTTCCCAGCTCATTATGTCCTCAGAAGAGCACCAGTTCACCTGTTTGTGGTGAGTCTCAGCTTCACTGTAAATATTAAATTACACAGAGACTGCTGTCTGGTTTATCACAGTTGTACCATCCAAAAAAAGACCACTCTTCTTGTGATTTACTTATAACTTTTAGGTAATAAGTTTGCTGAAAACCTGATCTGTGGTGAGTCTTAGTTTCACTGTAAATAATGAATTAAACAGAAGGTTCAACCTGGCTTACTTCAGTGGTATGAACCTGAAGATAAAAATGTTTTGTCTTTTGATATTATTCTGATTGATGGGTCTCAAGTTTGCAGTTTGTTTGTTGAACAGAGATTAAATTGGTCATTTCTGATGTATTCAAGGAAGTCAGAAAATCTAAATGCTGATTGGTTTTGGAAGACGTGCACACTGTGCTGTTTTTGACCCCATTTTTGAGTTTCACGGCTGCTTTTAAAGTTTGGCCAGATTTCGGCCTGATTGTGCACTGGTGTATGGCCAGTGTACATCGTGACCTGAACACAGCTCATTTGGCTGCTCCTGACCAGCTGGGTGAATTTCTGACATGTTAGAAATTTGGGTTGGCTGGCAGCATAACCTCACTTTGTGAAAGCAAGGCTACAAGCAGATCAACCAGCTTCATGACTTTTTAACTGATCGCACCTGCACAAAATGAAAGTGGACACCTGAAAGATATGAATAGAGCCAAAACATTACAACCACTTGTGCAAGCTAATGCAACCCAATACAATAGCTCTACCACAATATCTACTTTTACGAGGCTTTATTGTCATATATAGGGGCAGCTGTGGCCCAGTGCTAGGGTCTGTCAGAGGGTGATCTGGATTAGTTGATACTGGTGAGCCCTGTACATAGCAGCCTCCCAGTGTGTGAATGTGGATGTGACATGTACTATAAAAGCACTTTGAGAGGTCAGACAGCTCGAGAAAGTGCTATATAAACACAGACCATGTCAGAAAAGTGACAATTGTGCTTTACATTTATGATCAAACTGATATTCTCTGACTTCAGCCTCCATGGTTTCAACAATTTTCAAAGCTAAGTCTCAATTTAACTTGTACAGTAAGAGCACGATCGTGCATCATGAGCACAAAAATCCTGAGCTTCGGTGGTATATCATTTACAATTAACTGTTACACCGACCGCAACATTCCTTACAGTGTATGCCTGGCATCAGTGACACAACATCAACAGATTTGTGTTAGCTGACCTTGAATGCAGATAACTATTTTTAGAGAGAAATTAATGGTTCTTAGATAACCCCTATCAGGAACCAGGATGCCATTACACAGGACTGTCTTTTGTCTGCTTTTGCTGTTCTTACTGTTTTTCAGATACCAAAGCCTGCCTGACCAGAACAGTTCTCTAAGGCTGCTAAAATCCAGAATCTACAGCTGAACACTTCACAGGGAACCTTTGTGGTGTGTTTCCACCAAGCGGTCCGGTTGGCTAGCATGCGGGCTTCCAAGGCACGTCTACGGGGCCAAAAAAATAAAGAGAAAGCTTTCTTAATTTTTCTGTGAGTCTCAGATAAAACGTACAGAAAAATATAAGTTAAGGGCTGCGTAGGCTTAGTATCTGCTACATTTGTGTTACAAACATTAAAAGTTCAACACTGAAAAACTTTAGAAAGGCTTTAAAAGTCAAAGCAATATCCCCTCATTCATCAGAGAGTCAGCCTTGGTTTTACACAGTGCTTTGATTTTGAAATTATGCCCAGGACAGCTATTTGACTTAAAAATAAAAAGACTTGCATATAGCTCTCTGTTTGAGCAAGACCCTTTTTGGTTCAAAAGGTGATGAAGAATCATGATGGCTGCAAGTAAGCTAAGTGAACTGTTGTGTAACATCACCCGGTTTCTTCTGCAAGCCATGAGTGGGAAATAATAAACTAAAGCTCTGTATCAACTATGTTTATGTCACAAGTGTGACAAATATTCCAAGGATGTACTGCTGGGGTGTATTTTAAAACAAAGTCTGATCTGTTTTTTTTTTTTTTTTTCTAAGGGGAGACTCCCCTTGTTATCACACAATGCCTTGATTTGGAGGTTGCTTCAAGGACAGTTATTTGGTAAAAGAAGGAAGAAGCATAGGCTCTTTAATGAGCCTATAATGACCTTTGGTTCTTAAAAAGATGTCATCAATTATTTTGGCTGCGGACAAGCAATGTTAAGTATCAACTAACATCAGGTGACAGAAGAAATCTTTTTTCTTTTTTTCTGCAATCTTCACCCATCTTTGCATTCATCCCTTCATCTCTTTCTTACGTGTAAACTGAGTGTTCCCTTTTTTTTAAAGAGATAAGATCAACAGAGACATGTTAATTATTAACTAAAATTAAGGTGACAAGAATTATTTTCCTTTTCTAGGAGCTCCCTCTCCCTTTGTACCCATCCTCCCGTGCCTCTTTCTGCTTGGTTGTTGTTTGTGTGTAAACTGAGTGTCCTTTTACACTAAATACATAACAACTCAGTCTTGCTATTTAGGGTCAGATCGGTGTGTTTGGTGCCCCAAAATAAAGGTGCATTGAATAAAAAGACAGTAAAGAGAAGTTATTTTGGCTCCTTCCTCAACTTTTGATAATGTAGATGCAAATAGTTTCCTACTGTGCCAGGCCAACTATACCAGACTGCTTGATGGAAATGCAGCTTTAGGATCACATGGTACACATCTAACCAAGGTCTACAGACTGATGCATCTCACTGATTCAGAGTTTGCACAATCAGAGAAAGAAAGAGAGGAAGGAGAAAGAAAAAGAAAAGGGAGAGAGAGAGGGTGTGTGTGTGTGAACAGAATAAATGAGCGATCACAGCTGTCAGTGAGCTGCCTTAAGGCTTCAGAAAAACCACCTTTCAGTACTAAAACTGATTACTAATGTGTTTGTGTGCATATGTATGTTTATAGTGTGTGTGTGTGTGTTTGATGAGCTGTGTGTGTGTATGTGTGCATGTGTGTGTGTATATATTATTGCTCTCAGTAATCTCAGAGGGGGTTCTGTCCTCATTATTGCTCTGTCTGTCCATCCTGATGTGGAGACAGACGTCTTCAGGTTCCAGATGTGATGAAGATGTTTGTGACGTCCTCGTACCATCCTGCAGAGAAACAGGTGGCGGGCAGGCGGACACATCCTTTGGTCTCACTGTCCTTCATTATGTCCTTGTCTCCTTGTGTCCTTGTCACTTCCTTCTGTCACACCTGCATGTTGGGTTTGCTCAGGTCTCCATTCCCTTGATTCCCACCTCCTCCTCCACCTCCTCCCCCACTCCCTCCCCCACCCAGTCCCCCCCTTTCCTCCTCATCCTCGCTGTCTAGCTCCTCGCTCTTCCTCTTGCTGTAGCGCTCGTACAGCACCATGAGCACACCCATCACCCATGCTGACACCGTGCCGGCCGAGAAGATGACAAAGCCGATGGCGATGAAGAACAGATAGTCCCAGTACCCCAGACCCTGGTGACAGTCAGCCCGCAGCTGCATCCCCACCTCTGCCAACCGCTGACCCACCAGCTCCGGAGGACTACTGCACACCGTCTGACCTTCATCTGAGAAAGAGGAGGAAAGGGAAGGAAGCAAGGGAGGAGGAGAAGGAGGGCAGAGAGGAGATTAATGAGGATAGAGAGCGGGGAGTAATCAGAGTGATGTTAAAATATCAGGAGAAAAAAAAAACTAATTACTCTGGAGAACACACGCACGCACGCACACACACACACACACACACACACACACACACACACACACACACACGCACGCACACACACGCACACATCTGTTAACAATGCAGTGATAACCTTTGTAATAAATGATCCCAGAAGGTGCTCTACACACCTTCTCTGTCTCTATGTGGGAGACATTGTTATGCTGCGCACACACACACACGCATGCACGCAGGTGCACACACATACACACACACCAACACACACAGAAAGGTGACCGGACCTACCACCCCCCCCTCCTGCACATCATTACACACAGATCTGAACATGTGCAGCTCATAATGAGCAGCATGTTAATGAGCTGAGGTGACTTTGGGCCTCACAGAGACAGAAAAACATCCTGATTTTATAAAAGGTGTTTCCTGTTTAATGCTTGGCTACACAGAGGTCAAAGGTCAGGGTCACACCACAGAAATGAATAAATGATGAACACAGTCATCACAACGTCATTTAAAGCTTTCTGAACTGATTTTTTGGACACCAATGTTCCCTGCTTCAGCGTTTTTGCAGTCCATGCGTCAGTTTTTGCAGCAAAGTGACCATATCTGATGACAGAAGAGGACTGAAGGGTCAGCAGAGGGTCAGTGATAAAAATCAACTTTAGTTCAGACTTCTTAGATAGTCTGTTGTGGTGCCTTCACACCAAGTGGCCTGGTTTGGTTCAGTGATTGCTGAGTTTTCTTGCGTCTTATCAGCAGACCCTCCCCTACCCTGACACTTAACACAGTAAGTGTTGCACGCCAGTTTTTTTCTGCAAGCCATGAGGATCTCAAACAAGAATTCACAGAAAATGTTTTAAGCTAAAGGCTGCATTCACTCTGTATCAGACATGTTAATATCACAAGCTTGAATAATGTGCTTTGGTTGCACCTCTGGAATGATTTTCAAAGCAAAAGCCTGATGTGTGTGTTCTGTAGAGGGACTCCCTCATGCTTTAATTCTGAAGCTGTATCCAGGACAGCTGTTTGTTTGTACTCTTTGGTTTAGTCCACAGTGGACTTTCAAAGGATTTTTTTTTCATGAATCATGTTGGCTGAGGGTAGACGATGTTAAATATCAAATAACACCAGGCTGGGGGAGAGATTTTATCTTTTGCTTTCTCCCTCTTCATCTGCAGACATTTCTGTTTCCATCTCTCTGCTCATCTGATGGCTGTGTGTAAACAAAGAGACCGTTCCTAAACTTACAGCAGCTGAAGTATTAGAGCCACAATAAATAATAATAATAATAATAATAATAATAATAATAATAATAAAAGATTTTAAGAATAACGTCACCATGTTGTGTGATAAAGTGGTTTGGTTATGTGAATAAAATCCTCATGTTTCCTAAATAAAGTTATTATGTGATAATTGCTTATATTATGTCAATACGATCTTCATGTTTTATGTGAAGGAAGTCTCATTGTTAAATGTATAAAGCCTTCGTGTCATGTGAAAAAAAAGTTATATCACAAGAAGAAAGATATGTTTTATGAATGAAGTTGTCATTCATGTCAGGCAATCCATGCCTTCATCAGTTCCAGACTGGACTATTGTAATGCCCTTTATGTTGGCCTCAGCCAGTCTTTAATCTCCCGTCTCCAGCTTGTACAGAACGCTGCTGCACGATTTTTAACGGGCACGTCTAGGCATGAACACATCACCCCTGTGCTGTCTTCGCTACACTGGCTTCCAGTTTGTTTTAGAATTGACTTTAAACTTTTATTATTTACTTTTTATGCCATAAATGGCCTGGCCCCCTCCTACCTGTCAGAGATTTTAACTGTTCGCGATCATGGCAGGGCCCTCCGTTCCTCCGGTCAGCGCCTGTTGGAGGTCCCGAGGTCAAAACTCAAACAGTGGGGTGATCGTTCTTTTGCTGTTGCAGCTCCTAGGCTGTGGAACAGACTGCCGCTAGATGTACGCACCACCACTGACCTCAGTTTATTTAAATCAAAGTTAAAGACGCACCTTTTTAGACTTGCTTTTAACTCTGACTAGGTAGTCCTGTACTTATAGGTTTTTAGCACTTCTACATACTATTTTATTGTATTATTTGTTTCTCATATTCATTTTTATTATTTCATCGTTCTTGTATTATTCTATTCTATTGTATTATTTTATAATGGTATTTTTTTTTCTTGTGTTATTTTATTGCTTTTATGTAAAGCACTTTGGGTACCATTTGGGATATTGTAAAGTGCTATATAAATAAAATTTGATTGATTGATTGATTGATGTTTCGACGATGCAGTCCTGCAGTCTAATAAAGTTATTATGTCATCTGAGTAAATATTTTAGAGCATAGTCTAATAATAAAATATTGATTAATCAATTGATTTCAGTTTAATAATTTTCAGTCGATGTAGGTCCTTACATGATGTGGGAGAAAATGTTATGTCCTGTGATAACGTCATTATGTTAACTGAAAAAAGTTGTAATTTTACCAAAATAAAGTATAGGCTAAGTAGTGTGAAACCTTAATAGAGTTGTTATCTGAATAAAGTTTTTAAGTTACCTAAAAATATTGTTGTTACCAGAATAAAGTTGTTCTGTAACTTCAAAAAAGTTATGCTACCAGAGTAAAGTTGTTATGTTACCAGAACAGTGTTTTTATGTAAAAATAATAAAGTAAATTGTTAGAAGAAAAACAGTTGCTCTTCAGTCAACAGTATTTATTTAGTTTATACAGGCCATAAACAACCATTTTCCTCGCTTAGAAGGAGGAAGACAATGCATCTAAAGTTGCAGTTTAATTTAATCAAATACTTATTCTTCATCTGACTGCAGGGAGTGGTTTGCTCTCCTGATATCCTGCCCTCTTCACAAAGGGTCAAAAGTTTATTGAAACTAAAACTTTGCTGCAGCTTTATTCTTGTAACATAATGACTTAATTCTCATAACAAAAAAAACTATATATATTGTCATAACATCACAACTTAATTCTTGAATTCTTTGTCTTTACCGTGGTCCTAATACTCTGTCATACAAAAATATTTATATATATCAAAAAGTGTATGTCATTATTTAGTAAGGTACTTAAGTTTGCTGACCAAACAAAATCAGATTAGAGGAGGTGTCATTCAGGATGATCTATCCTCTCCTCTCCTTCTTAAAGGTGGGGTAGGCAGGATTCTGTCAAAGAAGCATCTTTTTTGTGGTGTTTATATAAAAAAGCTTTTAATATCAGTCAATAGCTATTAGTTTTTTATATTGATTGTGTTTTGTTACGTCTGTGTAGTCAACATTTTAAAATTTCAGAGCGCTCCGCTCTTTCTGACTGTACACAAAGCCATTCCCTGCCTCCCCCATCCTGATTGGTTGTGAGGGGGACGCTGCTCCTTAGTGCTGATTGGTTGCTCCCCCGTGTCGTTCAGGAGCCCAAACAAAGTTAGCGTGCTACAATAACAGACAGTAGAAACCTACCAGAAAGTACAGAAAATTGTCTGAATCCTCCTTTAGCCACGACCACCCACACAAGCAAGAAAACGAACTAAACACCGGAGACTCTGGCAGAATAACGGGCGCTTAAAACGGAGGTAGACTGGACAAGAGTTAAGAAGCTGGGTCAACAATGATGGAGGATGCTTTGGGATCTTACGGACCCTGTAACCTTTCTGCTGGACAGGTAAACCGCTTTAACAAAGTAAGCCAAGAGTCTGTAACGGAAGTGTTTCTTGTCAAACGGGACTTGCTGCGTGTTGTAGCGCCGCTAAACTGTTTCCCTCGGGTCCTGGATTGTGTCACTTAATCCTAGTTGTGGAAGTCCTGCAAACATTGTGTTTGCTGGTAGTCTGTTGGCATCTACAGTAGCACCAATGCTTTTTACTTTCACGTTGACTGGGACCCATTTGTAATTATTTGAAGTATTTATCTGCATTATATCTGAATTTAATTGGAACGATAAGAGTGAGCAGGAGCGTCTGTTTGTGGGCTGGGCTTTCTGGAGCAGAGACAGAGGGGAGTAAGGAGCTGAGGGGAAAACTGGCTGGGAGGGGTACTGTTTACAATCAAGATTTCTCCCCAAAACTGGCACTTCCTCAGATCCTGCCCACCCCACCTTTAACCGAGGGTCAGATCAGAGTGCTTTGCATCACAACAGATGAAGTAGGATGGTACCTTAATTTCTTCTGTTTAAGTTGACTTTTCATCACGGGGCTCTATGAGAACTGACTCTCTGCAGAAGACAGCCTCTGGTGGACACTATAGGAACTACAGGTTTTGGGACCTCAGCGTTGGTTTTGGGTTCACAGCCTCATTCTGGATGTTGCTGCAGTGAGTCTGCAGCATTAGCAGTGACACTCAGATTATTAATTAGTTTGCAGCAGAGCAGAGACGCTCGTCTTTGTCTCTGAGTGATCACTGATAACAGAGCTGCTCTCTCTGTCAGTTCATCACTCTATATAAGCTCTGCTCACCACATCCAATCCCCGCTCTGCATACTGCATCACATCTATGCCCCCCAACAAGGAAGATGTCTTTATCAAGCAGGGAACAACAAGAGAGATGGACATATAGACAGACAGCAGCCTACCCTTAACCCTAACAGAAGAAAAAAGGAGGAGACAGGAGGATATACTGAAGAAATAAAGTGAAGAAGACATAGAGAGAGGAAGAAACCTTACTCAGAGAGAGGATGTGGCCTCAGCCTGGTTCTGGCTCTGTTCCTGCAGCTGAGCGATGATTATTACTGCTATCAGTTTTCATTAAAGAGCAGTCATCTTAGAAAGGGCCAAAGGTGTAAGCGTGAAGATGAGCGATGAGAGAATGATGGAGAGGACGCTCAGATATGATCAATGATTGGACCTCTGGCTGCAGATTAAAGGACCAGATTCTTTATTAAGGCTTAGAGTCAGAGAGTGTTATTGCAGACAGATAATCACTCTGTGAGTGTGTCACAAAAGGCTAAAAACACTCATCTAACAAACCTGCAGTAAAAGAAAAAAAGCCGAGCAGAGAGAGTGTGTGTGTGCTGTGAATCTATTCAACTCTGGATCAATACTTAGCTGTGCTTCAGTTGGAGGAGACACAGTGAGCAGAAACAGAGGGACAAGTGGAGACAGGAGAGAGTGTCCTCAGAGATAATAACAGGTCAATATGTTAACAGGTCAGGTTCTTTGTTTTTACAAAGAAATGGGTCTGGGCCAGAAAAAAACCAGTTCCAACACAGCATCAATTCCTCGCAGGGCTAAAATAAAGGAACTATCAACGTGGCCCTGGGGGCGGGGTTGTTGTCCCCAAAGACTCAGACTCAAAGCAGCTATTTAAAGGGCTGATGTTCAGTGTATGGAAGAATCCATACACTATTGTTAATAACCTATCTTCTGGGACAATATTGCCTTTCCTGTTGAGTAGAACTAACTCTATAGACCCTTTGTGTTGGATATGGATGAATGTCTGCAGAGCGAGGAGCAGCACTTGAAACGAGATGCAATAGTCCTCCATTGTTGTTTGGCTGCAAGAGGGCATGCAAGTTGTGCTGGGAAATGAAAAACATAGTCACTGTCATATGTGGCCCCAGCCAGTGGAAAAGCAAACTAGTTTTTCAGCAAGTTGAACCAGCTCTGTACCAGCACTATTGCAGACCCAGAACTAGCACTGGCACCAGGTTGGTGGAAAAGAGGTACATGTGGCTTTACTCTGGCTTCTGTTTGTACAAGTCCCAGTTTACTTCAAATAGTAAGTGGCATGGAGACTCTACTCTTACTGTGCATCGTTTTATAATAAGTCTTGGTAAATTTAAGGTTACACAGAGACTCCACTTTGGCTTACTGCTGTTTATTTTTTGTTTGTTTTTGGCAGGTCTCAGTTTCGCTGTAAACACTTTAGCTTATTTTTAGTTTGTTTGTGGTAATTCTTTGTTCAGTAACACAGGCTTGACTTACTGTTGATGTGTTTAATGTGTCTTTGTTTTTTCCTTACTGTCCATCTCTTAGTGAACCTGAGTTTCAAGGTTAACGGTAAGCTGAACCAAACAGGGCTGGCGTGTTACAGGGTAAATGTATCACACACAGTGCTTTTCCTTCTTTTCTACTTCTCCACATGCAGAAAAACTTCCTTTCATCCCTCCTCCTCTGCAGCTCTTCCACTGACAGAGAAGTCTTACAGAGGTGTTATAGTCACACTTTGAACAGGCTGTATAAATGTGAGTGGAGTTTTGGTGGTGTGGGGTCTGAGTTCAGCAGCTGCACTCTCTGGAGTTTGTTCAACACTCACTGCAGCGTTGCATCTCTTCACTTTAAACAAACTCGAAGTGAAAATCAGCAGTGTGAGACAGAGACAGGATCAGGAGTGCATTTCTATCCAGATAAGACTCAACTCTTAATACCTCCTCCTGAAGGCAGTGAGAGAGAGAGAGTTTCTGAAGTTATTTCAGTCACTCTGCTGTAATTTTGGTAGGATAGGGTGCAGGTCCTTCACACCTGTCTGTTCACTTTGCTTACCCTGTCCAGTGTCTGACTGCACATACACACACACAACCCTGCAGCTGTGTTTAACACACAGGATGGCAGGGGTGTAGTGTGAACTCCAACAAGCACACCTGAGAGTGCATGCTGCACCTTATAGAAACAGGAGAATACACAGCATAGTTTCTCTGCATTCAGACACCCGAGAATGACCTCACCCCTCATGGCCTTCCCTGTAAACACCAGCATGCACGCACACATAGACACACACATAACTGGAGAGTCTTTGTGTCAGACCTTGAGCTGCAGGGTTTGCAAGCAAAAACACTGACAGAGAGCAGGACCCATCACCTCTGAGTGTGTGTTTCTGTGTGTGTGTTTCTGTGTGTGTGTGTGGGGGGGTTGTTGGCTGACTTTTTGATGAACTCTCTCCCCACAGCTCTCCAAACATAAAACAAGCACAAGCTGCAGAATACCAACACTGCTACAAGATGTATCAGCAGAAACATTCTGACAGCAGAAGCACAATTTCTAATACTAGAAAAATTGATCATATCCAGTGGCATCTGGTGGCCATATCAAGTGGAAAGATTTTAAATGTATGTGGTTAGCTAGGAGGCTAAAGAACCTCCTGAACTCCACCTCTTCAGCCAAGTTAGGTTGAGTCAGCATTTCCAATATGGCAACTGCAGCTTCAAAACTCCACTACAGAAACACATGGATGATGTCACCAAGACCATGTCTGTATATTATACAGTCTGTGGTAGGACATCAAGTCAAAGCCCAACTTTACAAGGAAGAGTTTGATGTCTGTGTACCTGTTTTTCTCTCTCTTCCTTTACAGTAAATGCCTGTTCTTCTTTACCAGCTCATTGTATCTATGTCTACCAAGAGGACACATAATCCAGACAAGGGATGGTAACCCCATGCCTGGATTAAATGTATCAACCAGGATCACTAACACAACTAGAGGCAGTGCAGACTGCACAGTGCTGTAGATAGCTTTATGTGTTTTTAGTGTGAGTTGTTCTTCATTCATACTTTGGTGTTAAAGTATGAACTGTTTGAGTCCACAATTCCTAATTATGTCAAAGCCATGCCACCTCCACAAACCAAAATGGGAAACAGAACTAAATCGTCAACCACCTTCACAGTTAACTGGCCCTAATTTCAATACCAAGTACCACAAAACTTATAAACCATACCATGTCTTTTGCTATAAAACAATGTTTAGAGGAGGAGTGCTACATATCTAACATCAACTAAGTTTTACTCCAAAGACAGAGATGAATATGATGAAAACCTTGCCTATGATGTGTTCTGCAACGGTTCAGCTAGACCACAACCTAACCAAACTTACCAAGCTACTGTCACAGATGTAGCATGTTGACTTCCAGTAACCAATCACAGAAAAGCTTTACTCTTCATGGAGTGTTCAAGTTCTAGCTACTAACTACACAAACACATTAATGGCGGCTTCGGGCATCTAAAATTCTGTGCCTAGTTGTTGTCAATTCCGGATACTGCTGGTGCTGCCATTTTTTTTATCAACCAAATCCCCCATAATGTCAAATTCATTTAAAGCAAATGGTGGTATACTCTGAAGTAAATGCATAAAATGGAGCGTTAGTTTTAAGTAATCGTCTTCAAGATTACATGTGACATGGCCAAGAAAGGTCTACTTTGGTTTCTTATGACCCTGAAAAAAAAAGTATGTTTTCAAATTCTTTTCTTTTATAAATGAGTCTGTTTTAGGCTGATGTTATTCCTCTGAATAATAAGAATTTATCTAGTTTGTGTGTAAATGATTGATGTGATGAAGGTGTCAGGTGTTGATTGGCTGGCTCACCTGTTGCTTTCACTGTGTTGTTGTTTCTTGAATCTGATACCTGACAGCTCAGAAACATGATATCATAAAAGTTTTATACACAGATAGACCGCAATGTTATTTTTAACTGACACCACATCAGGAAAGTCATAGCTTACAGAGTGAATTTTTCTTGTCATATATCTCTTCTTATTTTTTACAAATCCAACATTTACGTGTAAAGTCAAAATACAACATTTTCCAAGATAATCAAGATACTTAATGAGGGCAGAAAACTAAATTTCTCAAGTGACTTATCAAAGAAATTTTCACTTGCAGCACTAGCGCCCATTTTTACTACAAAGACAAAAGTAAAAATTCTTCCCAGACTTTGCACTTCTAGGTTTAGGTAAGAAAACAGTTGCATGAAGCAACAAACCTGATGGAGTTTGTTAGTTAATCTGAATTTGATAAAGCAGCACCTCTTTGTTTGTTTAAAATATAGCTGTAGTTACATCACATACTGGTTTCTGATAAAGCCATATGGCAGGGACATCCACCCTGCCATATGACATGTAGTCCCAGGAACATCACCCATTGCTTTCTGAAGCAGAGATTTGAAGTCTAACGGCAGCAGTCACCATATTGGAAATACTGACTCAATCTAACTCTTGTTTGATCAACCAGGAGACAAAGAAATGGAGTTGAGGCAGACCTACTTGTTGATGGTTACAGCGTGCTCACCTGTCAGTCAAGTTAGGTGTGCCTTGGATTTGCCAAACCTGTAACCCTACTATCTTTGAAACAAATGACTTATAAAAGTTGTCAATCCCTATAAAGGATGTGAGGTTGGAAAAAATGAGCATTTCAGACCATGAGTGTTTTATACAATAATTTGTACATCAATTGTCAAATATTTTGAAGACCATTCCAGTTTTTTAGCCAACTATATTTCTGTTCATGCCATTGCATTAGTGTTTTTACAACCTTTTTTGTTATTTTATTCTACAGAAAAATGCCAAGTTCACCATCTGATGTATGGACGCATTTCACACAAGCTAATGTCTGCTTATGACAAAACAAAAATATTTAAATTTATGTTTGGATATGATGCAATATGTTTAAATTAGCTCCAATTTCCAGTTAATTCCCACAAATTCCCATAATTCCCATGATTCCCATGGAAAGTTTCCAATTTGGAACATATCAAGGTTAACTTCCTATGGAAAGTTTCTGGAAAGGTATCACCCCTTTGCAACCTTAGACTGATAACACTCAATTTTGTACAATTTTCTGGGGGCTGTTAGTGACAGTCACAAACTAAAGTATTTCTTGGTTTGTACAGTCCCACAACCGTTCAGGGTAAAGGCAAATATGAGCTGGCTAATGGGTCTGATAATAAAAAGTGGGTATTTCAGGTGGGAAACTAAGCATGTTTTTTTTTTTTTTTTTTTTTTTTTTTTGGGGGGGGGGGGGGGTTGATGACAGTCTCGAGAGGCACTTTCAAGGAAATGCTGCTTTTTGACATTTTGCAGCTTGCAACATGCACAGGCTTAAATTTGGTGAACTGTGATGAAGAAATACAGTAGAAAGTCTGAAAAAAATCACTGGACAACATGAAGACTCCAAAACAAATACTGAATAAAATGATGGTACAGCATGAAGTGGACTCTTTACTGTGCGCCTGTGAGATAACATACATCACCCCTTCCCAACACACACACTTGCACTCACACACAGATTTCTGTATCTGTGTGCAGCAGTGAACGCATCACCCTGATGAAACCTAAGAATAGCTGACCTCTTCTTCATCACATCCAGCAGGCCAAATAACACGCCTCCTCAAACACAACGTCACACTTCTGATCTCTCCTCTCCTTCACTCCTTCATCTGATCCTATACTTCATCCTGTCATCCAATGTAGAGGATGAGAAGAGAGTGAAGGTCACAAAGCTGTTCCTCCTCTCTTTGAGTTTTTCTTTAAGCCTCTTTTTCCTCTTCTGTATTTTTGTGAAGTCTCACATCGTGCTCTGTCTTCAAACACACACACTCACTCACACGCACAGGTGATCACACAGAGAAATAAAAACACAGCAGCTGATCAATAATAGATGTGGTCTCTGTATCAGGGTGAATTGATCCGTCTGGTCTTAATAAATGTTTTAATGTGTGTGAGTGACAGATCTGGGTCGCAGACGCTCAGTGACTGGTCTGTTTGTTTCCATCAGAGTTTATCTCAGTCTGTTTCTCTGTTTCTGTTTCCAATGAAGCCAGCGTTCACTTTCATTAAAGATACATTTAATCAAACTGCTGCAGAAACATGTTGTCTCTCTCTGCTTCTCCCAGTATGAATATTTAACAACAGCCCTGTGTTCAACCCTCAGCGTTTGGCCCTCTGTTTGCTACAGGAGCTGATGAAGCAGTGGTGGGTTGACCTTCTCTAGAAGAAACACACTGCAAACTCAAAAATATAGCACATTCACAAACACATGTTAGAGTTAGAAACATGCTGTAATAAAAGAGCATGCTGCCAAAAGATAAGGCAGCTGCATTAAAAGCACAAACACTGTCATTTTTGGATAAAAACAGACTTACAAACTATAAAAACCACACATTTTATTGGAATTTGTGCTGGGACAACCTATTAGGTGTTGAGACTGAAAGGTTTCAGGAAAAATGTATTTGTTCCCTGCGATATCTTTCAAAAAATTTCTTTGAGGAACAACCAAACAGGTAAAACATTGTGTAATGCTAAAAAACAAACAAACAAAACAAAACAAACAAACAGAAAAAAAAAACATCTCAAACTAATGAGGTTAACTTTCAAAAGGTTAGTAACATGACTGGGTATAAAAAGGACATTCAGAGAGGCTGAGTCTCCTAGAAAGAAAGATGGGAAGAGGTTCACCACTCTGTGAGAAACTGAGTGAGCTAATAATTCAGCAGTTTCAGAAAAATGTTGCTGAGTGTAAAATGTGAAAAAAGACTGAGATAATCTGGGGAAATATATGTCCAAAAGAGAAAAGGACCAAGACAAGACTGGATGGTCCTGATCTTCAGGCCCTCAGTCAGCACTGCATTAAAAACAGACTGGACTCTGTAGTGGAAATCACTGCATGGGCTCAGAATAATTTCCAAAAACTGTTGTCCTTGAACACATCAACACTGCATCTACAATTTCCAAACACCAGCAATTTTAGATGAACTGGGCCAAAATGTAAAGCTGATGTGGTCCAATAAATCAAAAATTAACATTCAAATCCACTTTAAGGTGAAGATGGACCGCTTTGCTGGTTAGCAGCTCTCAGTTCAAAGCCTGCATCCCTGATGGTATGAGGATCATTAGTGTTCATGTCATGGGTATCTTTCACTTCTGTGAAGACTCCATTAATGCTGAACAACATATACAGGTTTAGGAGTAATTGTGTAACTTCTGTGATCCAGACAATGACTTTTTCAGAGAAGACCTTCATATTTCAGCAAGACAAAGACAAACCACATTCTGCCAGGATTACAGCAGCATGGCTCTGTAGTAGAAGAGTCCTGCTGCTAAACTGGCCTGCCTGCAGTCCTGACTTGACACCCACTGAAAACATGTGGAGCACCATGACACATAAAATCTGGACAAAGGAGACCCTGAACTGTTGGACAGCTGAAAGCCTCTATGAGGCAAACTATAGTTTGGCCCTCTGTGTTTTTGGCTGTCTGTGTTTTTGGCGCTTTGCCTCACTGTAAGTATCCAGAGGAATAAACATTGGAGTCACAGCAGCAGCTTTGCCAGCACAAACACTCACTCTGTGTTCTGGCGCATTTTAACATCGACCTGCTCACATAACAAGACAAAATCCAGGATTTCGAGAAGAGAGGCGGGGACTGACATTTTACTCTGACACCACCTTCCTTCCCAACTCGAGCTCTCCATTGGACTAAGTAGTAAAACATATGGGGAAACAACATCCAGCAAATTACAAGGCAAACAGAATACTGATGTTTGGTAATGACACATAAAAGTCCAACAAAACTCCAACACACTAACAAAAGAAACATACCAGGTCTGTTGGTCATTGTTGTAAGAGTAATTCATCCTAGGAAATGCTTGAGCTAAGAAAGAATAATATAGCTAACAGTGGTGGTTGAGTCAGCATTTCCAACATGCGGATATGAGCTTTGAAACTCAGTTGTTTTGGGGGTTGATGTCACTGACACTCTAAACCTCTAAACTGTTTTTGAATCTATAAGATAAGATAAGATAAACCTTTATCCATTCCACGGTGTGGAAATTTGGAGTGTCAACAGCAGCAAAGGATAGCAAACATAGAAGAATAAGTAAACCCATCAAGCACACAGTGCACAGATAATTATAAAAAAGTTAACTTAGACCTACAGTATATGTATAAAAATGTTATACACAAAAATGAGAAAAATGTCAGCAACAAAAAGACGACATTACCAACATACAGAAATCTTCAGCAGTGGCTTGAATTAGGAATCTTATAAATGCAATGAACTTGGATTTTGGATTTACTATTCAAAGAAATGCTGCACTGCTTCACTGTGTGGTCTGAAAACATGACATAGAGGGAGGAGACAACTTCAGAGTGCTTCCTCTGTTGAACATGAGAAGAATTTTATCATTTTTTGACAATGTTACTCATTACTTGCTGATGTCTGGAGATTCAATGTACCAACAGCTGCACTTTTTAGGAGTTCTAGTTTGGTTGCTGTCTCTCTTTCATAGAGTTCCTGTATTTGTGAATGTATTTCTTGCTGTGATATGAGAAGTCACATTAATTTATTAACTTGAATGAAGCTTCACTGTGACTCTGAGTTCAGCAGGAGGAAAGATTCGCCTTTTAGAGGCTGACACACACACACACACACACACACACACACACACACTCATCCAGAAAGATACAAACACTGACGCACACACGTGAATACATCTGATTCACCTCCACAGTGAGAGGCAACGACAGCAGGAATCTCTGAGCGTTCGACTCTCAGCCTGCAGTCAGAGAACAGGGCACGAAAACACACACACATACACACACACACACACACACACACACACACACACACACACACACACACAACACACAGCTTGTAACACACAAGCTTGACCTCATTCACTCTGTTTAACTCGTTACTGAGGTCGTCTATGAAGCCATGACAGAGTGTGTGTTTCTGTGTGTGTGTGTGTGTGTGTGTGTGTGTGTGTGTGTGTGTGTGTTTAACTGCATTTTCATTCACTGACCAGCTGAAATAGGTGTTCAGACCTGATTTCACTACCTGACCAAGTTTTACAACCAGATCCCACCCAGTGCTCTCTGGTCACTGTTGACGGCTTGATTTTTGACTTTTGTTGCAGTTTTCTCTTTTAGATTAATTATATTTCTGTTTTTGAATACATTTTGTTTTTTGACTTGAAAATTGGTCTTTGTGGACCACTGTAGAAAATGTTAAACAGTGAGCCTGTGAGGGAGACCAAATAATGACATACACACATACACAAATAAGTAGAACTTCCAACTATTTACAAAACCCAATTCAAATGAAGTTGGGAAGATCTGTAAATCATAAATAAAAATGGAACACACTGATTTGCAAATCCTTTCCAACCCATTTTCAATTGAATATACTACAAACACAACATATTTAATGCTAAAACTCCTGTACACTTTCAAGGCCATCCATAACCTTGCCCCCCCCTACCTCTCCGATCTCCTCCACATATCCACCCCCCCACGCTCCCTCAGATCCTCCTCCTCCCTCCACCTCTCTGTCCCCTCTGCCCGGCTCAGCACCATGGGGAGCAGGGCTTTCAGCCGCTCTGCTCCCAAACTCTGGAACTCTCTCCCCCCGGACCTCAGGAACATGGACTCATTACCCCACTTTAAATCTAATCTCAAAACACACCTATTCCGAATCGCATACTCACTTTAACTGTCTACTCTCACACTTGTATGTTGTTTTTATTTATTTTAATTATGTTTCTAGCTGTGTTTTTATGCCCTGTAAAGTGTCCTTGGGTGCTCAGAAAGGCGCTTTTAAATAAAATGTATTATTATTATTATAAAACTGATACATTTTACTGTTGTTTTTTTTTGCAAATAATTATTAACCTTAGAATTTGATGGCAGCAACACGTGACAAAGAAGTTGGGAAAGGTGGCAAAAAATACTGAGAAATTTGAGGAATGCTCATCAAACACCTATTTCAAACATCCCACAGGTGAGCAGGCTAATTGGGAACAGGTGGGTGCCATCATTAAGTAAAAAAGCAGCTTCCCCAAAAATTCTCAGTCATTCAAAAGCAAGGATGGGGCGAGGTTCAGCACTTAGTGAACAACTGCATGAGCAAAGGGTCAAACAGTTTAAGAACAACTTTTCTCAAAGTACAATTGCAAGAATTTTGGGATTTCAACATCTACGGTCCATAATATCATTAAAGGTTCAGAGAATCTAGAGAAATCCCTGCACGTAAGTGGCACGGAATGCCCCTGATCTTCGATCCCTCAGGCCGCACTGTATCAAAAACCGACATCAATCTGTAAAGGATATCACCACATGGTCTCAGGAACACTTCAGAAAACCACTGTCAGTAAATACAGTTCCTCGCTACATCTGTAAGTGCAAGTTAAAACTCTACTATGCAAAGCAAAAGCCATTTATCAACAACATCCAGAAATGTCGCTGGCTTCTCTGGGCCTGAGCTCATCTAAGATGGACTGATGCAAAGTGTAAAAGTGTTCTGTGGTCTGACGAGTCCACATTTCAAATTGTTTTTGAAAATAGTGGACACTGCGTCCTCTGGGCCAAAGAGGAAAAGAACTGTTATCCACGAAAAAGTTCAAAAGCCAGCATCTGTGATGATATGGGGGTGCATTAGTGCCCAAGGCATGGGTAACTTACACATCTGTGAAGGCAACATTAATGCATACAGGTTTTGGAGCAACATATGCTGCGGTCCAAACAATGTCTTTTTCATGGACGCCCCTGCTTATTTCAGCAAGACAACGCCAAGCCACATTCTGCATGTGTTACAACAGCGTTGCTTCATAGTAAACAAGTGCTGATACTCGACTGGCCTGCCTGCAGTCCAGACCTGTCTCCCATTGAAAATGTGTGGCGCATTATGAAGCGTAAAATACAACAACATTTCCAAAACTGTACCCTACCTCGATGGAAGGAGCTGCTGGTTTCAGCCACTTCCTGGGGATTGATTTCTTGCTTGCTTCCAAGAGGGCCTGTAAGAACTTCATATCATTGCTTCTTTTCAAGCTCGAGATGCCCCAAATAAATACTCTCAAAGTTCAAAGGAATTTTTGCCTGAAAAATTACACTCTAGGCTTTGTGAATGTTGTTCCACTAAGGAAGCATTTTGGGACAGTCCCTGAAAATATGGAAGTGATAACTGTCCTCTGAACCACACTATCTCCAACACTTACTCCGTGCATCTCTGTATTTTTCGTAGAATAATGTCTTACAATACTGAATAATGTACTAAATTGTACCGAATAATGTAGTTATGTACCAGGTCTTATCATTTCTAGCTTGAATAAGGGCACCACACAATTTAGCGATTTCTAGTCTTTATCTTTCTGCACATTATTATTGGCAATTACAGCTTGGAGAGGGACAGCTGATTTAATTCCAAATTCGAATTCTTTCTACTTTGCTTTATATTCGAGGAAAAAAAAGAAGGGGAGATGTTGGGCAGCTCTGTCTTGTACCTCCCTTCAGAGAGATCCCCATTCATTTTGATCTGGACTGTGGACACGACATAAAGAGACTGAATCACACCAACAAATTTGCCATGAAATCTAAATCTTTTCAAAACTTCATACAAAAATGGCCATCTTACAAAGTCAAAGAATTTTTCTGCATCCCAACTATGGATAATGCCCAACTTCCATAAGGGCTTTTACTTTAATTTCTCAGGGACCTAACCTGAGAGGCTATTCCAGAGGAATCTACTGCAGGGTTTAACCTTTAATGTTAAAGCCACCTCTACCAATCGCCACTTAATTTTACTTAGCAATTATCTCAAATACATATCTGTAAAATGACCAGTCACTACCTGGTACTTTATGAACATTTAATAAAGAGATGTAAATTCCCTCTAAATCCCTGTGATTTTGATAAACCTTCCCTCTTCATCCTAAATTTCTGATACATGTTCATAATTTGGTAAACTGGATACACGGATAGCCACCCTTGAAGAAAAGCTATATATGCCTATTCTTTCTTAAATTTTGACAGAATTTTACTTTTCTCAACTGAATTAAAAACCCTGATTATATTGAAAGATGCCATTTTTACTTCTTTCTGCATATTGTTCCCATTATAGAAAAATATTCCAGCTCTACCCATTGAAAAAACATTATAAGCTCCCTTAAGCCTAACCAAACAGAGCCACGAACAAAACCAAAATAAAGAACATTCTGAACATTATTCATTTGACCTCTTTAAGGACTTCAACTATTTCCCCCCTTCTTTGAGGGATAACTCCCATCTTCACAGAGGGTAAGAGGGCCCTCCAACTTAATGTCTGTCATCCAAAGTCTCAACAGTTCCATTTTTATTTCAACTTGTTGTCTACTTTTTAATAATTTATTGAACAGTCATTTTCTTTTTACCTGAACCAAGCCGCTCTTCCCCATGATTGATTAACAGATATCACTCAATCTGGGATCCCTTATTTCTCTCATTTGAATACTAGCAGTTTTTCCTTGTAGCCTAGTGTTGTTTCACCCAGGTTGGCCATTGTGTCTGCGCGGGCTGCCACATCCATTGCTGCACCCTGTCTAAAAGTGAATGACTGGCCATCCCCGTCCTGCCAGGTTGGATGCTGCCTCTTCCACTGTGTCACAGCTTTTTGTTTCATCTTCAAGAAAAACTACCAACCGAGTGGGGTACACAGTCTGAAACCGTATAATATTTTCTCTCATAATTCTCTGTGTTTCTGGGAATCCCTCCTTCTTGCCAGGACTCCAGGTGCATAGTTGTGGTCAACACTGATTTTATATTTTCCCCGAGTAAAACCTTTCTTTTGCCAGCTTTACCACTTTCTCTTTCACTCTATTGCTGAGAAATCCGACTAGGATCAATCTGTATATCCTCACATTTTCCCCCCTCAAGTGCCCATCGTGGTCCAGTATCTTCATCTGTAGCTGCTCTTGTAGCGTTAGCATCCCCGCCATTATCTCTTCCGCATTCTGTAACTTTTTAAAATTCTCTGTGATCTTGCCTTTCTCTTAGGATCAGGGTGAAGTTCACAGACTCTTTGTCTCCAACCATTCTATTGTTATCTTTGCTAACAGGATGTATTTCATTTTTGTTGGTACTTTGACCACATTTTTTACCCTTATACGAGATGCCATCTTCGCTCCACTCGCATTACCTCAGATTCTTTAGAAATTTGACTTGGGAGCAGATATTTTCTGTTGTCAAGAGAGCACTCTCCCTATGCTGCCATCTTCTCCATGACCTGGAAGTCCCCCTCTTTTACAACATTATGAAATTCTTTTGTATTTTGTGTGTCTTTGAATATTTTTGTGTTTTCAGGTTTTTTTGTCTCATGAAATACTTAAGTACGACAGAGTATGAGGGCTACATTAGGAGAAAAAAAATGTAAGACTTCGTAAATACTTACTAGAATTAAGTCGTACAGCCTCTGGCAGTGCAGAGGCTAAATCCCTCAGTGCAGCCATTTATAGCTATAGCATTTGGCTTTAGTTTATCGTATGCATCTATATGTCATAAGGTGTTGGTGCCTCTGCAGGTGTAGGTTGCTGCCGATGTTGTGCCGACATCAGAGACAGACATGGCGCTCGTCAGAGCTTGAATACCTCTGAATCGCAAATGTTGATCATCAGTTGGATTGTTTCTTCAGAAACCACAAAAGCCCTCTGAATGGCCCACTGATGCACCTACAGATAACTCTGCAGTTGACCAGTTTCAGCCATTTCCTCCTCCACAAAAGCAGCTTTAAGCCTTCATTTACTTTACGACTTTATTCCCGTAAATAATGATTTTATTACGACTTTTTTTCTCGTAAGTAATGGTTTTATAACTTTATTCTCGTAAATAATGATTTTCCTATGACTTTATTCTTGTCAGTAATGACTTTAATCTTGAAGTCTTAATTTTTTTTTCTTCTTAATGTGGCCCCAATACTCTGTCATACTTAAGGCACATCTGAATGATTTGGCGTTTCATGAAATATTGTGAAGTGACATTTCCTTTTTGTCTAGTAGAGTGTTTGTGGGTCCAGTAAAATGTTTTTGTGTTCTTGAAATATTTGTGCAGTTGACCTTCAGGGCCACCATAAAAACCCAAAAGAACCACAAAAACACAGTTAATTATCAAATGGGATCAGATGTTAGAAAGAAATATCAATATCGGAAATTCAGCTGCAGTAAGCACCCCATGCAGACCTGGAGCTCTTCTGCTGCAATGACAGGATGCACACACTTTGTTGGAGTATTTTTCTTTGGAATTCTTCTTCTTATCATCATTATTATGATTATTATTATTATTATTATTGATAGTCTATATGCATTATTTCTCTTGAAGTAAATCTATCTGCACTATACCTGCAATGTTTAATGGGAGCAGGGAAGTTCAGTATTTTGGACTCCATCATTAACTATCTGCAACACAGGGCCAAGTGTGTGTGTGTGTGTGTGTGTGTGTGTGTGTGTGTGTGTGTGTGTGTGTGTGTGTGTGTGTGTGTGTGTAAAATGAGGTGCAGAGGACTCCTCTGTCAGTAGGACAGGCTCGTAGACATCACTGATAGATGCTGCCAGATGTTGCCTGTCTCATCTGTCTCACTTGCTCATTAACATCTCTGATCACCTGAAACAGGACCATGTGGCTCAGTGTGGTCCAATTCACTGCTGTTTGAGGTCGAATGGTCTGTTTCAGTGTTCAGCTCTAACACCCTCGAATACTTTAAATTGGATGAAAATAATCGTCTCCGCCCCTCCCTCACCCCTCATACCACCTCAATTCTCGTCAACAGCCTTGTCACCTCCAGTATTGATTATTGTAACTCTGTTCTCTTTGTCCTTCCCCACAAATCTCGCCATAAACTTCAACTGATTCAGAACTCTGCTGCATGATCATCACCAAAACTCCCTCATTTCACCATATCACCCCCATCCTTCAGCAGCTAAAATTCAGAATCTAATTCAAAATCTTTCTGTATACATTCAAGGCCATCCACAATCCCCCCCCCACCCCCACCTCTCTGATCTCCTCCACGCAGTCACCTCCTCCCACTCCCTCAGATCTTCCTCCTCCATGCACCTCACTCTGCCTCCTGCCCGCCAAGGGGAGTAGAGCTTTCAGCCGCTCTGCTCCCCATCTCTGAAACTCACTCCTACCCGACATCCTGAATATAGACTCTCTCCCTCTCTTCAAATCCAGACTCAAAAGCCACCTGTTCAGATTAGCACACTCCTTATAATTTACCTTGTCATGTTTTTGTTTATGTTATTTATATATACATATTTATACCCCCCCCTGTTTTCTCTATTGCTTTCATCCTGTTGTTTTTACTCTGTAAAGTGTCCTTGAGTGTCCAGAAAGGCACTTAAATAAAAAGTATGATTAGTATTATTATAAAAAATTGAGTGTGTGTGTGTGTGTGTGTGTGAATGCGTCCATAATATAAAGGAATAAAGTAATAAAAGACCCGTCCTCCACAGGGACCAACCTGAGCCCAGAATCAAATTATCTAAATTAGCTGAAGTGACGAAAATCTATGATGAGACCTTGAAGTGTCTTTTCTCACACACAACAACCACACACACACACACACACACACACACGCACACACACACACACACACACACTCACATATACACACCAACACATACACGCAAACTTAGTTTCTGGATAAACTTTAGTTAAGTTTGCAGAAAGTGGACCTTTCAAAGTAAGCGTGTTGTTTTGAACCTCTCCTGGTTTTTCCACACTCGGTCTCACCTTGGAACTTGTAACCCTCTATCTGTACCCACAGACACAGGTCCTCAGTGTCGCAGTCACAGCTCCAGGGGTTCCCGCTGAGTCCCATAGAGCGCAGCGCCGGCAGCGCGATCAGGCTGCTGATGTTCAGGACCGTCAGGTTGTTCCGGCTCAAGTCTAAGACCTGCAGAGCCAGGTTCTCCGAGAAGGCGTCCGGGTGGACCTCCCCCAGACTTGGGTTATCAGTCAGCCGCAGCATCACCAGGGACGCCAGTGGCCCGAAAGTCCGGTCCTCGACCTGCAGCAGCGCGTTGAAGGACAGGTCCAGGTAGGCCAGTTTTCGCAAGTTCCCGAAGGTGGACTCTGAGATCTCACTCAGAGAGTTGTTGCTGCAGTCCAGGTAGACCAGGTCGGACAGGTAGTTGAGCTGCAGCGCCGGCAGGTCTCCGATCCGGTTGTTGGAGATGATGAGCTGCCGCGTGGCCAGCGGCAAGTCTGCGGGGAACAGGACCAAGTCCTGCCCAGCGCACTGGACCACCAGCTGATCGTCACACACGCAGCGGTCTGGGCATCCGGCCGTGAGAGCCGGGGAGGGGGTGACCCCCATCACGAAGATAAAGAGGAAAAGGAGCCGAAGGGACTGGGCGCTGGGCGCGGGCAGGAGACGCATGTCGAGGTCGCCCACAGCGTCATGAAGACGGGCTGAGCTGGACCCGGAGCTCCGCGGACATCCTGCATGAGACACACACACAGACACTCACATGCACACACACACGCACGCACACACACTCAAACACACACACGCACACACACGAGCTCTGTCCGACTCTCACGCGCACTCTGCTCCGCGCGCCTCACCACGAGACATCGCTGAGAAGGTGACCGAGACACGCGGACCGATCAGAGACCCTGCAGACCCGCAGAGCCGCGGAGTGACGTGGACCCCCCCACAGTGAGTCATCCGTGAGCGCGGGCGGCTCACTTTACAAACATAAACAGGAAGAGAAAATTCCAGATTCCTTTTGGAGACTCCTGCTGCCTGCCTGCCCCGGACTATCTGACGTCCTTCAGCGGGTCACTGAGGCTGATAGGGTCTGATGGGTGTCTGAGGGGGTCTGATGGGGTCCGTGCTGCTCCGCTGTCTGGAGGACTGATGGGAGAGCGCGTGCTGCTGCTCCGTTCAGACTCTGTGAGAGACTGAAGCTGAGCGAAGTGTGTGACCCTCCCATCGCTCTCTCTCTCACACACACGCTAACGCACACTAACACACACACTCACAAAAGTGGGAAGGGCTGTCATTAGTAACAGTGACGTCACCAGGTGTATCTCTCCAGAGTAGGGGAGACCGAGGCTTGTTGTCACACTTTTTACACTCATATATTTCTTGTAATCAAAACATCATATATGAACAAATTGTGTCCCAAATGAAAGACCAAAGTCTCGGGTACATATTTCATATTCATGTCATTTTCATATCTTGTGACAGTGCAGAGTTATAATCAATCAAATGGAGAGTGTGGACATGTGACATGTTGCCCCACCATAGGGTAAGTTGTCTCACTACATGGGGTAGGATGTCACAGTGGATTTTGCAGCTAATAAAACAAGAACAAATTTATTGTTCTCCTTTTTTTACATGAAAGTGAACATCAAAGTCAGACACAGAAAATGTGGCTAGAAAAAGCCATTAAACAAATGCTCTGGAGTTTGAAGATCTGTCTGACTCTGTATTTCAGCTGGGGGGAATGTTTTGCAGTACTGAGCCAAGGTATGGTACGTGAGATTAAAATCCTTTATTGTACTCCAGATTGATTTATAAGATAGGGTCACCTGCCTGACTGCCCTCAACATCACATCAGGTACTGCACTGCCATGTTCTGTTTTTCTTTTGTAAATCCTGACCATGTCTTCTCGCTTTCTCCTCTTCTTTAAACCACCCTTTTTTCTGTAAAAATAGTCATAATTTCAGTATGACAACTGCTGATAAGCAGACTTTCTATGTTATTTTCAATCCCTTTTAAACATGTGACAACTAACCCCAAAATGACTGAGACATGTTGCCCCAAACTATCATGTTCACTAAGTCTAGCTCTAGCTTAATGTTAGCTTAAAACAGAAAAATGACTGAGGTATGAGAGGATGTCTTAATCTCTCCTCTAACAAGTCCACATGTTTCACTGCTAGGATTTTTTTCTGGAAGAAGCTTATTTTAAAATATATAAAGTTAAAACTTTTTACTTTGGGTTGTGCAAAATGGTCAATTGATGCTCATCTCAGCTCACAATGTGCTCTTCTCTTCTCAGACAGGACACGACCCCTGACCATGTAAAGGAATAAAACTAGTATTCCACTTTTTAGTTACGCCCTCTGGTGGCAAAGATAATCGGAATGTGACAACTTACCCATGTGACAACAAGCCCTGGTCTCCCCTACTTGAGATTACTCTCTGCCTGTCTCTGATGATTCATTCCTGCTCATAGTCCTCTGATCACTGTTTGTGCTGCAGTTGAAGTTTAATGCAGTTAGATTATTGTTGAAGAAATCAGATTATGATTAAATTGAATTTAATCTCAAAGCAGATTACAGTTTGAAAAGAGCGTTACTATTCAGAGTGAATGTGTGAGGTTTTCTCAGGTCAGAGTGATTTCTGTGTTGATAAAGGTGACCTGATTATTGTGTGTCTGTTTAGGTATTCAGACTCTAAAGCCTTATTATTTTTTAATTAGAGGCTGTGGTGTCAGCTGTCAGGGTGCTCTACTCCCACACCTTAAAGGGAGCTGCTCCATTTCTCACCTGTAACACACCTGTAAGTTTCATCCTCTGACCAATTAATAGACTATTCAAATAAACTGAATGACAACAGTTTTGAATGACTATAAAAGCGTTGATGATAATGCCGAAATGATCATTATGTTGATAAGAACAATAATCTTGACTATATGATGAAAAAATGACACTGTGACAATGATAGTGATAATGGCAATCGTTACTTTAAAAATTCATCAGAAAGTGAGCTCATGATTATAATGATTTTAGTGATATATAAGATCATGAGAATAATGAGAATTATGATGATGGGAACATTGTTGTTGATGATGATGAATCTAATTTCAAGGATGATAATGATGATGAAGAGATGTGTGGTTGGTGATAAAAAAGATAATTGTGAAGATAATGTTTGAATTCTAATACTGCTGCTGATGTTGTCTTTGATAATGGTAAGAATGATAAAAGTCAAGTTAATGATTATGATAACAGTGTCTACAGAGATGATCGTGTGATGATCATTGCTTGGGATGGTGGTGATTATAATGATGAAAAGGAGGATCATGATGATAAAGATGATGAAAATGCGATGATTGCTTGTGCTGATAGTGATAATGAGAATGGTCACTATGATGATAATTATGATAATGATGATAATATGTAAAAGAAATCTATTCGTTCAGTTACTAGATGCATTTGTAGAGAATATTGTTCAACACATATTGTGTTTCTCTGAAGGTGACTCCCATTGAATGTAATGATCCCAAACTGTTAACTTGAGCTACCATCAGGTCAACATTTCACTGTTTTCAAAAACTTTATTTGTAAAAATAAGAAATTCTGTACTTTAGCTGACCCCCGCATACTCAACAGCACTCATTTAAGTGCTTAATAAGTGTCAGCAAAATTAAGCAACAGTTATTTAATTCATTTTGACTTGTTAAATTCATTTCCCCTACAGTCAGAGAGAAACCACTCTTCCTAAATCACATCATTCTGAGATTCTTCCTTTTGACCTCTTGCCAGTCTCTCCTCTCTGCACTTCTTTATCCCCATGCTCTTCAATCTCCTCTCCTCTACTATGTTGTCTTTTCTTGCAGGAAGAGTTTGTCCTCAGGGCTTTCTGACTGAAAGATGTACCGTAAAGCTTTACACACTTCTCTCAGGAGATTAAACCTCCTTGGTCACAGTTACAGAAATCAGGGCACAGAGGTCAAGATTGAAGACTCTCCTTAAATGAATGTACTATGTTTATATCAATATAGATGTAAACTGCTCTGAGCAAGAGTAAGAATATTAATGCACCATGTGCAAAAACTCTGCAGATCATGAATATAAAGAAATGTTTACTAAAGACAAACAAGATGGGGATTTTATTTCTTATGAAGTAATTCTTATGAGCCTGTATTATGGATAATTTTCAGGTAGGCTGGTAATTATTTAGCAAATAATGGGGGTCACTTAGAGTCAGAAGGTCACATGACCTCAGGGGCCACATGACCTCTATTTTCACTGCACAGATGATGAGTGTTTGTTCTGAAGTATCAGCAGAGCGGATTAATCCTCTGATGCTGTGAAACATAGTGGAGTTAATGTGCTCACATAATGACAGCCCCAAGTAACACCTACACAAACACACACTAAAGCACACAAACACACACAGTTGAGCAAGTCTCAATACTAAGTATTTTTGTCTATGCTTTTGTTGGCAAATTATCTTGACATTTAAGACTGTCTCATTAACAAGAGCCTGATGTTGGCTCACATTTCTCATCAAATAGCTGTACATGATCCAACAACAGGAGAACCTATGACAGTGACACAAGCATTTAATGAGTCTCGCATTTTCTCACAAGGACCCATTTTGAGCAGTTAACATCTATTTTCTAAGATTATAACAACATACGTTTACCTCCGGATTTGAAACTTTGCATACATGTAGTATGGACACCAGACATTGTAACATTGCAGTTTTTGTCATAGATGTGGAAAGCATAATAACATCCGTTTAATAATCTTACTTAACTGTTGTCAATTACTTTGTCTCATCATCTATATCACTATACATTTCCTCATAAAGCCTGACGATATTTTGCATTACCTTACATTACCTTTTATCACCTCAAATGATGCATGTTATCTTGCATTACTTCTGATACCCTGACATCATCCCTTGTCTCAGGTTCCTTCATTTTCTCATACCATCCTACATAGACTCCATTATGTCACGGTACCTCATGGTACCTTCAATATTTGGACATCATCTCACATTACCTGATGCCCCAATGGATGATGAGAAAAAGGAGGAGAAAGGAGGGGTGAAACAAGAAAGGGGGGAGTTCCAGTATCTGTATCCATTAGTTAGATGACAGCTAGTACAGAGATTAACAACACCTGACACACCTCCAGTGCACCCTATAAATTGGTGTCCCCTGCAGCCTCATATGAGGGACAGCTTTGTGGTTTGCTATGCAATATTAATCATCTATTTACAAATCATTTTTTATGTTTACAGCTTCAATCATATTCTTCTAGCCTGTAGATGAAAACAAATCTCCTTTCCCTTTCCTTCTTTTGTCCTTATCAAGGAGATTAAATGTAACCATGACCTCTGTAGGTGTGTATGTGTGTGTGACAGGAACAGTCTGGCTGTCTGTCACAGTCCGTCAGGATCAGTCTCCGTCTCTGTCAGACATCAGATGTCATGTGTATAAGTGTGTGTGTGTGTGTCTTTGTTTGTGAGTGCGTGTGTTGTCCATCTCAGACCTGTTACACCTGAGAATAGTAGGACATCAGGCCCCATCCCATCTCCTTAAACTAGAACCTCAGAGATCCTGGGAGTGACGCAGGACCGACACATCTCTGTTTACCTGTTGGTCTGAACATTTGAATTTAAATGTCTCTCGGTTTACCTCTCAGTGTGTGTCTCCTTTCTTTCTGTATGTTTTATCTCACCTGTCTGAGATCAGATCTACCTGAATTTTGTCGTGACCACTCTCGGCACTTATCAGTCTGCATCTCAGTATGTGAGTCACTGCAAAGCCGCAGCTGCACTGATGTTCACAGGGATGAGTCAGAAATGAGATACCACTGAGTAATGATTAAACTTATCTGACGGATATAAACCAGATAGCTAAAATTACTCAGTAATGTTTCATAAATGTTCAATTTTGGCATCAGACACACTGGCTGACACTGTATGTCTGTCACTGTCCCAGTCTGACTGTGTGATTGTGTAACCTGTAATGAGCTGATCAATAATGCAGAGTCAGGCTAGACATGAGTCCAGAGATGGAAAACTCGGCCTCAACCTGCTGACCATAGACTGTGCATGAGAAGGGGAGTCACTCAGGATGTTTTTATCTTCTAAAACAGTACTTGAGGCCGTTTGGTATTTTACATCTTTTTTTTCCCTAAATCAGTAACCAGAGGGCTCTTGAGCTACATTTTATGTATCAAAGAGCAAAAAAGTACTTTATTTACATTCAGTTTGCAAACAGAGCAACCTGAAACACTTAGTTTACATTTAATGTGCTTAAAAGTTAACAAAACCCAGCTTCTATACATTCTATCCACTAAATAAAGCAGCTGAGAGGCACTTTGTTTACACTTAATCCAATTTAAAGAGTAACCAGTAGGCACTTAGTTTACTTTTTATTACCACTTAAAGAGCAGGTAGAGGGCATTTTGCTTTCCTTTTTTTTTTTTTTTTTTTTTAATAAAAGAGCAACAAGGGATCCTTTGTTTACAGGGCATTTTGTTTTAACATTTTAAAAGGCACTTTTTAGAGTTTTTGGGTGGAAAAAAGTTCTTTGTTCACAATTAATTGCTAAAAAAGCAACCATAAGGCATGTTGTTTGTTCACATTTCATTTGCCAAGTAGGGGACACATTATTTTATGTTAAAAGAGTCATTTAGGGAACTTTTGCACTTAATATGCTAAAAGAGAGCATTTAAAGGCACTTTGTTCATTTATAAATTGAAAATGCAACCAGAGGACTCTTTGTTAATATTTGATTGCTAAATGAGTAACTAGAGGGCACCCAAGTTATATATTAGTACTGAAAGTACAACCAAAGGACACTTTTTTTCATTTTTCTCCAATTTAAAACATCAACCTGAAAGCACTTAATTTATATTTTATCCACTAAAAGAGGAACCAAAGGACATTTTGTTTATACATTATTTGCTAAAAGAGCCTGAAAAAGCACTTTGTTTACATTTTATCCACTAAAAGAGGAACCAAAGGACACTTTGTTTGCATTTTATCCCTGTAAGGATAATCCTTCCCTATATTTTTTTGGTCTCTTTGGCTTTAAATAGGTGCATAATGTAAAAAATGAACATCATGCAGTGTTCTAGAAGATTGTTAACAGAAGATTTAGAAAATAAACCTGTTGAGAAAAGGTTTAAGGCAGTATTAAATCAGCTAAAAAGTCTTACCATATACTCATAGACTTCCACTCAAACTGACACCCTCTGCTGGATAGTGGAGGTGATACAGACACCCCTGCACTGGTTTCATTGTTGAAACAAAGTGCTGCAGTTTCTTACTGCTGAGCAGTCTGTGGGAGACACACAGATGAAGAAATTTAGCTTTCACAATATCTGAATGTTTCTGAGTCAAACAGTGAGCAGTACTAGGAAATAAAAAACTCCCCTTTGACAGGAATAAGACTAAGAAATAAGAAGTAGTCTTCAGCATTTTAGTATCAAGATTACACAGAGTGTCAACATTACAATGGATTTGGGTCATAGTAAAAGAAAGACAGAGAGAGAGAAAGAAAACAGAAGTGTATGGTTTCAGTGTTTAAACCAAACACTGCCCAAGATAGTCTTAACAGTGTTTGGATATTCAGAGCTATATTCCCTCCAGTTAAAATGTAGCTGTATGTAGCAAAATGTTTGTTGAAACTTAATACAAAGAATGTCATGACATAGTGAGAGACTGCAACATGCAATATAGGAGGCAATATATGTTAATTTAGTTATTTCTGGTCAAACTGAAATGTTTTATTCTTTGATGGGAAAAAAGTAGTTCCAGGGTTACACTCTTTAAACATAAGTGAACCCAAGGGACCAGTTTCTGGAGTTTGGAAAGTCAAATGTTGTCCCATTCTTGAACTGCTCAACAGTTCAGGGTCTCCTTTGTCCTGTTTTTTTGTATCATGATGCTCCAAATCTTTTAAATGGGTGACAAGTCAGGACTGCATGCAGGCAAGATTATCAGCAGGACTCTTCTAATACAGAGCCATGCTGTTGTAATCCCTGCAAAATGCTGTTTGACATTGTTTTGCAGAAATACGAAGGTCTTCCCTGAAACAGTCATTGTCTGGATGGTAGCATATGTTGCTGCTAAACTTGTATATATTGTTCAGCTAAATACGCTAATTTCTATTGAAACATTTAAATGAACATGGGAGGAGGAGTAAGGGGTAGGCTAGAGGCCTAATAATAATTTAATACAGCACAAACTACTTAATTCTCTTGTCAAATACTATCACTAATTTTCTTGAAATCTTGAGCTTGTTCTACATTTACTGATATGATTTTATGTTCTTTAAATGCTGCTCATACAGGGGAGAGTGGGGGAAGATGAGCCATTTTTCATATTTGGGATCACTACATCAAGTCAATCATAGTTTTGTCTCTAACTAGTGAATCTGCATATATTTCAAGATGTTGTTCATCCCTGCAAACCAACAGAATGAGTTTAAACATAACTGTCTTGATAATATAGCATGCAAAAATAAAGTGCTCTCCTATGGTCAACTTACCCCGTGTATGCGGTGAGTTGACCATAGGAGCGGGGTAAGTTGAGCCATATCCCGACTACCTCCCCACTCTCCACCCCAGCCCTCCCTCCCCTTCTCTCTCCCTAAATAACAGTCACTTCTTCACATTCTTGTGTATTTTTATTTATTATACGCTATTCAACTGGTACAATAGTTCTTTTTATTATTATTACATATAACTGCTAAAAAGCTGTTTTGTAAAAAGCCATTTTAACATGAGAATGTCTTTAAGTGATTTAGAGCATTCACAGCTGTAGTTCTGATAAGACAAAGTAACACAGTTCAGCAATCTGAACTGAAACTCTGATCCTCTCATCAGACTTATTTACTTTCTTAGTTCAGGCTCATCTTACCCCAGAACGACTATTATGACTTTATTAGTCCTCTAAGCTAAAATGGTGGACTTTTATAGGTTTTTGACCTCATGTTTTAGCTCATAGATACCACAATTGATGTATAAAACAAATTTAAAATGATCTTTTTTGGTCTAAGCACAATTCTAATCAAACTTATGACAGACTAAGTTCACTTTCAAGAGTGAAAAATGTTTCTTGTAAATAAATGTCTAACCCCTTCACCCATGTGCTTCTAACGTTCACAGACTACATGAATTGATGCCCATCTCCTAAATATTTGGTCACATGATCAATTTCTTTTACCATTTCCAAGCAACAGGGGGTGGCTCAATTACCCTTTAGCTCAACTTACCCCACTCTCCCCTAACTGTTCATTCACAAAGCTATAGACATTACACGCCCAATTAAAGGAGACTGTGTTTGGTGTTGAATATAACATATGTCAGAAATACTCTCACAAAAACTGCGTTTTCCTGAATAAACTCCAGACTGTCTGTCTACATGTGAACCAGTCAAGTTTACAGTCCAAGTCTGAGCGTCATCTCTGATTGGATGAAACACGTGTGGCCTACCAACTTCCTGTGTCTGCACCATGGTCTGCACAGACAGAGCGTAAAGAAACAGACTGTCAGTATGTCAGCGCTCCTCCGCAGACTGCCGAGGATCGGCAACTCATCCAAGACGTGTCTGCGTCTCATTTTGCGCGAAACACGCGAACAAACTTCCGCCCCGACCCCCCGGTGCGGAGCGGGGCTCTGTGCGGGATCTCTGACGGCGTTCAGTCCCGCACAGAGCCGCGGGCAGCATACGGAGGCTGTGGATCCGCTGGAGGTGGATCTGAGACGTTTAGAGGGAGAGGACGACGGTAAGAACACGCAGAGGTTACCGTGGAGACAGTCTGAGTTAGGCTGTAGACACAGAGTGAAGCTGTGAAGACAAACTTAATGTACAGAAACACAGTTCAGGTGTGCAGGGAAACACACTTAAGCTCTGCAGCTTGTTGTATTTGATTGTTTGAACTTACTTTAGGGTCACTTTTGTAGAAAAAACAGATGAAACTCCCATAGCTGGTAGAAATGGATAACTTTTGGATGCTTCATTAATGTAATATTTAACCTGTGTTGAGTTGCATGGGAGTGTTGAAGTCTGGAGAGAGTGTAATGTCTTCACAGGAAGTAAGAGGACAAGTCAGAGCTTGAAACCTCAGCATATTTGCCACAGTGTCAACAAGCAGAATGAAAGTGTACAGAATGACCAGGGTTACAAAGGGGCGGAAAATTTCCAGAAACTTTCCATGGGAAGTTAAACTTGAGAATTTTTGAAATATTCCAAATTGGATACTTTACATGGGAATTATTGGGAATTAATGGGAATTAACTGGAAATTGGGGGTAATTAAAACTAACTGTATCATCTCTGAACATAAATGTAAATATTTTTGTTTTGTCATAAGCAGACATCCATGCAAAATAATACAAGTAATGGCAATGAACAATGGCATGAACAGAAATATAGTTGGCTAAACAACTGGAATGGTCTTCAAAATATTTGACAGTTGATGTATAAATTATTGTATGGTTACAGAAAACTGTCTTGCAGGAGTCAGAAGTAACAGCATCACATTTGAGGTAGCTACCACCACCATAATAAGTTAGCCCCTTATATGGTCAATGAAATAAAAAATATCTTACATTTAGCCCCTATTTTTATTTGATTTTTGCAAGTTAAATATTAATACTATTATAGATCAAATATATTTACCCCATAATATTATCAAAACTTACTTGACTTTATATAGTCGGTGGGCTCAAATGTCTTGTGCTTTGGGCTCAAAAGTGTGGCCTCCAGGGTTCAAGAAATCATCTGTGCATGTGATTGAGGAGTGTACTTGCATTAAATCTGGTTGTTTTAGCAAAGATTATGCTACAATATATTTCCCCCAACTATATTTAAGTTCCCTGTTGAGAGCCAACCTTCAATTTTGTAAATTTCAGATTTATTCCTGTTAATTCCCATATATTCCCGTTAATTCTCACATATTCCCGTTAATTCCCACATATTCCCGTTAATTCCCATATATTCCCATTAATTCCCAAGGAAAGTTTCCAGCTTTGAAAATTTCCAGAATTTTGCAACCCTAAGAATGACTGTACAGAGTAATCGTTCATCATACAATGATTAACCCTCTTGAATCCATCAGAACCAGTAAATTCTGTCTAAACAGTTTGTGTCTGTCAGGGATTGTGGAGGTCCTCATGTGTCGACAGAAAGCCAGAAACGCTCTGGGACACATGTTTGTGTCACAGGTGAGCACATGCAGAAACACACATGCACACACACACAACACCAAACACACACACAAGCTCTCTCTGACGGTGTGTGTGTGTGTGTGTGTACAGATGAGGGAGCTGGTGTCCTCTCTGTCCTCTGACTCAGCAGCTCGTGTGGTCGTCTTCAGGAGTCTGGTTCCAGGTGTTTTCTGCGCAGGTGAGACTTCACTTTGTGTGTGTCTGTGTATTTGTGTGTGTGAGATGATGTACCACAGGTAAACACAGAGCCAGGTGTGCGTTTGTGTGTGTTTCTCTAACAGGAGCAGACCTGAAGGAGCGTGCTCTGATGGATCACACAGAGTCTGATCTGTTTGTTCACGGCCTCAGATCCCTTATGACACAGATAGGTCAGAGGTCATGATGTTATTTATTGGCTTTATTACTCATTAATTTATGAATAAATATAAAAGTACTGATCCTTTTACAGAAATGAAGCTCCAAAAAGATAAATGAATGTCTTTGATTTGATTTGATACAAACTTGACTGTGCAGAACTCAACAGTCTTGATTTCTCCTTCCTCTCCTCCTGCAGCCTTGTTGCCCATGCCGACCATCGCAGCGGTGGACGGTGTTGCTGTGGGAGGGGGGTTGGAGCTCGCCTTAGCCTGCGACCTCCGCACTGCAGGTGAGCTTCAGTGAGCTTCAAATCTTCTTACTGCCACTGAATACATTGAACTGATCTGATCGGTCTACTCTGATCTGATCGGTCTGTTCTCCAAAGCAACAGTCTGGTGGAGAGGAGACTGCCTGACATGAAGCAGAGAAACATCCTTAACATAAGAATCAGTCTGAGGACTGTTGAAAAGTGTTACCATCTTGAACTGTTCAAGGAGAGTAACGTGTAGCGACCAGAGAGTCTTTAAACCTGAGGATAGCTTTAGTAAAAGCTGACAGAGACCAAGACATTTGTTGTTGCTGAGTGTGTGTGTGTCATTAACAACTTCCTGCTGATAAACAAACACACATCTGTCCAGTTGTTCACGGAGCTGGGTCCTTCTCTGGTTGGTTACACCGCTCTGTTATTGGCTGAGCTATGATGGGTTAGTGTGTGTGCTTGTGTGTTTGTGTGTGTATCCCTAACCTTCATTGTCCTCTGTGTTTCTGTCTTAGCATCCTCAGCTCAGATGGGACTGATTGAGACGACACGGGGTCTGCTCCCAGGGGCTGGTAATATGCACATACATGAGCACACAAACACATGTACGCATGCAAGCGTACACACACACACACACACACACACACACACACACACACACACACACACACACACACACACACACGCACACACCTGCAGAGTATAACATGAGGAGGAGGGGGTCAGAACTACTGTGATAGGTTGACCTTCACCTGCTTTGTCCTGCAGGGGGCAGTCAGCGTCTGCCGAGGACGATCGGGATCACTCTGGCCAAAGAGCTCATCTTTACAGGTGAGAAACTGACATTTAAAACAGAAACAGAAACATTTCATTTCACTATAGTAACATTAAAAAATACAACTTAAAAATACTCAAGAAACATTCAAAGAAATATTTTAGAAATATTGAAAAAATGTATTGAACCTGTTCAAAACATTTCAGAAATGTTATAGTTATCCATTTATAAAGATATGAATCTATATAGATATTGATTTGCAGTATTTGTCCTTTTTCATGATTAATGCTCTTTAGAGCACCTGGCCACTGAGAACACATGACTTCCTCTGGCCTTTTTACTCACTGAATCATGACTGAAACAAGGCTGTAACAATAAAGAGGTTTGACAGAAATATTACAAAACTATAGGAGGACTTATCAGAAACAAAGACACATAACAGGATCCTCGAAGATATTTCCAGATAAGTGACAGAGATGCTGCAGACTCAGGAGGCTCCCTCACTCTTCCCCCTCTCTCCTCGTTCTCCCTCTGTAATCAGGGAGGTGTGTAGGGGGGCTCTCAGCCCTACAGATGGGTCTTGTAAACAGATCAGTGGATCAGAATCAGACAGGAGACGCTGCCTACAGAGAAGCTCTGAGCCTGGCCAGAGAGATCCTCCCGCAGGTCAGGGTGCACACACACATGCACATACACACCATAAACACACACACACCCATTCCTCCTCTTCCACTCTTCGCTCTGTGTTCTCCTCTTCAGGCCTCTGTCATTCCTTGCTTCTTTCGCTTCAGTTCAGATGCTGCAGTTCAGAGCTGAAGATCCAGTCAAGTGGAGAGTAAACACACACACACACACAAGAGTTGATGTGAATTTACTGACTGTAGTTTGCATTAAAGTACTATATAGAGAGAATGAGCTTGTTGTGGTTACAGGGGAAATACAGAAGTTGCTTCATTTGACTGAGTTCACAGCCAGAAACAAAATACAGTTTGGAGGTCACAGCTAATAGTTCTGCAAAACTGTACAGGGTAAAATGTTGATAAAAAGCAGAATCTAATGGTTTGCAAACATTTTAAAGGCTATAATTAATTCAAAATTGTGAAAAGAGGCATGTGTAATGTTGAGACTGAAAAAAAAATGCCCTTTCTTCATTATAAATTTGATGTCAGCAACATGTTTCTAAAAATTAAAAGAGGGACAACCAAACAGGTAAAAAGTTGTCATGCTAAAAAAAAAGAACAGCTGAAAAACGTCATCTACAGTACAAAATCTGACAGTCTTTCTGTGAACAATGGACTCTACATCCTCCTGTCTAGGCTACAATAGTGCCAAACAATATCTACAGGTTTAGGAGCAACATGTGCCGCTGCCATCCAGACAATGACTTTTTAAGGGAAGACCTTCAAACTGCAGCAAGACAATGACAAACCACAACTTCCCTAACCTAACCCTAACTTCTCTTGAACTTTTTGATATTAAAGAAACAAACTTGCTGAGATTTGAGTTTTTTTCCAGTGTAACACCACACTGATCACCTGTTTTCTCCTGAAACCTTTTGTGTGTATCTTCAGGCCCCGCTGGCAGTGCGTCAGGCCAAAGAGGCAATGAACAGAGGAGTAGAGGTACATCCACTCTTACAGACTGTTTTTATTTCTGGATTATAAGCCATGTGACTGAGGTGTGTTTCCTGCAGGTGAACATAAGTTCAGCTATGGCTATAGAGAGGATGTGCTACGCGCAGGTGAGCCTTTTATTTTCTGTGAGATGTTGTTTCTTTTAACCTGATTCCCAAAACAAGAAGGGATCATGTAGTGAACAGGTGGTGATTTAAATGAAAGCTGAAGCTGTGTGGAGTCAGATCATTTCTTTCTGTAGGTGATCCCGACACAGGACAGACAGGAAGGGATGGCAGCTTTCATAGAGAAGAGACCCCCTCGATACACTGGAAAGTGACACTAAACATACACACATAAACACACATCCACTTTGAGGATGATCTTTTACTGGTCAAACAACTCTCTGATTTTTAGAAATGAACTTATTGATGACGTTACTTAATTTCATGGGAAGCTGCTGTTTGTAATAAAACACTCACACACCCTCTCTGAGTTTACATTCTTTATTTCAGAACGTTAACCAGACGCTCAGCAGTGTGACACACACACTCCTGAAGTACCTGTCCTCCATCTTCTTCATCATCATCAGGGGAGGTTTGGACATGATCAGGCGTGTTAAAAACACAAACAATCTGAGTTTGGAGATCAGCTGTTCAAAAGGTTTAAACTGAATCAGAATGACCAGATTTGGGACTCTCTGTTTCATTTCTGTCATGCAGGGTCAAACTTCTTTCTGTTCTTCCTTTACCATATCTGTCATGGTTCAAAAGTCAACCAGATGAAAGTGATCTGATTGGATCAAATCTGCCTGACTACTTTGACCCTTGGTTTTTCTCTGCGAAACCTTGTATCGTCAGACGGGAGGATAAGGCTCTTTCAATTTCAGCCGGAAAATCGAAGCCTATCAAAACCAATCACAGTCCTCTCGGTTTGATCTGAGCACCACTATACCTCTCTGATGTTCAGAATTGATAAACTATCCACGTATCCACCTTTAATATTTATATTTTAATGCAAGTGTGTTGCAAAGAACACCATCTATTATTATAAAGCTGGTATACATCTTTGTATTTAAAGATATGAAACACAAGTTAATATGTTTCATAAGATAAAAACTTGATTTACCCCACAGGGAAATTCAGTTGTCTGTAGTCTCATGTCATCTACTATTTACAGAAGAATTGTAACAGTCTGATGGCTGTGGGTACAAAAGATCTTCTAAATATTAAATAGACACTCAATATTGATAAAAGTAATTGTGATTATAATTTTTGCTACATCTGAGCAGACTGGGACTTGTCTTGTTTCATAGCCATCTCTTTAGGTGCACTGGTTTAGCTAGCCAATGTGGTTTCGTATGATGATACACATGTATGGGCAGATCTACGTCTGCGTAACATCTTTTGATCTTTTTATATAACCCTTTCTACATTACCTGGGCTCTACAGGACTACACACTCTGTCCACAGGGGACACCAAAATCCATGAACATGTACAGATTTATCTCTGCTTTTGATTAAATACTTCATGTTTGGCCATTTTTGTATTTGTTGAAACCATAGACCGTATAAAGAATGGACAGTCTGCCTCCTCTCTGGGTGAAGCCACTCAGAGAACAGCACCCTCTGGTGACGGGCTGCAGTATATGTCATAAATTCCACCTCCGCCAGCAAAGCTTATGGAGCTGTGGACAAACTTTAGAAATTGATTACACAGAACATAATTTTTTTTCCCCCTGCTTGTGATGTTGACATGTAGTTATTGTAAGACTGGTTTGTGCTCAAGTCCTCTTTTTTCTGTGAAGCTCCATTTTTAAAAGTTATTAGGGGGTTCATGTTTTCTATGATTGACACCTGATACAGCCTATGGGCGTTTTGGCTTTAAATCCATATACAGGCAGAAGGCGGAACCAAATTGTCCATAGTACATACAGTCTATGGTTCAGACCAAAAAACATAATTTTAAATTAGTTTTTTTAACAGCATATTTAAAGATTTTGCTCAAACCTGTCTGCTTCAATCTGATCATAATACTTAAGAACAGCTGAGTTACCTGTGATGAGATCAGTCTAATGTTCAGAACATTAGCTGATTTACAGAAACACTGACATAAGCTGAGGTCTGATCGTTGCTCTTTTTCTGTTCTCCGTTTAACATGCATGTACACCTGTTCTTCCTGCTGCAGAGTATTAACAGACACAAAGCATAACATCAGCAATACAGGATCTTCCCTCCCCTCAGTGAATGCTTGTCTCTTTTCCTCTTCCCTCGTTCTTTTTCAGAAAACAAAACAAACAGTAACATCATTTACGTGCAGCCTCAGCAAACATGTTTTCTTTCTCTCTCTGTTATATACAGATCACACGCACTCTGTAACATGCAGCTACCTCCTCATATACACAAACACACGCTCGGCCATCATACAACCCCAGGTCTGTAAGACTGGCATGCTGTGAGAGCAGAATTTGATAGTCTGTGAATCATCAAAAGTCCATATAAATATGAAAATAGTGCCAAAAAAACATACCAGATGTTGAAACTGGAGAGTTTTATTGTCCTGTTCCCGGAGTTTGGAAACTGAAAGGTTGTCCCATTAATGCCTGATAGAGGATTTCAGCTGCTCAACAGTTCAGGGTCTCCTTTGTCCCATTTTGTGTTATGATGCTCGAAATGTTTTTTAATAGGGGACAAGTCAGGACTGCAGGCAGGCCAGTTTAGCAGCAGGACTCTTCAGGACTTTGCAAACCATTAAATTCTGCTTTTACACAGCGTCACGACTCTTACAGAATTTAGGTTGCGCATAAACACTTTAACTGAGAATCTGTACTTTTACATCCATTCTCTATGACTGTACTGACCTCAGCATTATTACCATCTCTGTCCACAGACGACATTCAGTCAGATATGATGTTATCATTGTCACTGTCTGTTCAGTTATTGTAAAAATCCTCTTTGTGACGATTTTTAACTCTGAGTCCTGACTGGGCCTTGGCGTGTTTCTCTGATTCTTCTCATACGTTCAGCACTTTGCTCATCTTTATGTTGCATCTTCAGCGTCTCCAGCATTAAGAGTCCTGTCCAAACACCAGCTGATTTAAAGGAGGGGTCAGTGAACACAGCACGGCTGAAAACACAAGCAGACATTCCTGAACATCCAGACTGCAGCATGCTTTGCGCTCAGCAGCCACATGCATTTATCTATCGGCTGATACTCCAGTTCAGACCACCAGAGCACCCAGTGACACAGGAGCTGCAGGGGGTCGAAGGTCATTGTGATGACATCACACACCTCACATTGAGGTCATGTCTACTGACTCAAAAATTCCCTGGTGATTTCAGTCTCTCCAAACACACACAAATATTTTTGTTTTGAAACAAACACAGAAATATAAATAGTGTACGTATGTGTGTGTGAGTTCATGTGTGTGTGTGTGTGTGTGTTTGTGCAGGAGGAATCACACAGTCTTTTCCCTTTAGGGGATTCTAGCTGAAGTGTGTAACAGACACATAGAGTGTTGTGTGTTTGTCCTCCAACAGAAAACAGAACTAAAGACCTGCAGCTGAGATGAGTCTGAAGTAGCAGACCACCTCGCTGTGATGTCACTGTGTCGGCGGTGGTGGTGGCGGTGGTGGGCGGCGGCTGCACTGTGTGTGTGCAAGCTGGCCAGTGCGTGCTTGGTGGCGCTGCAGACTCTCAAGGATGCTCTCGGCCAGCAGCCGGACGTCTCTGTGCGTCTGAGGGTGAGTGTGAACCAGCTCCAGCTGCTGCAGGCCGCCCTCCTCCAGCAACATGCTGCAGTACCGAGCCGCTGCGGAAACACGCACGGGAGGAGGAGCATGAGGAATGAACAATGTAGAGTCACAACTGATGAGTGGTTCTGTGTGTATATGTGTGTTGGAGTCTCACCATTCTTGCTGCAGACATGCTGCATGGCCCAGGCAGCCCACAGCTGCACCCCAGGGGTGTGGAAACACTCGAGCAGGGGGAAGAAAGGGTTAAAGGACCTGCAGAGCCACACATTAAAAATAAATGAGTTTGATCTGTAGGTCACATGATCATGCTGCATGCTTTGATCAAAGAGTGTATAACTGCAGAGAGTTTGTCTCTCACCTGTACGCCACCATCTCACACTCAGGGGGAGGCCACTTAGTGATGACAGCGTGCTGAGGAGAGACACGGGTGAGAAACTCATTTACAGGTTTCACAGAGACAGCTGTCAGTGTTTCTGAGCAGAAAGGATGTAGGATATAGCTTCAGATCATTGAAGGTATCCATCATTATTCCTGATAATGGACATTTTTTCATTTATACCAGCAGCTGCATTCATGAAGCTTCGCAGTAAAAACAAATCTACTTTTCTCTCCCTGTATTCACATTCGACCTGTTAGATGAATGACCTTGTATCAAGGTCAAACTTTTACTCCATTTTGAAGCTGTGACAGACTGTGTTTGACAGCTGACCTTACATTAACTGTTGACAATTTAGGAGAGAAAAAACTGCTTCTTGCATGCATCTAGAAGTTGGTGTTGCAAACACAGAAAATGTGCGAAACACCAACAGCATAAAGATAACAGAAAATTTGAGTTATTCGGGCATCTTGATTCTTATTTATTTGCCAAATTTATTGATATACTAGAAAAGGTTATTACATCTCATGCAGGTCAAGTGTCAGATCTGCAGGCAAAGAGTTGAACCAAATGTGGTAAAAATAAGAGATACGTTTTCTTTTGTTCGGGGAAAATTCAAACTGTTGCTAAAAACGAAAGAGATTATTTTTAATTCGACCCACCGCATGTGGTTTGATGACCTGTATTTTCTCCTATCACAGTGTATATTGCAGAAAGAAAACACGTGACAGTGCCTGTTTTTTCTAATATTGTGCAGCCCTAACCAGAGAGTGCAGAGACGTAACAGCAGATTACTAATCTAGCTCTTAGTTGTTCTCACGCTCATGGACCAATCAGAATCCAGTATTCAGACTGTGGTGTGTGTTGTGTGATGTGTTGGTTCCTACCAGCTGCTCCAGCAGAGATGCTCTGAGCTCGGGGCTCAGTGTCCAGGCGTCCTCCCCCCGGGATGTCAGATGAGCCAGGATCCCTGCAGCGAAGTAGCTCACCTCCACCTCCGGACTGTGCAGCAGAGTGCTGATGTGATCCAGGAAGCTCTGCACCATCAGCTCCACATGCAGCTCCCCCACCTCGGCGATGTTGTTCTGCACACACATGCACAGGGAGGAAACGTCAGGGCTTACACTGGGACTGAAGTCAGATTATTAAAAAAGGGAGAAGAGAAGAGAGAGCCATATACTTACCAGCAGGCCCAGAACCTTCTGCTGGATGGAGGACTCATTAGGGAAAGACTGTGGGAGGAAAACAATGAGTCAGACCTCCAAAAAGAAAAACAGAAGCTGTGAAACTAAACTTCTTGATGTGTATCTACTCTGAAAATCCTCCCAGGAAGCTCCTTACTGAGCTTCAATATTGCTGTTTTAATGTCACTCTTCAGAGTGAGCCCTGATGAGAAACTTTATCCAGATGGGAACATAACTCGGAAATTTACTTATATGTGGGTGAGTAAAAATGTTTTTGTCACAAGAAAAGTGACACACAACTGGATGGATAAAAACATCCACAGTTTAATCATCTACAAGATAAGAAAAAAATGGTGCAGATTTTTCTGAGGATCACTCCTTTTAGTGCAGGAAAAAGAAGTTTTTCTTCTTGTCTTTAATATGTGTGTGTGTGTGTACAGACCTCAAGGACTTTGATGAACAGGTCCAGGCCCTGGTTCTCGATAAAGTGTCTGCAGGTTGTCGGCGACTCATCAGTCAGATTCCAGAGAGCGCTCAGGGTGAACTTCAACGTGGCGTCCACCACGCCCTGATTCGCCTTCTGACGCACGATTTGGAGGAGTTGCTGCAAGAGGAGGAAGATGTTTTTATTCCGAATGTTTGTTATAAATTAATAAATGTTAAAGAGGAGGGAGTAAGTTGAGACTGTACCTTGACGATGAACAGCTCTGCTCCCAGCTGAGCTGTCTGCTCTGTGCTCAGCTGAAAAACAGAGGTCACAGAGGTTAAAGAGGAAAAACAGCACATGTCACATGAATACATGACAGAGATTTACCTTAGCAGCCAGTATGGAGATGATCGCAACCGCCATCCTCTGCATGTTCTGGTCCTCGTGGTTACAAAGCCACTGCATCACCAGTTTGGCTGCTTCAAACCTGAAAAACAGAACAGGGAGGGAAAAATGTGATTGTGATGTGATCTCATTTTACTTCAGATTCCCACCTATATTACTCTGATGAACACTTCAATTCATTTCTATAAAGACCTTTAACCATTAAAAAGCTCTTAAAAAGACCCTAACCTTACTACAGTTCATTACGTTTTTCTCACCTGTTGAAGGGAACCTCCTGCAGGATGCGATCGCTGCACAGAGACAGCAGACAGTTCTTCTGCAGCTGCGAACAGACAACACCAAATGTGAACTCAGATGTAAGATCATGGCTGATTGGATTTTTTCCAACTTCAGAGCTGCGTCTGAGCAGGAAACATTAGATTTTCTGCAGCTGATTCAAACATTTTATTAACGGTTAACAACTCCTCCATCAGGCTGATGAATGCCTGTCTTTGTTGTTGTGTGTAATTGGGGGGGGGTCTTGGTTTGAGGATCATCAGCTAGAGGAGCTGCACCTGGGCCTGGTGCACTCCAGCTCTTTGAGGAAACAAAGTACGTCACAGTCCTCTGAGGTCTTGTTGAACTGGACATAATGACAGACCCGCCGCTCAGGAGTGCTTAAAGGCTCTGACTGCTGATGGAGGAGAGAGGATCGCGGGGGGTCTGAGGAGGGACATGTCTAATGCTGCATTCATGTGTGTTTGTGTGCATAAAAAGCTAAAAAAAAAAAACTAAATTCTGCTTTAGCTAATGCGCCAGTCTCGTTTTGTGAAATCACTGGAGAAGTGAAGGTACCTGCTGGTGGTTGGGGAAGGTCCTCATGGCCTCCAGCAGCAGCTGAGTGACGGAGCTCAGCAGCCTGACGGGCATCCCTGCAGCCAGGTCCTGTTTGGTCAGGTTGAACACACACGCACTTGCCGCCAGCTGCACGTTCAGCGTAGCGGGATGATTCTTCATCCCCAACACCACCAGCTGCAGAGAGTGAGAAAGTGTGCCGAAATAAAGGGTATGAACATGAAGTCAGAAGATGAAACTGAACAGGTTTAATGTGTTGTGAAAAAGATCTGTTCATGTTAAATTTGATTGTAAAAAGTTGTTAGAGGAACAACCAGACAGGTACAAAGTTGCGTAATGCTAAAAATCAGCTGGAGGTCCTGAATCAAGACTGGATGGACCTGATTTAGGTTTAGGAGAAAAAAAAGCTGCCACCCAGACAATGACTTTCTCAGGGAAGACCTTCATATTTCAGCAAGACAATGACAAACTAATCAGTGAAAGACCAGCTGATGACACAGATGAAGAAACATGATGCTTTAACTACTTTTGAGAAACAAGTTGCAAACAATCAAATTGTGTTTTTATCAACATTTTACACCCTCACTCTTGTGGAATCGAGGTTGTGTAACGTTTTAATAGAGAACTTATCTGAACAGAAACATCAAGCTTTTATCGTGTTATGACCTTTAGGATGTCGGGCCGCGGCGTCTCCATGACGTGCGTCAGGCTGAACAGGTGAAACAGAGCTTCTCTCACGAATCCCTCCCTCTCGCTGTAGCGACGTAGAGCCTCACAGATCTGCGTCTCATTGGCTTCTCCTGTTACCTGCTCACACACACATGACTCTGTTAGTTCAGCTCACCTGAGCTCCTCCACAGGTATCGTCTTCACTTAAGAGCATAGACACACCTTCAGATTTCCTTCTCCAGACAAGAAATCAGAGAACCCGGCGTCTGTCGCCAAAAGTCCAACGAAGGTCATCCCCGGTCTGTCCTCCACAAACGCTCTGACTGCTGCATCCGTTACCTGTAACATGTGAAAGATAACATGTCTCTATCAGGTATGTTCAATATGAAAAACACAAATGACAAGCACACACATAAAACACACACACACACACCTGTTTCCTCCCTGACACGTCCAGAGACACAAGGTTTGGCAGAATCCCCGGCTGACCGAGCAGCTGACGAGCCACGTCAGAGGTGAACTGTTTGTCATCACTGATGTCCAGGTGCTGTGCGCAGATACACACACATATTAAGGTAAGCAGCAGACACACAGACAGAGGTTTTTAACGTGTTTGCGGGAATATTTGTCTTGCACTGTACACACATGAAGCTATCTCTCTGCATATGCATATGGAAAAACGCTACAAAACAGCACATTGTCAAAATCAGCAGACTAAATTCCTTCATCCTGACCTGCAGCGCATCCAGCTGACCTATGACCCCCAGCAGCTGAGCCGTGCTCATCTCCAGCCTCTTCAGCTGGTGCAGAGTGAGCGAGCGCAGACGCTCCTTCAGGCCCAGCAGGGGGCTGAGGTTGGTGACCGACGTGTTGGACAGATCCAAACTCTCCAGACGGGGCAGAGAACAAACATCCTCAAGTCCTGAGTCATAGAAATCCACGTTAGCCAGAGAGAGCGAGCGGAGGCCTCGGAGGGAGCTGAACCGGTATCTGATTGGCTCCTCCAGAGATGACATGGTGAGACCTGTGAGGACGAGCCGCTGCAGAGACTCCTGCGGAAAGACGGACGGGAGACATTTAAATAGGGCGGCAACAACGTGACTAAAGGGTGATGTAAGGTTCGCTGATGGTTGCGCAAAATAAAATCCAAAGCAGGGCAGAAAATCCAGAAAATGCATGCACCTGCAAAAAAAAAGCTGTTGCTGGCTGATATTTTTGCCTGGGTTGATGCAGCCTTTACAGTTATTTGATGAATATTTTTTAGCTAAATAACAGGTGGGTGCATGTTTCAGCAGGCAAACACGCTCTGACTTTACCTCACAGTACTTGTTGGTGGCCAGGCCCTGCAGGATGTCGGGGATGGTGAGGTCTGCGTTGACTCTGGCGGCGTCCAGCTCCAGCAGCCTGTGAGGACACAGAGCTTTCTGGAAGGCCTCTGCAGAGATACGAGCCGTTCGGACGCACGCTCGCCTCAAACGCAGGTACTCGCAGGTACGAAACACGCCGACTGTGCTGTCATTCAGCAGACCTGCAGGGGGAGACACGTACACAGACTAAAAAAACACAGACGCTGGTGCAACTGAGGGATTCAAAGAGTTTTATAACAGAGAAAAACCTGACAAAGCTTCCACTGTGATGTTTTTTGCATGAACTAACTATGTGTACTTTTATAATTAGTTCAGGACTATAACAGGATAATTTATATTTACTGTAAAATGGTTTTATGCTGACAGATTTAGTTCATCAGTCCCATAAAACATCAGCAAATCGTCTGATATAGGGTGACAGAAAGATATCACTTCATGCATTTCTCAGTCTACTCCGTTGGCATTCAGAACAGTGATTCTACGGTGATAAAGATGTGTCATGCTGTGTTCTGCTGGTCTCCATGTTTACCTTCAGATGCCATCTTGGCGAGCAGCTGGTCCGCCAGCTCCTGAGGGAAGAGCACCGCCTCCCTAAAGCACAGCGATCCATCGGGACGCTTGATGCAGAACCAGTCCAGATTCTGGCTCACAAAGGTCAGGCAGAGGTCGCTCAGAGCCGCTGGGGAGGCCTCGTCCTGAAACATCTATGACATTTATGTGCTTTATTATTTAAAGGGTCTTATATTTGGAAAGGAGAATCACACCGCAGCTCCTGACGGGATACCTGTGCAGCAAAAACTCTAAAGTGCCTTATTGGACCTCAATCTGAGCCAAATTCACATAAGTCCAGATAGATATTTTAAAGATGTTACAGGGCAAAAAGGAGACTTAAATTGCTGGTAATGAGAAAAAATCTAAATGAAAAAGGAAAATTTACTTGATGAGTTTCCTGAAATAAGAATAATGGTCAACTTTGAGAAACCTCCAGAACATGTCAGGAAAATATGAGGCAAATTATAGAGTAGGATCAATATTTGGAGAAATAAATAACGGAAACAGGATGATGCGATCTTAATTCATAAATTAAAAGATCAAATATTCATTTTTATTATTTCTTTGTCAGCTTCTACAAGGAACAAACCCAGTTACTGAAAGTTCATTTGCTGTAACTGAGATGAAGAAAAGGACCAATTCATTCCATCATAGTTATAATCTGTAAAAATCGTACATTAAGTTTTCCCACTATTTGTGGGCGTTGAATGACAAGATATTCCGTTTGTCAGAGAATTACCGGAGATTATCTTCAATGGCCCTCTTGTTTAAGTCTAACATCCCTGCACAGCATCAAAGATTCACAGAAGAGACCATGGGGATGTAGAGTGAGTGACATTTTGTTAACCTCTTCTTAAACTGTTTTACATTTGTTTACTTTAGTGATTTATTTTGCACACATAGATGATTGCACATGATCTCACTGATGTGCTGACTTGAGGATGCTGACAATGCAATCATCTCGGCCATCTCTGTTAGGAAATGACATACAGATTGTAAACACTTCTAGTCATGAAGACAACTGCTACAAAGACATTGAAAAGAAACTGACAGAGCTGCACAGTAATTCTCAAATGTATCAGTAGTGCAATATGAGCATTTGCTACAAACACATCCCAAATATCTACACAAGGGATTCTTTCACTTAGAAAAATCACTGTTTCCTCACTCAGTATGAGCGTTTCACCTGTTAGATGCAGTCTTCAATAGTAAGGGTATTTTTCCTTTAGTTATTTAACTGTATCCACGTTTAAGCAGATAAACTGCAGAATATCCACAGCACAACTCTGTATGTTATAACTCAAAACCACTGGTATCAGACCGTCTGCCTCGTTTCAGGAAGCAGAAGGGAAAACTGTTCATTTTTCATACGTTGCTTTATGTTTCAGAAGGAAAGAAGATATTGGTGAAAGTAAAACATGTCAGGATGTTGTTCGTTTATGTTTTGAGGGAAGTTGCAAAGTAATGCCCCATTCTAATATCATGGCAGCTTCATGCATTCACTCATTTTTAGGTGAGGTTAATAAAATCCTTAAAGACCAAGGGTTTAGGGTTTAGAAAGGAGACTGAGATTTAGCTGTAGACCCTAGTTCTTGCAGTTGGAAGACACACAGTTCCTCAGAAGGTCCATAATTCCTCAGGAGAGTTCCTGCAGTCAAAAAGCACCGTAAGCTAAAATAACAGTTCTTGTCACCCATCTGCTGTTCATCATGTTTCACCAATGAGCACGCTGAAAGCTGCTTTTCCAGTGAAAAAGTCTCACCAGTTCATTTGAGGTGAGCCAACAAATGGCTGCAGCTTTATCTGACTGCATCACAATCACAGTGGTGTAAAAGCATGGCCATGAGACCAAGGAAATGTGCAAAGTGAGTGAGAAAGCAATGATTTTCAATGTTGAATCCTTTCTTCATTTATTGAGAATGTCTATACTGCAAATACTAAAGCAGCATTAAATGAGACATACTGTGCAGCTTGAATGGAGACATTAGTGCAGGTGCCTTTTCTAATGAAAGCGGTAATTCATATAGGTAGATCTATCTATCTATCTATGTATCTATCTATAATTTGTCTTGTACTGTGTGTCTGTGTGTGTCGTGCTGTCTTTAACATGCAGCTTTCACGTTTAAAATGAGCTCATCAGTTCTTATCAGAGTGACTTAACAGGGGTCAGAGCTGCAGCAGCTGGTGATGGAGATGATAATGAAGACGCTGTGTGGTGTTTCAGGTGTTCGCTCTCAGCAGGTGATAACAGATGAAGCTCACCGTGTTCAGCAGCCTGCAGGCCGGGCTCTCAGCTCCAATCCTCGGGTTTAATCCGGATTCTCCTCCACCTCGGATTAGCCTCTTAGCCTGTTAGCTCTGCTCACCTGAGCGGCGGCCTGTTGTTGTTCGTACCTGTTTGACACTGACACACGGACGGACGGACGGTAGACGGCCGACGTTAGCTCGCAGCTAACTCACTTGTTGTTGTCGCGCCTCCGCCGCGTGACGTCACCCCGTGCGCAGTGACGTCGCAGTGTGTGTGCGAGAGTCATCTTTAAATAAAACTCTGCAGCTGTAAGACGACTCCGAAGAAGAAGAGAGGAGTCTGAGCACAAACACACACAGAGATGACGGATCTGTTTTACTACACACACACATACACAGTCGACACAGGTCAAAACACAGGAAGTACATCAGTGCAGGCATAGATATATATATCAACGCTAGATGGCTTACGCACGCTGTAAACCAATGGAAACCGACGTCCACGCATGGCGGCCATCTTGCTACGGGACACTCGCCCACTCATAACATTTCAGTCTATGGTGCATGTAGCATTAAAATAACCATAGATTGCTTAATTCTGAACTGATTTTAAAACAGTTTGGTTTGTAACAAACCTCAGAGTTGTAGTTATGTTCCTGCATACTCAAGAATGATTTTAACGGTGGATTTTCATAAATACACATTAAGCAGATAGGTAGAGCAATAGCTACAGGCCTACACACAAGGCAGTTAAATTAAATAATTTATGTGTAAAACATTTAATCATTCCATGTTTGTTAAATTAGTAATATTTCTATTATAGGGATAACTATGATAACATAACTGAATAACATATACAAATATTTATTTTCAATATACATTTCTGCCTCATGTTGCCATTTTAGATGTTTCTAACAAACCAAATAGCTTGGAAATCATGTGCAACTTAAGTTTTGTTGAACTAAAAGAGCATCTCTGCCTCTCTAACTGATGTAAAGTTGCTGGGTCAACTTTGTAATACGTACTTGGTCTCACTCACAGCGAGTCTGTTAGCCAAGTTAGACAGCTAATAAACACAAGCACATCCACAAAGACTGTCACTTAGACAAAGTAAACAAATAAATAACAAATAAGCTTCCATACATACTCTAAAGTTAGCCCTTGCGCGCCAATAGCTGTAAAACGAAATGTTATGAATATAACTTCTGTTCCCTGAAGGAGAGGAACGAGGTACAACACATATAGTATGGGATATCACGCCCTTGCGTGGCCTGACTGAAGACACCTTTATTCACGCCTTTAAGGCAGATGATCTGTGGTGACGTCTGGGAGGCTCCGCCTGCACATATATACGTGTAACACCACAGTCATCCTTCAGTTCGATAGCCGCTCTTCACCGAGCCTAGCTGCGCAGTGGGGCAACCTAGTGTTGTACCTCGTTCCTCTCCTTCAGGGAACAGAAGTTATATTCATAACATTTCGTTCCCTTTCAGTCGATTCACTCGGTACAACACATATAGTATGGGACATATATACACGCCCCACAGAGCAGCCACCGAACCTTCAAAAGTCAAACCTTCAAAACTTTAGTGCACTGTAGACCCAGCAGAAAGGACAGAGTGAGCCACTGAAGGGGCTGTCCCATCCAAACAATAAAACCGAACAAAACTGTGCGGTGATGATCAACTGGCTGCAGTGCAGATATCACTCACAGAAACCCCTTTAAACAAGGCCTATGAGGCTGCCATTCCCCTGGTTGAATGTACCCTCACACCTTGGGGCAATGGAAGACCCCTGCTGCCGTATGCTAAGGAGATAGCCTCCACAATCCAGCGGGAAAGCTGCTGTTTAGACAGTGCCTTGCCTTAGGCTGGATTAGCAAAACAGACAAACAACTGGTAACATAAGCGCACACTCTGAGTGCGGTCTATGTAAGTGCGTAGTGCACGCACAGGGCACAAGGAATGCAACCTCCTCTGCTCCTCAGATGCAAATGGAGGACGGCAGAAGCTCAGTAGTTCAAAACTCATAGAGCTATAGGCTGTGGGGATAATCTTAGGCAAATACGCTGCATTTGGGCGCAATGTAGAGAGTGAACTGGATACAAAAAGGATGCACAAAGCATGAAGGTCATCCACTCGCCAAAGCAAGTAGCAGTGCAGTCTTGTATGAAAGCAATTTCATGTCTGCTGACTCAACGGTCTCAAATGAGGTCCACCAAGAGCCCCAAGCACCAACCCTAAATCCCATGAGGGAACACTGGGTTTAAGCACAGGTCTCAGCCTGCGGACTCCCTTTAGGAAGTGCATAGTAAGAGGGTGAGCGCCTGGCGACACACCATCTAAGCCAACATGGCATGCAGATACAGCTGCCAAATAGACTTTAATTGTTGAGAAATAGAGACCCCTATCCAGCCGCTCCTGAAGGAATGTTAAAACATCCACAATAGAACTTTGAAATGGGAGTACATTTCGGTCCTGACATGCAATCTCTACTCTCTCACAAGACGACCCCCCTGGAGAGAAGGTCTGGCCCAAGGTTTAAGTGACCCGGAATATGTGTGGCTCTGAGTGACAGAAAACGAACACTGCACCATAGCAACAGAGAGTGAGACAGTTTTGACAGGGGAAGAGAGCATGACCCTCCCTGTTTGTTTATGTAGGAAACCATGGTTGTGTTTTCCGCCCGATCAGAACCTGATGGCCCGTCAGAACCGGACGAAAATGCCTCAGAGCTAATAGGATAGCTAATAGCTCCAGGTAATTGTTGTGGAGCTTGCATTATGCTGGCGTCCACACACCTCTCACTGCTGCGCCCTCGCACAGAGCCCCCCGACCCCTCAGGGATGCGTCTGTGGAGACCACCTTGCGAAAAGACACCCTCCCTATCGGAGATCCCCGTTGTAGAAAACCGGGGTCTCTACACGGGAGAAGAGCCGACATGCAAGACGGAGTTATCGTCAGCCTCCTCTGGAGGTGACGCTGCGCGCACAGCCGGTGAGACTGAGTCCAGCGTTGAAACGCTCTCATTTTTAACAGTCCGAGCGGCACTACAGCGATCATAGATGCCATCATGCTTGTCAGCTTTAAAATCGACCGGAAACACAGTTTGCGTCCCAACTGAAATTGTGCAAAGCAGCGGTGAAACGCAGCCACCCTGCGTTCTGACAGACACGCTCGGCTTGAAACGGAGCATATTTCCAGCCCGAGAAATGACACCTGTTGACTCGGAGTCAGTGAACTTTTCTGTAAATTTACGGAAAAAGCCCAGTGTTTGGATGTGCGATAGGGTCAATGACAGCTGAGCCGCCGCTCGCTCTCTGAAGCTCGCGATTAGCACCCAGTCGTCCAGATAGGCTTAGATGCGCACACCTTTCTCCCTTAGTGGAGCCAATGCCGCCTCGACACATTTGGTGAATGTTCGGGGGCGAGTGATAAGCCGAACGGCAGCACCAGGTATTCGTAGGCTATGCCCTCGAATGCAAACCTTAGAAAGTGCCTGTGGTCCGGATGAATCGCTACGTGAAAGTAAGCATCTGTCAGATCGATAGTTGTAAACCAATCTCCCGGTCTGATTTCGCCCAGTAGCTGTCTGAGTGTTAGCATCTTGCACCTGTAAGTTCGTAGGTATTTGTTTAACACTCGCAAGTCTAGGATAGGACGGAGCCCTCCTCCTTTTTTCGGAACAACGAAATAGCGGCTGTACCAACCTTTGTTCGTTTCCGAAGCGGGAACAACTCATATCGCTCTCTTGTTCAACAAGTTGTTTATTTCTTCCCTCAGCACTGCTGCTTCCTCTGCTACAACTGTGTGTATTACAGTATGAAAGCGAGGCGGCCGGGCCCCGAACTGTAAACAGTAGCCCATGGCAACGGTTCTCTCTCCCCACGGTGAGACTGCGCATGCGCACCACCGGGGGAGACGAACAGAATGTCGAATGACCTCTAGTACTGTGGGGGAGGGGTTGTCGCCCTCTAGCGTGCCGGCTGGGAACAGCAATACTTTCCCGCCCAGACTTGATTGATTTATGATGTTTTGAGAACAAAACGAAACCTTTATTAGACTCGACGAACGCACATTTGTAACATTCACTCAGTGAACAACAGGCGCCATTACTGGGGCATGTGTGTGAGGGAGGATTGTGCTTGGGAAAACTGTGTTAAGGGAGTGCAGCGCCTCTCGGGACCGGACCCCTGAACAAACATTAAACGCGGCCTCTTTGGCGGCAAAAAATGAATATAACCCTGTTGTTTGGGCCTCGCATCACGCCTGGGAATGATGCTGCTCAAAGCTTCGGTTTGTTTTTTCCTCAGCTCAATCTTAGCCTGAATGTCGTCGAGGGACTGCCCAAACAAACCGCTGGCCGACACAGGCTCGTCGAGATAAACCGCTCTGTCCCTCTCCGGAACGTCGGAGAGAGTCAGCCATAGGTGCCTCTGCGCCACCACCGTGGAAGCCATGCCTCTACCGAGAGAGAGCGCTGCATAGCGGGACACACGGAGGATGTAATCTGTGGCGACCCTAGCTTCATTGAGGAGAGGAGAAAGCGGACTGTCAGGACGCATACTCGAGCCGAGTTCCGCCAGACACATAGCTTGATATGTCTGAAGCATGGTGACGAGCTCAGTGCACGAGCCGTATTTGCCTGTGTCCTGTAAATTTTATCCAGCTGTGACGCTGAAAACCTGCAGTGCTTGGATGGGAGCGTGATGGGGCTACCGACACCATAATTCTGGGCCGGGGCCAGATAAGCTGCCAGGGACGCCTCCATAGGCGGAGGGTTCACCAATCCAGCTTTTTCAGCTCCATCCAGGTCCAGAAACTGTCCACAACCGGGCACTGTGGCGCGGGTGGACAGCGGCTTGTCCCATGTCGAGGTTAGTTCCGCGACAAAATCCGGGAACATGGGCAAACTGTTCTTAACAGTCGTCGGTTCGGGTGGGAGAAAAAACCCCGAGAACCGCGACGGTTTTTGAGCCGGTGGAGGAGAGGGCCATCCTACTTCCAGTTTCTCAGCTGCACGGCGGTAGTGAGAGGAGGGATGTGTCGTCCAGATCAACCGGCGCAGCAGCGGCGGCATACTGACCCGAAGACAACGGCTCCTGCTCATCCTCCGAAAAACCCTGCACATCCAAGCCGATGTCCAGCACGTCATCGTCCTCCTGGTAACAAGCTAGCCCGGATAGCGGCTGGCCAGCGCCCTCGGTCGGGCCCGGCTCAAATCCAGCTGACCCGTCAGCACACTCTACATGGTCTGCCCAGTTTCCAACTGAGCCTTCGACCAGAAAGTCCTCACCACCGGACTCGGGCGAAGCCGGGTCTCTGGACTCGGAGAGGAGGGGATCGTGCATTGCAACAGCAGATATTCCTAGAATTTTCTCCACAAACTTGACCCGCCTTCCCATGGTTGAGCTCCGAAGCCGGTGACAAGACTCACACGACTCGGGCTCAGTCAACGCCCTCCTGGCGTGGAGAATACCCAGGCAAACGGGACAAGCCTCATGGAGATCCTTCTCGTGAAGGGAGAAGCCGCACCCCCGAGGACAGGGGCGAACAGAAGACTTCGCCTTCACCTTCATGGGCTTAGAGCTCATAACGAGACTCAAAAGCTGAACGAAATTAGCGCTCCGCGGGTAGCCGTAGGCTAACACCAACAAGGGCAGTTAAGCTAAAAACGATCAGGCAATAGCCACAGACAAGACCAGGCTGAGCTAGCAGCAGCTAGTTAGCCCGACTCGGTGTAGGTGTTCTCAGCGAGGTGAAGAACGTAAGAACTGAAGGATGACTGTGGTGTTACACGTATATATGTGCAGGCGGAGCCTCCCAGACGTCACCACAGATCATCTGCCTTAAAGGCGTGAATAAAGGTGTCTTCAGTCAGGCCACGCGAGGGCGTGATATCCCATACTATATGTGTTGTACCGAGTGAATCGACTGAAAGGGAACAACTGTGCTTCATGATTAAGTCTTTTTTTCTCAAAGAAAAGCTGCCAATTGATCATGTCCAAGCATCCTGACTCATAGCCACGTTATCAAGGTTTGTAATAAACAAAAGCATTTGTATATCTGTCAAGATTTCAGGGAGTTAAGAGTATTTTTGACCTTGCAGATTACTCACCTTCCACCAGCAACCACAGAGCGTACCTGAACGGTATACTGGAGTAAGATGGCCGCCGAGTAGGGACACAGGTGACTCCACCTCAAGTCGTCTAGCCTGTCTCATCGATATCTATGAGTGAAGGGGCGGGGCTACGGAAGCCCGTAGAGGACGATTACGAAAGCAGGAAGACATGCGGAGGGGAAATGTGGCGTGCTTATATCTGTCTGTAGAAAACTGGTTTTAAAATACTCACAGCGTGCTGTAGTGCCGTTTAACGATCCGTCAATCATCTGCCTATAATTTCAACGTAAAGTGAAATGTTTAATTGATCGCTGCGGAAGTTTTGGATCAAGGTCAGGTGTGTGGATGAAGAGCTCAGCCTCGAGCTCGGGTATAAATCTATAAACCTATTGCAGTCAGACAGACGGGAGATGGCCGGGCTGATCAACTTTGAGGATGAGAAGGAGGTGAAGGAGTTTCTGGATAATCTGGGGGTGGAGTACAGCTTCCAGTGCTACAAGGAGAAAGACCCTGAAGGTAACACGAACACCATACACTCACTGACATTAGATGAGACGTTCACGTGCAGATATAGAAGGCATGTTGTTAATTTTGTGTAAGATCTGTGTGTGTTTTATGTTTTGTCCTCTCAGGCTGTCAGAGGCTTGCAGATTACCTGGAAGGTGTGAAAAAAAACTTTGAGGGTTCAGCTCAGGTGCTCAAACACAACTGTGACACAAACGGACACGGAGAGAGCTGCTACAAACTGGGGGCTTATCACGTGACTGGCAAAGGTAACAGAAAGGTTACTCAATACAACCACCTCCTGCAGTACTTCTACAGTTAATCTACCCCAATTTCAGAAGTCTAGCCACACTGTAAAATGTTGATTTTCATGGTTTTCCAAGTCATTTAAAGCATTTGTATATTTGATTGAAAATAGAAGGAAAAAAATATCAAATGATAAAATTGAAAAATCTCTGCTCATTTTAAACGTGATACCTGCAACACATTTCAAAAAATTGTGACAGAGTCATGTCTCTCATGATGTGTCATTGTCTTTTCTTTCACCAACACTCTTTAAATGTTGAACATAGCAGACCAGTTTCTGGAGTTTGGAAAGTGAAATGTAGTCCCATTCTTGACTAATAGAGGATTTCAGCAGCTCAACGGTTCAGGGTCTCCTTAGTCCTGTTTTTTTGCATCAGGTCAGGACTGCAGGCAGGCCAGTTTAGCAGCAGGATTCTTCTACTACAGAGCCATGTTGTTGTAATCCCTGCAGAATTTGGTTTGTCATTGTCTTTACTGAATTATGAAGGTCTTCCCTGAAGCAGTCATTGTCTGGATGGCAGCAGATGTTGCTCCTAAACTTGTATTGTTCAGCATTAAGTTTAAAGAATGTCATATTTTGATTCAGCAGACCTCAGGAACATTTTCCTCTTCCCCTCAGTTCATCTTAAATGGGCTCTGGTCCAGAGAAGTCTCTGGTGTTTGTGGATCTTGTTTATATCTGGTTTCCTCTTTGTATGGTTCAGTTTTAACCGGCATTTGTGGATGAAGTGATGATCCGAGTTCACTAACAATGGTGTTTTGAAGTAATTTTGAGTCAATGCAGTGATTTCCACTACAGAGTACAGTCTGTTTTTAATGCAGTGCTGCCTGAGGGCCTGAAGATCATCCTGTCTTGGTTTTGGTCCTTGTCTTTTTTCTATAGAGATTTCTCCAGATGCTCTGAATCATTTAATGATGTTGTGTTCTGTAGGTGATTAAATCCACTCATTCTCTCACATTTTACACCCAGGAACATTATTCTGAAACTGTTGAACTATCAGCTCACTCAGGCCCTTACAGAGTACTGTTCCTCTTTCCTTCTGAAAGACTCTGCCTCTCTGAATGTCTTTTTTATACTCAGTCATGTAACTAACCTGTTGCATGTGTAGGTTCTCGTTCATTCAGGTCATGGTTAACCTGTTGTAAATTAACCTCATTAATTAAATTGCTTACGTGGATGTTTTCTGTTTACACTCAGGCCTTGTCTAATACTTCACAATAACCACCTTTCTTAAAAATGCATGAGAGGAACAGTCACTTAAACCAATAAAAATCCTTTCTCAGTCAGAGAAAGAGGTTGTAATGATCATTTTTGGACTGCTCCTTACAGCACTTGTAACTAAGTCTTTTAAAGGTGTGTTCTTGTTACCCATCTGTGTGTGTGTTGTGGCTCACCAGGAGGAGTGACGGAGTGTCTGAAAACGGCGTACTCGTACTTCATGCGTTCCTGTAAAGCTGGAGGGAAGAAGTCCACTGATGCCTGTCATAATGTGGGTCTGTTAGCCCATGACGGTCGAGCCACAGGGGGAGAACCTGACCTCTCAGCTGCTCGAGAGTACTACGAGAAGGCTTGCGCGGGAGGTTTTGCCCCCTCCTGCTTTAACCTCAGTGCGCTGTTCATCGAGGGGAACTCTAAAGGCCTGAGTCCCAACATGACTCAGGCCCTGCAGTATGCTAACAGAGCGTGTGAGTTGGGACACGTGTGGGGATGTGCTAACGCCAGTCGTATGTACAGACTGGGAGACGGCACTGAGAAGGACGAGAAGAAGGCGGAGGATCTGAAGAACCGAGCCAGAGAGCTGCATGGGTTAGAGAGGGAGCGGCAGCTCAAGTTTGGAGAGTGAACTGTGATGAGGATTTATTAGGAGTGCATTTACTTTAGGATCTTTGTATGCACATGTCTAAATGCGTGTTTGTGTGTGTGTAAAGATTAACCTGATTAGGATTTGAAATGTTGGGGACATCTCTTATTAAAGAAAAGGATGCTTCGATGTTGATGGTGCAGTTCAGAGAGTTGCTTTAAGTATGTTTGAAGGTTAAAGCCAAATATGAAAAACATCATTTCAATCTCAGAGCAATAAAAAGTTTGTTTATATAAGGGAGTTTTACATTGATCTGTGAAAGTCTTGATATAGGTTAAAGGCATATTAAAACACAAACTGATAGAGTTAAATTGAAGTTTAAAGCTCCTGTGAGGATTTTTTAGGCCTCTTTTATGAGCACAAAACACAGAAACCACCACTGAGAAGAATTTTACCTCTAAAGATGTTTTATTTTATACACAGGATAGAAGACATTTTTTAAATGTTTATATAACACACTTAAATTCATATGATGGATTTTTATGACATAAAAAAAGCAAACAAGACCACCAGGAATGAAATTTGCCGTTTTGATGCAGTAGTTTTTTAATGCCAGAAACAGGTGTGAGTGGGTAGGCGACAGCAAAGCAGCTACAGAAACAGCAGTGTTTTTTCATTTTTTCATGTTAAATATTATTGATGATACATACAGTCCTGCTATTCTTCAAGAACCTGACAAACAGAAAACCTATTCTTCTACTCAGTAAGATGTAAGGTATATATTTATCCAGATTTGAATAAGATTTTTCACAAACATTTTTTTAAGAGGACTAAAAATCCATCAGATCACTCTAGTGGAGATCATGTATTAATGGTCTATTTTTCCATTGAGTCCATTATTAGATTCTACCTAATTTTCAATGTTTGATTCAAATATTGATAAAATTTACACTGAAAATATTCTTATTGAACATAAATATTGAATAGTCTTAGCGTTTACTTTTTTCAGCATCTACACACTTTCTTTATCTACTCTTGCAATGCATCATAAACACATCAATAAGCCATATGAATGCATCTATAAGGCTTTATAACATCAACAACATAACAGCATAACATCTGTTCTGCGCTGCAGTCTGATGGGGAGGAAGTATCAAACAAAGATGCAAGACATCTTAGCAAACTGGTGATAAAGGCTGGCTCTGTGGTTGGATTCAAGCTGGACTCAGTGGAGGATGTGGTGGAGAGATCTACACTGAGGAAGGTGGAGACTATTCTAAAGAATATGGATCACCTACTTCACAACACCTTGATGGACCAAAAGGCCAATGGTGGTGCACAGCTCCTCTCTCTTCGCTGCAGGACAGAAAGATTCAGAAAATCTTTTGTACCAACAGCCATCAGACTGTTCAATTTTAAATAGAAGATGACTTTTAGAGACATGACAAATGAGACGACAGACAATTGAATTTCCCTTTGGGAATGAATTAAGTTTTTCTTATTTTTATTCTTATTCTTAAAAGTGACTATAAGCATTCATAACAACTTATTTTGAGAAAACAGCATCTTTTAATGTGAGGAAGGAAAAATTTATAAGAATGACAATGTAGTCTTGGCAATTATTTATGTATGACACTTGTGACCACAAAATCCTGCTCATAAGTTCTTATAAATGCGTTATAAGAACATGAAATAGTTAATCTCATACACTGCTGTTTCTTTACCTGAAACCTCCACGGTCATGCTTTAACACTTTTGGGAATTTGGGAAATTTAACACAAATTTGGGAATTGAAATGAAATAACTAAGAACTTTAAAAAGAAAGACTTATTCATTAAAATCAATGCATGAAAGGGTTTCAATGAGTACAGGCTCAGATCTGGATCTCTGCTTGTAGTGTTCAGTTTGTCCTCTAAGGGGAGCCCGCGTCACAAACATGGACTTTGCGCCTTTTTCGGACATCACAGCGGCTTTATTGTTCTCATAACGACTCTTATATCTAAAATTAACTTGACAAGTTGTAACCAGCAACCTATACGCACACCACTAAACTTTGAATAAAGGTGTATGTGTTTGAAGAATTCACGGTTACGTTAGCCGGTGTGAAGAGGAGGAGGAGGATGAAGGGCGGACTGAAGCTCCGCCCGTTAGCCGAGCGTCCCGTCGGTCCTCATTCAAAACACAACACAGCTGAGAGGAGCACCGCCTGTCTGTTAGCTGCAAACTGTTAGCCTGTAACAGCTGCGTGTGTGTGTGTCTGTGTGTGTGCTGCGTCCTCTAATGTTCCCGCACACACACCATCCGAGGAAGAAAGAAGAAAAAGCTCTGAGGTGAGTTTCACTCCATCATGACACCAACTTCACTCTCTCACACACAATCCCTCCCAACTAGCGGCTAACAGCGAGCTAACAGACGTTAAGCTGGGGTGTGTTTGGTTTTGAACTCGGGATGCTCCGTTATCAGTCAAATCTGCATCAAGCTGTGGGGGTGGAGATGGTGGAGGATGTCTGTGGACCCGGAGTTCTGGTTCAGGTTCTGGACTGAGTGATTATGGAGGGTATAGAGGTCTGACTTTGCTTTAACTCCAATTCACCCCCCTTTTTCTCCTCCCCTCCCCGCCCGCCCACGTGAAGCACCGACAGCAGCTCCCTGATATAAAGCTGATAAAAATAAATCATGCGCTCCCACACAGAGCTAAGCTAACGGTGCTAGCACGGATCATCACACTAACCCAGTTAGACTCTGTTAGCTCTGTGTTTTTATGTGTGCTTTCACGTGTGATGTTGAGCAGATCTGGTCTGGGACTTTGTGTGGATCAGGTCCCTGCTGGCTCTGTTACAGTGCTTGCAGACTCTCTGCCCCAGGGTGCGCTCAGCAGGGGCGTGTTCTCACTTTTTGACTGGGGTGGCCCAACAGAGGCAGCAGTGATGTTTACTTGAAGCTAACTCATCAGAATAACCGCTTGAGCAGATTAAAATGGCTTCATGTAAGCAATCTTATAAAGAGACTGGTTGAAAGACACTCCTTTTGCTTTGACATCACGTTTAGACTGTTATAATGGGAGGAGGCGCTGCTGAACCAGTCCCACAGGTAACACACCGCTCACCCACTCTCTGCCCAGCATGACAGCCAATCCACAGGACATGCATGGGTGTCACTTAGGGATGTGCCGATATACGATTCAATCGCGACATGCGATATTAAATGGCAGCGATGATGAAGTTTTGGGGTATTATTATTATCGTTCCACAATTATGATTTAAAGACGAGTGGCAGCGTCTCTCAGCAGAGGCGAGCGAAGCCTAGTACTTACCAACCTAACCCGCTTGTAGTCTTACCCATGGTGTCAAAGCCTGTGTAGCAAAATGTACAAACAAACCACCACAAAAGTAGTCCCAAATCCAAAAAACTCGAATTAAGTACATTAATGCTAGCCTAACAAAAATGGCAACATTAAAAGAGAAAATGAAGAAATTTTACAACAAAATGCATGGCCATTCCCGCCAAATGCACACAATGCTACTACGCAAGCGGTGGAACGGTACAACGCTATTTCAGGAAATCGAGAGAAAACGCGGAATTACCGGGAGCTTTTTGGCTTCAAATCCGTATACCGGCGGAAGGTGGAACCAAGTTGTCCATAGTCTTTGGTCAGAGCTGCTTAGGTTGTTGTGGTCTTTTAGTAAGTCCTGCAGGGTGTTGCTGTGCTCCAGGGGACAGAGAAAGCTATCATGTCTCGTGAATCTCTATACATCATGTTCTGATACACCATGAATGGAGTAACAGGTAAGGATAAACCTCACTGACGATGTGTCTGTCGAATAGAGACCCAATTAGACTAGCTGGTGACCCAAGTCTGGCAAAGGCGTAACTGTAGCAGCAGCCACATTGTCTTCTTGCTCTATCTGTACAATCAAAACACACATGGAGGATGTAAATATTAATACAAAGACTCAAGTTATCAAAGGTGTCATCTGTAATAGTCTGTCATACATTGCCCATGCTCTGATGACGGTTTAATCACACTGATAGCTGAATGTTTAAGAATAAAACTGTTAAGTGTGTGTGTGTGGAGGACACACACAGGAATCACATGATCACATGTTTATTGGCGAGGAAAAGATGACTTCATGTTTAAAACCTTCGCTGTGAGCTGTTTATCAGTCATGGACATACTTTATGTTTTCTCATAAGCATAACAAACTTTTAGAGACTTAAATCAGAGTGTGTACGGACGTGACATGCATAAGTGTGTGTGGAGATGTGTGTATGTGTTGTGTCGACCTTTCTGAGTATGTGACAGTGTAACATGTGACAGTCTGTCCTCTCCATCACAGGCTGCAGAGTTTAAACCCTCACAGCGTCTACATCGCTTATCTTATCTGTCAGTATGTGTGTGTGTTTTGTGTGTACGTGTGTGCGTGTGTGTGTGCAAAGAGGTATGCGTGTGTGCTGTGATCATACACTGTAATGGTCAGCACTGTAAGTTGTAAGGCAGTGTTCACTTAGAGTTGAAGTTCACCTCCAGGCATTTTTCTTGAATATGAATGTGTTGTGTGTGTGTGTGTGTCTGTGATGACCTGTGAGGAATGCTCCATATCTCTGTTCAGTGAGTTTCTGTGTAACACTTCACACCTGACCCTCAAATCCCAACTCAGACTCACGTCTGTGTGTAGATTTTTGAGTGTGTGTGTGTTGTGTAGTCTTGAGTGGTATGTGTGTTGATGTGATAAACAGGATCAGACTGTATTGGTTCAGATAGTGCTGATTAGAGCAGCTGTGTGTGTGTTTGTGTACTCAGATGGAGTTTTACAGGTAAGCCCTGATGACTCTGGGGTAGTTTGACATCAGTGAGAGTTGCTCCTGAAGACGGTCAGTGTGTATGTAAGTGTATGCGAGTGTGTGTACAGGTTAACCAGGTAATCTGAACTCTGTGGATTAGGACTTAATCCAATAGAAACTGGTTGATTCAGTATTGTGTTGAGCCTCAGATTTGCAGCATCCATCTGTACATCAGTTTACACAATGCACTCATTGATCTACGAGTGTGGATCCTCTTTGGGTAAAACATGCAAAATTAAGGGTTTAACAAAACCGCTCTTGTCCCTGATTCTGACCAGTCATTCAAAAAAAAAAAAAAGAGTTTCTGCTCAAGGTGCACAGATAGTGAAATTGGCTACCAATGCCACTGTTTTTAAATTTTTTCTTTGTATTTTTTTGTTTGTTTCTTAAATGAGCTGAGATTTTATGCAAATAATTAAAAAGTTGCTGGCCCCTCTGTTGAAGGTACCCACAGAGACCTCACTGCAAACATTTTCCTTCATGTATGATCATGAAATTCAATCAGTTTGTCCAGCAGGAGAATTCCTTTAGATATAAGAATAAGATGCAACAGGATATAGGTATCGTCTACTAACATAACAGTGCATGACACATAATTAGAGGTCAACCAATAATTGCTGTCAGATCTGATACCGGCACAATTATTCAGAGACAGTGAGACTGATGATTAATATGCATTTACTGAAAAAAACTGAAAAAGCTTACTGTCAAAATTGAAAAATTGGAATATTACAGATTTCTCTGGTCCTTCTCCATTCCCATCTTGTGTTTGTTTGTGCTGCCTTGTCAGTTTTCAGAGTGTAGCATGGGGTAGACCTGCTGAACAGCTGGAGTTGCAAGACAGAGGATTTCCCAAATAATGTACAGAATCACTGTTTATCTACATCAATAATAACCCCCCCAAACCTTTGACTCCAGATTCCAGACCTGGCTCTTCTCACTTTGGTGTTTTTTTGTTTTTTTTTTGATAAAGTTAAGTGAAATAGGATCTGGTGTCAACGTGGAGTGTTTATTTAAGTAATCTCGATGAAAATCTCAATCAACGATAGGTGATATAACTGCTGCTGAGGTTGACGATGTTTGAGACGATTTAGCATGCACATGGGTGGGGGGGGGCTTGTATGGAATCAGAGGGAGATGATCATTGGGAGGATAAATCCTCACAGGTGCAGGTTGATACACTTTTTATCAGTCTACCTGCATGCAGAAATCTCCCCCTGAATCATCTGATCAGCAGGTAGATCTCTAAAAGTCCTGCCCACCTCTATGACCCCTCCCACCTCCACCTGCTCTCAGCTGATCCTTCTGACACCACAGAACCTGCTCCATCTGCTCAGATATAGATTGTGTGTGTGTAAGTGTGTGTGTGTGAGGTATAACTTCTGTCAGAATCAGATTTGTGTGTTTACATAGAGGAGGTTCTGCGTCATCAAGTGTGTGCGTGTGCATGTGCATACTCTATTAGACATCTTGTTTATGTGTGTGTGTGACTCATAATCTGCAGCATTAAAATGACCATCAAGCCTTTTCTCGGTCGGATCTCCACTCTGTGATGCTCGGTATTGCCATGGTAACTGTGGTGTGTGTGTGTTTGCGTGTCTGTGTGTGAGTTACATCCATTCAGCACAGATGGATCTGCAGAGTCACATGTCATCTCAGTGTGTCGGTGTGTGTCTGCCTCTGTGTCATGTTGTTTCACAGTGTGTGTGTCAGTGATGGAGGATAAGTAAAAGGCTAATATAGTGTTTTTTAAATATGATATCATTAATTGATTATCAATTGCCAGTCATTGATTGATCGATCTATCTAGCATAACTTATGATCAATGTGTGTGATGGACTGCTGTTGTTAGTGTGTGTTGCTGTGTTTGATAGCGATATTATTAGATGATGATGTGTGTGTGTGTGATATGTGAGTGTGTGTAAAATGCTGCAGGCTGCTGGGTGAAGTGAGTGTTTTAGATGTGATCTTGGCAGCCGGCTGATCAGCTGACTCTGAGTGTGTGTGTCATTGTGTATATTGAGCAATGTGAAGCTTCTGTAACACACAGTTGATCACATTTTGAGGAAGTGTGTTTGTGTGCACAGAGGCTCTTCTGGTTGTGTGTGTGTGTGTGTGTGTATTATAGGTTGCATTCTTCCTGCTGTGTTGTAATCTCTTCGGTAGTACAAGTAGAGCGACACGCACTTGCACTACACAGCGTTAACACGCATGTGACTGACGGCTGACTGTTTCTCAGGAGACTTGTAGTGAGATGGGAGGGGCTCACACACACACACACACACACACACACACACACACACACACACACACACACACACACACACACACACACACACACACACACACACACACACAGTGCTGATTAGACACACAGCAGAGTTTTCTATGAGTGTTGATGGTGCTCGTTAAACAGGAGGAGACAGTGAGCAATCAAAGAGCTCAAATCCTTCCATTTTTATGACCCTGTTAAAAAAACTTCAATACAAGTCAAACCTGCCTGTTGTTCTTTTCGTTCAGAGCCGTTCAGTTGCTCTGACTGCTGACCCCTGGTCAGTCTGATGCTTTTTGTCCTGCTTTTTTTTTGGCAGCTTACAGCGTTTGGCTTTTGTTCTTTTTGTGTGTGCTGTCCTGTTGTTGCAGTATAACTCTTAAAGCTTTGTTCATGGGGCTCCTTTTACAGAAAATAAGGAAGGGCTGATCTCTGAATATGTGCGAACCCGCCATCGATCATGTTCCTGAGATGTCTTGCACTCTGTGAACTCCTCCTGTTATGGTTAAAGATGGAGCTGTGTACTCAGGAAGAGCTCAGGCTGCGCAGGATTAGAAAAAAAAGATGAGATACTACATCCATCTGCAATTTTCTGCAATAAGAAAAAGTCCAGATATCAAACTATATGAATGCACCATGTGTCTTTTTCATTGAGTTTGACTGAAGACATACTGTACTAACTATGTGCTATCCATGAGCTTTAATCAGCCCTTTGATAGCAGCTCTGAACCACCAGAGAACAGAAGAGCAACCCTTTTTTTCAAAGCTTTTCAAATACTGTTAGTTTTGTATCAGGGTTGTGTTACTTACATCATCAGTATCTTTGAGACAATGCTTCCTTTTTTAGGCCATCAGTGTCTCACACAGTACTGCACGCCGTAGTACATGTGCTGCTGCTGATGTAGCTTAGAAAAGTAAACACTTGATGGTACATCTGTAGTGTCAACAGTTTGCACAGCTTTGTTGTTTTGCATGATGTACTAAAACGTAGTTGTACTTTCAGGTGTCTCTATGATCTGACTTCATATGAACATGTTGCATTTTGCATTTGCAACACACAGACCTTCATACTGATAACCACAGAGAACAGCGGTACCATAACTGAGAATGTGAATTGAAAAGATTTCAATTGAAAATTCCTGTGGATTTCCTGTGTGATTATGAGAAGGCCTTTATGAGTTTTCTGTGTCAACATCCCTGTTGTTTTGGATGGTTTTATTATCTATACTGCTCAGAAGAGATGAGGAAGCTAGTTGGGGCCTGCAAATGTTTGCCAATGGTAGATACGGCGTCTGATTGGTCAATAGACTATAAGTAAGATGGCAGCCTTCCTTTGGCATTGTCGGCTAACAACAGAAATCCAACTATTTCACTAAAAATGTAACAAAACATCATAGGAGTTAGGAGTTTTAAATGGGACAATATGTATTAATAAACATTTACATGTTATAATGGGATTATAGCTGCCGGTCTAACAAAGTGAGTGGATTTTACAGGAAGTTTGTACATTGTACAGTTCTATTTTGAAAGCTAATACTGTAAAATAAACAATATTTTGTTGTATAAGACAGTGTTTTTAAATACTCTTGACTTCTGTTTGCTATGATTACTTCTTTGGTTGTTGTTCATGCTGACTGCCTTTTGTTGTTTTGCAAGGCACATGTGACCATTTGGAGGGGTCAATGAGGGAACTGTTAAGCACAAAGGCAGATGGTCCTGAAAGCTCTGGTACAGTGATGGATCCAAGACAATGGCTAGGTGATCTCTCAGAATAAGAAGTGTCTGAAACTGTCTGAATGTCCTGCTGGTGCCTTGAATAGACTTCAACACAGGTGTAATGTGGGTACAGGTGTGTTGTAAAGGTAAAACAGAAGACTTGTAAGGTTGAAAGATAAAGTCGGGTGTTTTTCAGCTGAGAATCTGACTGAGAGGACCAAACTCAGAGTCAGACACAGAGCTGGGAAGAAACAGGTTTTTGTTCTGTTGCTAAAGATGGCAAGTTGTGTGTATGTTAGGTTGTGTGTGTGTGTGTGTCTGCTGAAAGTGTCAGAGGTGATGTCAGGGGTCAGAGGTGAGTTCAGGGACAGCTCTGCAGAATTTGAACTCTGAGGTTCCAGCTGACACTTGAAGGCATTTCTGTGTTGTCATGGAAGGATTTTCACTCTGCATACCTGAAATACTCCCACAGGGAACTTCGGGTCACATGACCAGAGAGGAGTGTGGTCAGATACTTTTCTAAAAACAAAATGCTTGAGCAGAAGTTCTTTTTCAGTTTTGCATTGTTTGCAGCAACTTGAAAAGGGACTGTGTTCAATCAAAAGACCCCCCCCCCCCATATGAGTCTTAAACATTAACAGTCTTTTCTTGGTTCCTTACATCCCCTGTTTCATCTGCTTGTGTACAGACTCTGGCTTACTTACCTGAAAAAAATCACTTGTGAATATCTTGAAACGAGTGGGTTTTAAGTTTGATAAAATAACATCTTTGTGTAGGTTTCAGGAGAGTCTCAGACTACGTTTACACGTGCCCAGTTATTTTCATAAACAGACATTTCACCCTCTACGTTTACAAAAAAAACTGTGCAAACCACTATGTTTTCAGAAAAGTTTTCATTTACACTAACCCGTGTATATATGCTGTCAACAGCATATCAAATATGTGTGTGGCAGTGTAGCAAGAAGCTCTAGCCCATGTTAGCCAATCAGAATCAGCAGCATAGCAGCAGCAACAACAACAACAACAACATGCTTTCCTTCTTTCCTGTGTACAATCTGCCATCAAATAGCCAAATCTCATTTTACCTCAGTTTTTCTCTGTTTACATGCGCACGTGCAAGTGGAGTTTGCCAAAATCTCCACTCTGGCCGGAGTTTTTAAATAGCATTGAATAAGTCACACTGCAGCTTTACTCTGGCGTACTCAGCTCTATGAACCTGAAAAACAAAGATTGTCTTTTGATTTTCATGATAAATATCAGAGTTTGTTTTAACAATACTTTGTAAATGCAGACTTTTGCTGAGTCTCAGTTTTACTGTAAAAAGTGAGTAACACAGAGCCGTTACTCTGGTTTACTTTGGAAGTATGATTTTGAAAAATTAACTGCTTTTCTTGTGATTTTTCTTTAAATTATAATGTTTGTTGAATGGAGGTTAGATCCATCATTATTTTAAAGGCCTTAGTGACAGGTTTGTCTTTGATGTTGAACCTTGTAGAGGTTGAGGACGTGCTTTACCCTCTCTCTTTGTTATAAACATGGAGAAGTAGCATCAGGAGCTGCTCCAGAACAGACGCATGGAACCCTTTTCTCCAGTCAGGTGTGTTGAATGAGTGAGCTGCAGGCTTGTGCGGACTTTTGTTCTGTTTTGTTGTACAGTTAGAGCTCCCCCCAAGATAAACAAAGTGAAGCCGCACCCTCCTCTTCCTCCCACCGTGTGTCCCTTTGTGTGTGTGTGTGCGTGCGCATGTTTTTGTGTGAATCAGAGTCATTTTTCAGTCTGGACTCTGAGGTTGTCTCTGATTTAAAACCAGAGCAGGTTTGTGTCATGGAAACAACCTGAAGCTGCCAGAGACTACACATCACATCACATCTCACACACACACACACACACACACACACACACACACACACACACACACACACACACACACACACACACACACACACACACACACACACACACACACACACACCCCTGAACATCAGGCCTGTTGTTCTTCCAGATTGTTCTCCGTCAGTTTTAGTCTAAAAGCTGAACTGTTTGAACTGTTCGTACTTGCTGTGAATACAAAGCTCCCTCCTCTTCCTGCTCCTCCTCCTCCTTCTCGTCCTCCTTGTCCAAATGAACGGATGACTCACCTCCTACTGTTTCCTGTCACCTGTGTTCAGGTGTTCACGGGCTGGGCTCTGACATGCACACACATGTCTGCAGTCACACTTGCTCTCCATCACCAACTGTCACACTGCTGTTCACTCTGTTATTCTCACATTGTGTAATGCAACATGAATGTCACCACATTTTATACCTCAATGCTGCGAAGAACAGGTAGTTTGATCTCATTTTGAATCCACTCTTCCTTTTCCCGGATTAGGTAATTTTGATTTGTTCTTAAATTCCCAGAAAGAGGCTGGGAATTGTTTGTGTTTCACACGATGGCTTCCTTAAACTGCCAAAAATCTTCTGTTTGGTATTCAAGAAGTGAAACTGTAGGATTCACTGATTTTCACTTCATTATTCACAAACTGCAATCAGAGAAATTGTTTCTTTTTTTTTTTTTTTGCTTAAAAAGGATATGAAATAGTTCTGATTGTTTTAAGAGGAAATACATTTGTTCGTTGACAACTTATTGATAATTTGTTGCAGCTCTGCCTCACAGTATTCAGGGATATAGTTATGAGTCATATTCAGACAAAAGTCGAGCAGAGAAAAATCACTGTCTGTCAAACTTCAGAACACCTTTTATTAAAGCAAAAGCACCCAAAGTCTGTTACTCAGACTTAAACCAGAAGCTAAAAAACAAACAAACTAAAGAACTTAAAACGAAAAATGAAACAAAAAGTAGAAGTAAATGTTTATGCACACTGATAGGAATTAAATATGAGTGATATAAAAAGTAATCAAAATAAGATGAAAAAAACATTTAAAACAGTAAAATGTAAATAGCTAAAATCTGGTGGACACATTAGTTTTTGAGTGGATGAATACCAATCATGAGAGAGCAGGTTGAATGATGGTTGATATATATTTGCTGATATCACACTGTTTTTCTTTATCTTTTTTTGGTTTGTTTTTAGTTAAAAAGTTTAGCTCGGGCTTGATGGTTCCTGCAGGAAGAATCTTGAAATTTGCTGGAATGTGGGTATGATTTAATTTCATGATAACCAACATTTCTGATTTTGAATCCATTAAAAAAAAATCTCCATCTGTCATCAATAGTATAGATCAGTGGTTCTCAAGTCCAGTCCTCGAGGTCCACTGTCCTGCATGTTTTGGATGTTTCCCTGCTCCAACACACCTGATTCAAATGATTAGCTCGTTATCAAGATCTGTAATGGCTTAATAACGAGCTGATCATTTGAATCAGGTGTGTCGGAGCAGGGAAACATCCAAAACATGCAGGACTGTGGGCCTCGAGAACCACGGGTATAGACCATCTCCTGTTTCTCTCACCCCTGGTGTCTGATGAGCTGCAGTGCTTAATAAACACTGAGTAGAGAGAGGGAGAGGTTTTCCAGTACATCCCACCTGTTAAAGCTGTACAATATGATCTCTCTTGTACTGCTGTTTCAATTAACACCTTTTGTGGTAATGCAGTATTTCAGGAAAATTTCTAAATATGCATTCTGTTATCAAAGCATCTTTATAAAACATCCTCCTGTTGAAAAAGGTTTGAAAAAGCAGACATAGAGAAGATAAACTGGTGAGAGACATGTCGCTGTGTGTGCACAGAGGAAACCTGCAGGTGTAGTGTGTGTGTGTGTGTGTGTGTGTGTGTGTGTGTGTGTGTGTGTGTGTGTGTGTGTGTGTGTGTGTGTGTGTGTGTGTGTGTGTGTGTGTGTGTGTGTGTGTGTGTTTGGAGGGTGGAGGGGGGTGGTGACAGACAGAGAAAAATTCGATGAGAACATTAGAGTCGTTTTTTAGTATTCATAAATAGGTTTGAGGAGAAGGCTTAAAGAGCCCCCTTCAAAATAACAATAGATGAATGACATAAACTAATTCAACAATAGACAGAGTCGTGTTTTTGATACCGTGAACTACTCCTTTAATGCTTCAGAGACGCAGGACATGTTCTGATCAACATCACTATTAACAGCAGTGTTTGTGTGTGTGACAGTGTGAATGTGAACATGACACGATCTGCGAGTGTTTCTGTGACTTCCTCTTGTCTCAGAGCCTGATGAAGGGGACAGTCTTGGAATGATCTGGAAGAGAATGGAGGGAGAGTCTGTGTTTCCTATTTATAGTCAATATGTGAGACTCATCCTGTCTGTACTCGTCCTCTTTTCTGTGTGTGTGTGTGTGTGTGTGTGTGTGTGTGTGTGCGTGCGTGTGTGTGCAGCCCCGGGACATGCTGCTCTGTGGGAGGGGGGATCGGAAGGGGTGTGAGGGGCTCCTTCAGGGGGAAAGTAGAGAGGGGGAGGCGGGTGGGGGATGGGGGATAGAGGAGATACAGCTGTTTCTCAGCTGCCCCCCCCCCGTCCTCTGAAACAGTGAGTTCACAGTGAGTCTGTTGTTCGGTCTGAATCGACGATGTTTCTCAGCTGCTGTCCCATTAGGAAGAGCATCAGATCTGTTTACAGCTGTTTCTGCGTCTCTGACATGATGGTACACAGCTACTCTCTCTGTCTGCATCCACTCTTGTGTGTTTGTAGATGGGTGTCATGTTTTAGTCCCCATGTGACCCTTGACCCAGTGACCTCCTTGAGCTCTGTGTGGAATGGATGTATGTGGGTGTAGTTCATGTGTTCAGAAGAAAGTTTGGATGTACTTTCCTATCTCTTTCCCTTCGCTGAATGTAAGATGACTAACTCACTCTTCTCCTCTCGCTCCTTTCACCCATGAACTCTTGATATTTCCAGAAAATTTCAGGTCTTTTCAGGCCCTCAGTTTTTAGAAACTTGCCTTTAACACATGCACCTCACAGCAGGAGATTTTCTCGTGCTCTCCCAGCTCCATTTGCTTTGGGTGAAGGAGGGGCGGCTCGGTAACTCACACAGGAGAATGAGGAGTGTTATGTGTACCATTTCAGGGTAAAGTCATTTTCTCACCAGCCTCCTGGTGAAACTTCAGCAACACTTTTGTATGAGCAAATGTAATGGTGTGTCCCAAATCGCATACTTCCGTACTAAATACGTAGATTTTTCAAATTGAGTATTCTAAGCATACTATGTACTCAATCGCCCAGTGCTTGAGTTTCAAGGGTGCAGTGTTGTTCCAAATCGCTTACTGCCACGCGGCGCACTCACTGAAAATGACAACGCAATTTCTTCTTCTACGCCAATTGGTCACCAGCTAGCTCTGCATCAGCTAATTACCGCCACCTTTTGCCTGCGCTCGTTCATCCACTTTTGAGGTAAAATCAGCAACGAAATCAATGTTCATCGCTCATTTTTACGCCACGGATAACACTTCGGAACCTGGCGGCTACTAGCTAACTAGCTAACGAGCTAACTAGCATTTGCGATAACATTTGCAAATCGCATACTTCCGTACTAAATACTTAGATTTTTCAAATTGAGTATTCTAAGCATACTATGTACTCAATCGCCCAGTGCTTGAGTTTCAAGGGTGCAGTGTTGTTCCAAATCGCTTACTGCCACGCGGCGCACTCACTGAAAATGACAACGCAATTTCTTCTTCTACGCCAATTGGTCACCAGCTAGCTCTGCATCAGCTAATTACCGCCACCTTTTGCCTGCGCTCGTTCATCCACTTTTGAGGTAAAATCAGCAACGAAATCAACGTTCATCGCTCATTTTTACGCCACGGATAACACTTCGGAACCTGGCGGCTACTAGCTAACTAGCTAACGAGCTAACTAGCATTTGCGATAACATTTGCGGTAAAAGACAAACAGGTTACCCAGGTTGCTGGCGGTGCTTGGTGGAAAGAACATGTATAAAAGGCAACTTATTACTAGTGATGCACGATATGAAAAATTTCAACAGATACCGATAACCGATAATTTTCTTCTTCTCATGGCCGATACCGATAACCGATAAATTCATATTTTTACATTTATTATAATCTTCATATAATCAGCAGTTTGTGCAGGATGCAGCGATTGAAAACTGATGTTTTTGTTGCTCTGGCCTATCTAGAACAACAAACAAAAGTTTTTGGCTCTTCAAATGTGGTCATTTGCTATAAATAACAATAACAGAGCAAAAAGCAGAACTTCATTTGATCCCCTGAACTGTTCAACAGAACTGTAAACTGTAAAGGAGCTATTATGAGACGTTAGGCTTAGCATGCTGACTGGACTAACATCTGACGTCCATATGTCTGTGGTAAAACTCACGTGTAGTCCGTTCTTGTCGATCAGGTTGTGAATGTATGTGGCGACAATATCATAGAGTGCAGGAAGAGACACATCCGAGAAGAAGCGGCGGCTTGGGAGAGTGTAACGTGGCTCCAAGTGTGCTATTAACTTACGAAAACCCGGGTTCTCAACGACGGAAAAAGGCTGGTCGTCGATCGCTATGAACTCCATCACTTTGTCGTTAATGGCTTTAGCCTTTTCGCTGTCTCTTGAAAAGCTTTTGCAGTTTTTAAACGCCCGCTGAATGGGGACATCGATCCTCCGTAGTGTTGTTGTCTTAGCTTTAGTACCACTAGCAGCTTCGGCGGCTGTCTCATAATCTTTTACTACCGCTTCGCCGCGATGGCGACTTTTCAGATGAGCTATCAGATTCGTTGTGTTAAAACTTGACGTCTTCTTTCCTCCTCTCGGAATCCTCGCTGAACAGGTTTTGCATATAGCATTGCTGTTGTCATCTTCTGCCACTGAGAGAAACGACCATGCTGGTGAGGACATTTTATTATCTGTCAGGTAGTGACAGGGTCAGGCTTGGGACCTGCGAGTAAGGCGCGATAGATGACGTAACCAGCGCGTCTCGGACGGGCGGCTACTCCGCCTGCAAACGTTACTCGTAATTTCATTAATATATCAGATCTTTCTATCGGAAAGATGCACCTATCGGACCGATAAAAAATGACGTAATTTCTCCCCAAATCGGCCGATATTTTATCGGTCCGATAAATATCGTGCATCCCTACTTATTACGTACATCTGTACAAAGCTTCCAGGTCGACCATCGCCGACCCACTGGCACCACAGCCGTCCACTGCCATTCTAACTGATGAGATGAGTGCGGCGAGTGTCCACAGTCGGATACTCAAAATCCTTGACCGATTTAAGTGCGTCATCCGGGTACTTTTGCCCACTCAATTTTCACTGACCATCCATACTTTTTTCCGTTGAGTATACTCAAAATTTTAAGTATTTAGTACTGGAAGTATGCGATTTGGGACACATCATAAGAGTGCAGCAGGCACAAGAAGCTGTAGGCACATGGAAATCTCTTTTCCTTGTCCTTCCCTTCCAGCATAACATATCACACAGCCGCCACAGTCTTCATCCAAGTTATCAAGCTGCTTTGTACTCTTTTCTTTTTTACTGATGCCATCAATTAGTTTGTTTACTTGTGCATCGACAAAAAAGCAGAAGCCGCGAGAGTCTGCTTCACTTGCCATCTTGGATAGCTTGTAAACATTAAACAGCGACCATTGCAGTGCTTTTTTTGTTTTACTTTTTGGAAGTTTTCAGGAATCTAAATGTGAAAGGGCTGAAGACTTCTTCCAGAGTGCTGCCAGGAAAAAAGTGCAGATGAAGTCAATAAAAAATTGTGTCGTCGCTCTTACAGCTCACCAGGATGAAGTCAGGAAAGTTATGGAGTTGTTTGCATGTCTGAAAGGAGCTAGAGTGTCTTCCTCTGGTTCCGCTCGTACCCCCTCCCTTCCAGCACTCCTCTCTTTGTGTTTTGGGTTGTAGTCTAAGGTTTATCGGTCCCTGGGGGCCGGGCAGGGCCGTGTTAGAGGAAGTCATGCGTGCAGACAGTGTGTGTGAGAGCCTGTGTTCAGCTGTTATCTCAGTGCTGCTCAGTTAAACAGGTTCAAAGTGATCAGAGTTCTGGATCCAGACTAATCTTACGGGTAAACACTCAAAGTTCAACAGAGACTCAGAGCTTTGTTCTCTGTGCGACTGAACACAGTGTCCAGATATGAGACAGTTAGACCGAGTGTGTGCAGATAGAAAACAGTCGGACTGTTGTAAGACAGAGGACGAGAGGCGAACAGCAGTCAGCCTGCAGTGGGTTAGTGTTACAGATACGTCACATTCAGCTGCTGCAGAGATGTTTATGTGTCTGATCAGAGGACAGCATGAGGATAGAGTGGCTTTTAGGATAAACTCTTTTAGATAACACAGACTGGAGGAATTTACAGCAGACCCTGCAGGATGAAGAGAACTCTCTAATCTCACACTGACTCATCAAACTGGTGATTAAAACAGTCCAGAGAGAGGAGAGTTTATTTTTATGGCACATTTCATAGCTGCAGTCTGCTCTTCTACTGCCATGCTTTCATAGCAGAGGTTTGATCTCCATAGCAACAGTCTGCTCTTTATAGCAAGGGTCTGCTATAAAAGATAACAGACCTTTGAATGCAGGAATAAAGCAATAAGAATGTATGCAATAACACCATGTTTGTAACTTGACTACTACAAGACTGAAACATATCTGCTTTGCAATTTTGAAACAGGACTTCAACATGTTGAACATGTCTATGAATAGAGTGTGTAGTTTTCTTTTTTTGACTAATTTGGCTGTTAATATTCCCGAACTCCAGCTATACAGATAAACACACGTGTGCTGAATAACCATATGTGCTTATAGTAACCTTCATTTACCAGCAATAAGCACCAAAGCACTCATGCTATTATAGATTAATACTTAGTTTTGTTTTGCTTCAGTTAACTTGATAATTATGATTGTAGACTGTGAGGATTTGTCAAGGCCAGGCTGCTACTCTGAGAGGGAGAGAGTGAAGAAGACGGCTCTGCTAATATAATTATTTACCAGAGTTTCCAGACATGTAGGGTCATTGAGCTGGATCGTTATCATGCATAGGTTATACCCATGGGGTGAAAGAGAAAAGGCACAGTTTTTGTTGTTTTAACATTAATTTCCATCAGTAAAGCCAGTACACACAGCAGAGTCCTCCTTGTCCCTCCTGTGACTTACTTTGATGTAAATTCCTCCAGACTTCATCCTGATCAACATGTGGTAGACTAGGAGAGCAAGGGTATGGTTCTCAGTTCAGTTCATTTTCTAAACAGTAAGAGAAACAAACTCCTTTAGGAGTTTGCAAAGATCATGGTACATCTTTGAATGTGTTTTTGGTGTGCTAAAGTGTAGACAGAGGATTTCAGGAGCTACTTGTTCACCTGTACTTCAAGGAGTGAAACCTGTCTGATATTCAGACCATTATGGTTGCTGTTGCTGTCACTGTTTTCAACCAAACATATTGGCTGTTGATACCTTTATCTGCTAGATTAATGCAGGTGAAAACCCAAAAAGTTGGTAGATATCTAACGCAAAAGCTTTTCCATATCGTAGGGTGACAGTTTAGACGTGAAGTCTTTAATCTCATTCTGTCCTCTGTAGACAAAGGACTGTGTGTGTGTGTGTGTGTGTGTGTGTGTGTGTGTGTGTGTGTGTGTGTGTGTGTACACTGGTTAAATAGTAGTTTGTCAGGTTTCAGCTTGTTGTGTCTCACTCTGAAGCCCTCAGGGTCCAACTGGTACTAGAATTAAACCTGCTAAAACACACTCAAACACACACACACACACACACACACACACACACACACACACACACACACACACACACACACACACACACACACACACACACACTTTGCAGTTTTCAAAACAACAACATATAAAAAGTTGATTCATTTCAGATAGAGATACCTTTTTATCTTTGTTTTGTAATGGTTCAAGTAGCTCATTAATAACTGGGGATGTTACAGTCAGAGATGCGTGACATTGGATTTTGAAAGATATCTGATATGCCGATATTTTCAAACTCATACTGGACTGTACTGATATCAACACCAATAGATATACACACCTTTGTAAAGTGTTTTCCCTGTAGGAGTTTGCCCGTTACTCTTACTGTGACAGTTTATCTGATTTAAAAGTAGACATAAAACAAGAGAAAACAACATTTTCAGATAACTTATTTCATTCTAAGGGGCAGTGGTTTGACAGAACTACTCTTTGGACTTAACTTGGCCCCCCTTGAGAAGGCAAACATCATCAACACCAGAGGTAGATTGCTTCAGGCTGCTCACTGAGAAGCAGAAGAAAAACTAACACCAATGATTGACATTACAGGCCATTTTCTGCTTATACTGATACTGTGCCAATAATATTGTTTATATCACTAGCTAGAGTGTTGTCAGTGTCACTATATCCCAAGACCGAAAGTGTCTCGATACTGTAGCGGACCTGGAGAGGAAGAGGTAGAGTATTAGGAACAGGAACTCACTCCTCATTCACCGGTCTTTTTGCCCTCTGCTCATTCAGTGCAGTTGAACTTTGACCCTTCATTGCTCCTCCTCTGTACCTTTTACATAGACAGTGAGGAGCAGCAGAAGAGTGTCAGTCCTACCCAGGTCAGGCCGTGTGGAGGGGGCTGTGATGTCATGTATATGAGTCTGGACGTGGAGGTTTTGTCCTGCACTGGTCTTGCTTGTTGTGTCCTCAGAGACTCATAGAGGAACACATACAGATGGTATCAGCTTCCTGTGTTGCTCTGTAGTGTTTCCTGCTCTTAATGGTCTGTGCAAAAGGAGCAACTCGGACAGCTGATCTGCTGCAGCAGCAGGAATCCTGCGACACCCACACCCACTCAAGATCTGTCACCCTGCTCCGTCACCTCGTGTCTGCAGCTGAGTTGAACTGAGGGCATTTTCAGACCGAGTTCAGGACACTCACTGTGAGGGAATAAAAAAGTGAATATTTGATTATGTCACAGTGCCTGCTCTTTGGCTCACAGTGGAAATAGCTCTTTTTGTGTTTTCTCTGCTTCTTTCAGAATTACTAACAACACACAGCCTCACAAATAATCATGCAGTTGTTTGAGTTTGTGCAGCATCTGCAAAACACATACTCACTATGTGTGACTTTAATGAAGTAATCAGACATCTCTGCTGCAGTTGGTGGAATTAAATATTTCACCCTGACTTTACCTCAACCTCTTCCCCTAAGTAAAGAAAAATCCCCAAAAAGTAACAGGCAATAGAGTGGCCTTGGTGATGAAGTTTATAACCTATTACTTGTACACAAGCAGTACAATCTTTGCGCTCATAATGCTTGCTTCTTTTCTGACTTGTACGTAGGGCTGTTGCAGTGCAGAAATGTCCTCCATGGTGATTGAGGGTGGTTGCGTTATGCGGAGTTATTGCATTGGTCTGTTTGTCTATAGGTGTTAATTTTTAGTAACTGTTAACATGGACATATGTCTAAAAATGATTAACCAAAAGTCTTTACTTCTGTTTTAGTTTTTTCCAGTGTTATTATTTCCATGCTAACCTACCTCACTACACTGCAGTACAGCAGCACTGTGACAGTAGTCAGCATCTACACTTAGGTGGAGAGTATGTGTTGGTCACCAAGGACTCGTTTCTAAAAATGGACCTCCAAGAGCTGTAATGTTGCAGTAAAAGGTTGTTTTTATGCAGAGCTTAATCATCTGAATCAATGAATTCTCATCACTAGCAGCATTTATGCTGAAAGGAGACTAATTGTCTCCAAACCTTGTCCTCAGGGACTGCTTTGGTGAAATTGTACAGCCTTTGTAGATTTATGGATGTAATATGTTTGTATTTAATCTTTTAACGTTAAATTTAACCTCCATTCGTTTGTTTCCACTGAAACTCGTTTTCTGAAGCACAGATGGAGAGAAAATTTACCCATCTCTTCACCCAGATACTGTGTGACAGTGTCTGTGAGATGTCACTTTATTGTGTTCGGCAGCCTTCATTTTTGTGGTTATCATGACCGTCTTATTTGTATGTTCTTTTTCACTCATTCATTGATACTTTTTTTTAGTTTTTTCACATTGTAACAAAAGCAAAAAGTGGCATCATGCAGTGTTTTTCCACCAAATGGCTCAGTTTTGTTTTCTAGAGTTTGGTGCTTAATCTTGCTGGCACTTTCACAGCCAACTGCATCCCTGGCACTACATGACAGAAGCGTGCTGGCCATACGACGGCTCCATAACACCTCAAGTCTTAGTCTTGCTTGCAGTTATTAAGTCGAGGTCTGTGTTGGCTCTGTTTTAACTATATCTATGTCAAAGCATGAAAATTAAACCATGAAAAATGCAGCGGTCCTCTTTTCTTTGCTGTGGAGATACTCTCTTCAGTTTCACACAGTGCTTTTATTTTGGATGGGACAAATGTTCATGTAGTTCATATCAATGAAGAAATCCACATTATATTTACATATTGAAATAAGACATGTGGACATGTGCTGAACAGTGAAGCTGCTGCTGATTCAGAGAACTGTTGATTTCAGATCTATAAAAGTGTGTGTGTCTGCAGAAATCCTCCCCCTCTTCCCTCCCTGACTGACTGATCCTCCTGTTCACTGTACTCTGAGCTCATTTACAGACAGAAATACATATTCATAACCTGATGGCTCCCAGAGCGAGTGAGAGTGTGTCTGTGTGTGTGTGTGTTGTCACTCCATACCAGGCCGCGCACCATCCTCTGTCCTCTCTGAACACCACCAGCATGCTAAGTGATGCTTTCAACCAGCACTCTGTCCCCGCAGGGCCACCGTCCTCTGTGTGATCAGAGACGACAGCGAGCATTGACCTGCTGTGACACATGCTGTGTGTGTCTACATGTGTGCGAGTGCAGGTTATCAGAGAGAGTGTGTGATCAATCCTGCCCCTCTTAGATAAGGATCAATAACTCCACACACACACGCACACACACGCGCACACACCAGCTGGAGCTCAGAGAAAAGTGAGAACTGTGATTCAGATATCAACTAAAAAGCTCAGACACCAACAAGGGGGACAGGAGGCTTTTATTCTGAAATGATGGAACTGTAAAGATGTGATTGTTGGTGTTCAGGCAGGTTTAGGGCCTGTGTCCACTACAGTGTTTGTTCTGCATAAAACCAGTGCAGAATAAGATTACTCAGAGTGCAAAATGGCCCCACAGTGTCAGTGTTGTTTTTCGTTGCCGTGCTCTGAGCTGGAAATAGGTCACCTTTTGGTAAAGGGTTGTCAAGATACCAGGAATCAATATGCAGAATTATACCAGCTAAAATATTTGGTATGAAAGAACTGATTGATCTATTGGCAGAGGCTGATGGCACCATCATGTTTTTCTAAAAGATAACGCGTGTTTCATCCTGAATTACTGCATCTTAAATCTTGAACAGTTACTGGCTACTGTTAAATATCACCTCTGTAATCGTGTACAGAATAACGCCGTTGAATTTTGCTCCTGACATGAATATCAGTCATGTAAAATGTACTGAAATCTGCAGAAAAACCACATGTACTTGTCTTTGCATGGATGAATTTAAATCAATCTCAACATGTTACTGACTGAGATTACCATCGATATGGGATGTAATGAACATTGATTTTATTGAAACCATTTAGCTTTCGGCTAGATGGAAGTGTTTTGAAGTGTTGTTCACTGATGGAAGAATCAAATGTCCTGTCTGATACTGGTTCTAAGGAGGAATAAATGAATAGCAGGGATGCATGATACTGTATTTTTGCAAAAATCTAATATGCTGTTTTTAATTCATATTCATTTTAGCTACCCTCCTTTATTTCACTGTAAAGGACACAAGTTTCCCCTGTAATAGAATTACCTTTTTGTAACAATGTTTGTTTTTGAACCAGACATAAAACAGAAGAAACTAGATTTGATTGGACCATAAATGATGAATGTTTTCTTCTCCAGCTCTAGACTTTCAGTAATGTGTCCACTGTCTGTTTCTAACACTTGAAAATACTTAGGCACAGCCAACAAGTGCAAGCTGTCATCACCTGCACATAACTGAAGCATCGACTTTTTGCCTGATAATTAAATCAGTCCAAAAATGTCATATCTGCTGATAGGCATGTGTGTGTGTGTTCAGGAACTTGGCATTCACACATGCAACTCACAGTGAGAAATTTTCTCGGTCAGATTCTCTCTCTGTCAGAGGTGGCTGCAAGAGTGTGCAGGAGGAGTGTTGAGCAGTGTCTGCTGTTTCTATGGTGTGAATGTGTATAAGGATGTTTTCTCGATACAGATACATCAGTGTACAACATAAGTCAGATGACTGCGATGAGCTGTAAAGAGTGAATAAACGAAAAAGACCGCTCAAGTCGAACAGCGTCATCACTTGTCTGCTCACCCCCTGTAAATGTCCAGACTGTTACCTGCCACAAACACATCCACTCACCTCCACTTCACTCAGGCTTTCACAGAGAGCAGTGGGGGCCAAAGTCTGGATGAATGCACTGCAGTAAACGTGCACACTTGCAGCCCACCTGGATGGTGCGCAGGTGTTTTCAGAGCTGCAGTGTCCCCGTTTGAGTGTCTGTGTGGAGATGAAGAGGAGGATCCAGCTCCCTCTGCTCACTGACACACTAACCTACTTTATCCCTGCAGCACGTTCCCCTGAAACATCACAGTTGCTGAGCTAACAGAGTGTGTGCAGAGCATGTTTAATACATGAGACTGCTTCTGCTGAACGCTGCACTAACACTACACAAAAGTTTGTGTAAGTGCGTGTACGTGTGTGTAAGCGTGTGTGTTTTTTTATTTAGTGCGGACAGACTTCAGGAGTTGAGATGAAGGCTGCAGTCTCTGCTGCAGTGAGTCTTTGTTTCAGCTACACCGTCACAGGCTGCACTGTTCCTGAACTCACCTGAGCTGCAGGAGTCCACTCCTCCTCACACATCCCTACTTCTAATTATATCTCCTAACACTGTCCCGTACCTCCTCAAACCCCCTCACATCTCTTCACAGCTCCTCACATTTCCTTACTCCCTCCTCTAACACTCTTGTTAGGACCTCCCTATTTCTCCTCATGCATTGCACCTGATCATATCCCCTCATGTCTCCTTGATCCTTCTTTTGTTTTCCTAGCTCTCAATCACAATTTTTGTCTCCTTTCCTATTTCTCTTTCTCCCTCCTTATGCCTCCTTAAACTTAACTACACATTCTTATGTCTCCTTGCGCCCCTTATTGTCTTCTTACACCTCTCTATGCATTTTTCCATATCCTTGCACCTCCTTCTCCCTCTTACACCCCCTAAATTCCTCCTTTTACTTTCTGATGTCTCCCTAGGCCTTCCTATACCTCCTTATGTCTCCTCCCCCCTAATTACATCTTTTTATGTCCCTTTACAATAAACCACTTCTTTTCATGTCCACTCACTCGAATACATTTAACCTCCCCTTGTTTATCACCCCCTCTAATGTTTGCTCCTTACACCAGGCTATGTCTCTCCTCACCTCCTCATGTCTCCTTCCATCTCAATGTGCCTACTTTCACCTCCTCATACCTCATTGTTTATGTCTCCTTACACTTCCTAATTTCTGCTTATACCTCCTTATGTCTCCTCACAACTATTCTCACCTCCTTATGTCTCTATACGCAGAACACCTTCGCGTCTCTTAGCACCTGGTCATTAATGTCTCATATCCTCTTGTCTCCTTCCACACAATTTCACTTTCTCTATTTTCCTAATTCCTAATTACAACCCGTCGTATCTCTTTACTAATTATAACACCTCCTATGTCTCCTTACACTTCCACATGTCCCCTATCACCTAATTAAATCTCACATCTCCTTCACCCCCCCTCCCTTACACGACCTCGAATCTCTTTTCACCTTCTAACACCTCCTCACTACTCCTCACATTCCCTCATGTCTCCTACATTTCATATACCTCCCTGCACCTTCTTGGGCCCTTTTACACACCTCCTTATACCTCTTTTTGTCCCCTTACACCTAAACGCACTCCTCATGCCCCCTTGCACCTCCTCAACCTTGACACAACCTTGACCTCCTCATTTTCTTCCCACCAACCACTGATTTCCCTTCGCCTCCTTTATAGCTCCTAATACCTTCATACATCTCCTCATGCCTTCACAAGCCTCCTCACAGCTCTATTTTCCACCACACACCTTCACATTCTACCTCCAAATATCTCCTTCTGTTCACCTCAGCAGCATAAGGAGGCTGTGTGTGTGTGTGTGTGTGTGTGTGTGTGTGTGTGTGTTGAGGGTAGTGTGTATTTGTCAGTAACATGGTGTGCTGTAGCTGCAGGTGTAAATACTCGGGCGTAAACAGGTCCAAGATCAGCAGTGACAGAACACAGCTAGGAGGGTTTACAGAGATCAGGGTGCAGACACAAACACACACGCACTCACAAATGCGCACGCACACACACATACACGCACACAAACACACTAAACATGTGAGGTTGCCTCTAAACCAACAGCTAACTGCTCCTCACAACATCTGCTGAAGAGAGGCTGTGACGTTTTCTCCTCTGTGTCAAACAGTTTGAAAACACATCTTAAAGCTCTAGCTGCATTATTGTGAACTGTGTTCATTGTGCACTCCAAAGCTCACTATCGTTTAAAAACTTTAGTCTGAATTTTGATAAGATGGGATTTCTGACAGAGTCAAGCATGTGTCTGCGGGGTTATTGTTTACAGTGACTGCTTAAATCTCTTCAAACCTCCACTTGATGAAAAAATTCTGCCCCCAAACAGCATCTTTATTCTGAGTTAGGAGCAGTGAGACACCTGCTGGTGGATGTCAGTCATTACAGGTCTTGTTAGAGGGGAAAACCAATACTGTAATATTTCAAATAGAAAACAACCCTGATGCAAGATAACTCCTGTTTTCAGGATAGTAGGAAAACACTGTACCAGAGCCCTTAAAATATATCAGATTTCTAGAGTCAGTTTACTTTTTGGATATTTTGTCTCACACTCTGAAGATTCAAACCTTCTCTCTCTCTCTTTCTTTCTTTTTTGTCCAGACAGCTGAAGGCTTCACACACAGACAGGACGTGATAGAATCAGACCGACTTCATGCTTATCATCATGTACATCTGACACACACACACCTGGTGAGTACAGACTCTGACCTGGAAGTGGTGTGTCTGAATTCTCACTGATCAGTTTTGTTTTCTGAGTGTACGATCACAGCTGGGCAGTAGAAGTGGGAAACCTGAATTGAAATGACTATAACAATATTAATGTTGATGATATATGATTGTATTGGATAATGTCAAGGGATAATGCATGTGAACATATATAATAGCTATAACCCCCTGAGATGCATAGACTTAATTCATGTCAAGACCTAGGGGAAAAAAGGTTGGTTGTATAAACTCCTGTGAACTCTGTACATAGTAGTTTTTGACTAAGTCTTTGTGATCTAAATCTTCTTTTTTTTTTCCTCCTTCTTCATTTTTTGGATTGCTTTATGTTAAGTTAGTCCTAAAAAATATCAACGTGTCTTTTTCAGAATAAAGGTATTTCATCAGCAAAATGACTAACTTCCTTTATGTAGTTTATCTGAAATTAAAAATCATTATCATTAAAATAACTGAGATTTTAATGGTGGTGCAGTGTCTAATTTTAATACATGTAACAGCCATAGCCTGCCTCTTTTCATCGTTTTAAACTTGAGACAGCGGAGTCATCTTTAAATCCACTTTCAGGCAGGTAGACCTGTTTGAATGGAGAAGTAAATTAGAGACAGACCAATTTATTGGTTAGCTCATCAATCAGGCTGGTAAATGGCATTTCTAGAACAGATTAAATAAAAAAAGCTGTCTATTGCTATTTGCACAAGGATAAGACAGTACATGCACATTGAAATTTTGTGCCATACCTCTCAAGCCAGCTCTAGTAATACAAAAAAGTATAAGAAAAATACATTTGGAAATATGAAGATAAAAAATCAGTGTAAAAAGTACACAGAAGTATGCACTTTGTTAAACGTGAAATGTGAAATATTGCAGGCAGATCGAGAATAACCAGCATGATACTGGCGAAGGCCTTCTTGAGGCTCACATCTTTTCTAGATGAAAACAAATGATTCACATCTTAAATTACAGCACAACAGGTCTACCAGTTGCTGGCTAGATTCAGAAGGATAATGTTGTAAAATATTTCTTCTGACATCAGTGTCAGACATGCTCTGAAATCCATGTACCTTGTATATTTGTCTTTTAAATGAATCAACTAATAATACATTTGTAAGATGTTACTAACAAACATAACCGAGTAACCTAGACAGCAGGTCATTCGTTTATCTGACAGCTGCCTGCACAATATAAGTTTGAAGCCAGAGTTATCTATAAAGCTAATTTACACCTTTGTTCCCTGAGCAGGAAGGTCTAAAAACATAATCAAATAAAACTTAAATGATACTTTTTAATAATGTGAAACCAGTGATGTCTCAGCATTAATAAACAGCTGTGATCTTTTTGTGTTTTTTTATTTCAACATAAGACTTGTTTACTAAAATATATGTGTGTGTGTGTGTGTGTGTGTGTGTGTGTCTTTTCAAGGGGCTGTTCAGGCATTGCAGCAGCTGAAGATGATGATGAAGAGGCATCTCCTGCTTTAAGAGTCAGCTGGTGAGGGAATGATGGACCTCCCTAATGGCCAATCAGGCGCCACCACCACTGCTGCACCTGTCTCTGAGGTGAGGCCACACCCACTCACAACTCCTACCTCTCTGCATATAAGTCAGCAGGTGCCCCCTGTAATTTAATAAGAATTTTTTTTTACCATGATGCCTTTGGAGTAATGCTCAAGTTACCTTGGAAGTTGGATGTCGGAGCTGGGAGTGACGTTACACCCGAGTTGACGACGATCCAGTAACCAAGTGTTCACAGTTATACATTATGCAGTATAACATACCACTTATTTAATTTCACAAAAACAAAACAGAAGTGCTAATAAATAATATATTACCAGAGCTTATACTGTTACTCTTTACTGTTGATGCACTGCGCTGCCATCTTGCATTATAACATTGTCATCAAGTCGGGAGTTGGTGAGGATCGCTGACTTTCTGAGTTCAGACTTCTGACTTCAGGGGAGTGTTCCAGATGAATTTACAACTTTGAGCACAGAAATCCTGACTCAAGAGTACAACTGGAATGCGCCATTAGAATGGGACCGATAGAGATATATGGAGTAGCATAAACAGGGGCAGCAGAAATTAGAAGTCATATTCTGTGTGTAACCTTCAAACCTGTCTGCTTGACCTTTAATGTATTGCTGTTTATGTGTGTGTGCAGAGGAGCAGCAGCTCAGAGTCTCTCAGTGAGAGAGTTTCCTTTGACCTGAAGAAGAGTTTTGATGCTGTTGTGTTTGACGTGCTAAAGGTCACGCCTGAAGAGTATGCAGTAAGTAAATCCTGTTTGATGTGTTTATGTGTGTGAGTGTGTTGAGATGTAGGTGTTCAGAGATGAGGATGTTTAATTCTGATAATTTTCTGTCTCTCAACTGGTTTTATTATTTCATTTCTTGTTTATCCTGCACTGCTACATTTCACCAGCAGAGGGTGCTCTTTAGCTTTTTTTAGCTGCTGTCCTTGTCACATGTCTCCACGGCAACACATCATCAGTAGCAGCTGAGAGGACACAGCCTCCATCAGAGCAGATTTAACTCTTTAATTCAACAAAAATCTGACACTTAGTGATTTTACATTTTGATAATGATGAAATCTATAACATTTCAGTTTTGGTGTAAGCAGGAAGTATAACTGTGTGTTTTGTGTGTTTTTGTGTGTCTCCTCAGGGTCAGATCACACTCATGGACGCCCCCGTGTTCAAAGCCATCCAGCCTGAGGTGAGCTGCTCTCAGATCAGTCAGGAGGTGTTTACATGTGCAGAGAGGAGTCAGAGCAATGTTTCTAAACACTCTAAGAGCCACAGGGAACTCTTTAAAACTTCAACTCTGTTTTTTTGTAATTCAGGTGTTATTACAAGGCTTCACATACATGTTCCAAAAATTAATATAGAGAGCTCAACATATGCAACAAGACTAACTGATCCGACTCAGGAGTCACATCTCACTCCTTCATTTTTATTGTTTTAAATTGTTGTTGCCTTGTTGCCTCAGATGATGTGTCAGTTTGTTGATGATGTGGATTCCTTTAGTGTCAAACTTGTCTTCCTTGGGATAACTATGGGTCATTTCCCCCCACTAAGTCTGCAGAGATGCACATAGAAAAGGCATAAAAAAGGAGTAAAAAGGGCTTTAAAAAGTCTACAAAAATTCCTCACAGACTTGACAGTTTGAGATTAGGACAGCTGCAAACCCTCACAGACTGAGTGGAAACACACCTTAAAAGTTAGTGTGTGTGTGTGTGTGTGTGTGTGTGTGTGTGTGTGTGTGTGTGTGTGTGCGTGTGTGTGTGTGTGTGTGTGTGTGTGTCTGTGGACTTAAAGGGATATTTAGGCATAAATTTAAGTTATGGTCAAACACACCGTAACAGTGAGTTAGACACCCCCTTGAAAGATCAATGTTGCTGACAATAGCAATGTACAGTGGTCTACATCTCCACATGCAAACCTCAACCAAAAAGCCACTCTATAGCCACAAATAATACTCAGAACAGCTCCTAACTTCATCAACAGTACATATAGGGTCCCAGCCATAGTACTAGCCATCGAACATCTGTTTAACTTTGCCTAATTTCTTTAGCAAACAGACCAAACACAACTCACCTACTCTCTTCCAGCAGCCGCTTGTTTGTAGGGAGAGCCCTGACTAGTCGATCACAGAATGCAGTGGAGTTTGGCAGCTCAAGGAAGAACATTTATGATCATTTCTTATCAGACTGAGACACTAAGGCAGAAGAACTACTGCATCTGCAGAGCAAAATAATTAATATGATGATTATTACTTCATGGAAATAATCCACTGCACTCTGTGATTGTGCGGTCATTAGGTCATTACTAAAGTTGGTATAACTAAAGAAACAAGCACTTGGCAACATTCATCTCTTGGGGGGGTGTCTTACTCGGTGTTATGGTGTGTTTGACCCTAATTTAAATTTATGCCGTAATATCCCTTTAAGACAGTCCCAGAATCGGTTTGCTTCATTAAGCATTTTCTGGGTATCTGTGATGGTAGATTCCTGACTTGTGTGCATGTTTACATTCTACAGTCATGTGACATAGATACAGACCCATTCCTCTGTGTGTTTACATGAGGGGGTGCATTAAAGTGAATTCAGGCGGCCATAAAACATAGGTTAGTCCTGAACAGCGAGGAAGTAAAGTAGTCTCAATCACTGACTGCTGCTAGAATCTAATGACGATTGATTGAGATAGGAAAAAGATCCTGTATCATCAGTCTTCTAGTAATGCAAAGAAAATGCAGTAGCTGTTAATTATGTGTTAAAATTCAACCTAAGCCTCAGTACAGATGGAGATGCTGGTGGAAACATCTGGAGTGATGCCTTCATTCTTTCTGCAGCTGTAGCCTGTTCAGACTAAAGGTTTGCACATGGAGATGTAGTTTATTGTCTTCTCAAAAGTGAGTTTGATAATGATGAGGACAGGGCTTTTGAAACATGTCCTTGAAAGTCAGTATGAGCGTGTGCTTTAACATGCTGAGATGTGTTTGAGACCTCTGGTGGGAAAACATGAGTTTTGATTTAAAGGGATGTGGGGGGTGTGGAGGGTTGTAGAGGAGTATGATGAGCTGCAGAAAAAGAGGAAGAGTGAGTGGAGAGCCAGCAAAGGACGAGACCCTGACTGGAGGAAAACTGGAGTTTCCAGAGAGCTCAGTGTGTCGGTGTGCTCGCACACTCATGATGGAAACACCAGCTGTGTGTGTGTGAGAGAGAGTGTGTGATTCACTGGGCTCGCTGCCTGAAGAGGAAAATATTAAATAACTTGTTGTGTAATAATGTTTTTGCTGTCAGTCAGCCCATTTTTTACCCCCGAAAGCACCCTTTCAATGCTGTGTAAGGTGCTGCTAACCCCTGACCCTGCAGCAGTACTGAAAATGAAAGAATGCAGCTAAAGTGTGGAGGGTTTGCTGACGGACATGATGAGGTTTAAAGGCCTTTTTTACTTAAGAAGACTAGGAAGGAAATCCCACATTTCGATGATTTTTTACTCATGGTGACGATTTCCTGATATCTCCACTACAATCATATGCAGCTATCAGTGCATGAGATGAAAGTCATAAACATGCGAGCAGGAAGGATTATCAGCAGCTGCATTTTATTTAACGGCTTCATCGACGTGCAGACACGCTCTGTGTAAAAGCTCAGATCTCACGTAGGACTCAGTGGATTTGGAGGTCAGAGTCTGTTTGGTGTACGGGTCAGCTGATCAGGGCTTCAGTGTCCTCTCATGCAGCTCCTCAGGGTGACTCTGGGACACGTTTAGGGTGCTGTGCACGTGTGTGAGACTGTAGTTTCCGTGATGTGAGCTGCTGCGGTTCCACTCGGTTAAACGGTAATTTGGGAGCCGACCTCGACTTGTTCGATTTCTCCCTCAGACTTTGATGCATTGCTGAGTTTGGACACCTCCAAATGTTCCTCTGCAGGTTTACTCTGTTTTTTGCATAGAAACAAAGAGATGAATCATATTTTCCAGCAGATAGTTTGCAGTGTTTCTGGCCGGCAGAGCATCTCATTAAAGCGTGTTTGTTGAAGCTGGATGTCTGAGGAGTGATGAAGCTGTCGGCTCATTTCTGCACACACACAGATGTTCAGCCTGTTCGAGCTGCTGTTATCACAGCTCATTCAGGGAGATTACATCAGAATACACCAAACAAGCTGTGACTGACACTACTGTTAGCCATGTCCACCATCGCATTTCCAACTGACCATACACACATCGTAACAATCAGAGGATGAGGTGTGAAGACTCTGAGTGAAACACGCTTGTGGTTACAGCACATGGATGTGACGCAGGAACAGACCGGCAGAACAAAGTCTGCAGAGTCTCAAAGAGCCTCAGAGGGTCCAAGAGGTTCTCAGGGGATTTCAGTGGGTTTTATAGGGTCTCAAAGGGTCTTATATAGTCTCACAGTGTCAAGGACAGTCTCAGGGAGATCACAGGAGTTTTAGGAAATCTTGGTCTCAGAAGATTGTGAGAGATTACAGAGCGTCTCTAAAGGTGTCATATAGGTTTAAGATGCTCTTTAAGGGTCTCACAGGGTGTCATGAGGATTCTGAAGATTTTGTAGAAGGTCTTAAATAATTGCTAAGGATCCTATGAGATTATAGAGAGTCTCAGATAATCTTATAGGGGTTAAAGAGTAGGGCTGGGATGATATGCTTTTCTCCCAATTCTTCTATGATTCTTTGAGTGCTGATTTGATTTAAATTGTGATTCAATGATATTTTCTTGATCTTTAGTCTGCATTTTCAACACCAGTGAAACAGTTGAATGATTATGATTGTCTACTGACTATTCCAGGAACCAAATTTCCCCCCAAAAATACACATCATGTTAGTCAGTTTTTAAGATTTATTCTTAAATTTGAAAAAAAAAAAAAAATCTATTTTGAACACTAAAATCGATAAAAAAAAAATTGTAAAACAAAAGAACGCAATACTTATGTGAATCGATTTTTTTCTCCCACCCCTATCAAAGAGGGTCTCAAATTGTGTCAGAGACTCACAGTGTCTTAAAGAACTTCTCAACCAATGTCAGAGGATCCCAAAGGGTGTAACATTACCTGTAAGGTTTTCATAGGGACTCAGAGGGTTTTAAATGAACTCAGAGAGTGTCAGAGGGTCACAGTGTTGTAGACTGTCTTAAATGGTCTCACAGGATGTCATGGAGGTTCTGGAGATCTCTGATTATTTTAGTGGAGCTCTCAGACAGTTTCACAGGATCCTATGAGATATATGAGAGGGTCTCGAAGGATCTCACGCGATCTTAGAGAGTCTCAGAGGTTCTCACGTGGTCTCACAGGGTGTCATGGGGGTCCTGCAGATCTCAGAGGAATTTGTAGGAGATCTGAGATGGTTGCAGAGGAACTTCAGAGATTTCAGAGGGTCACAGATAGTCCCACATGGTCTTAGGGGGTCATAGAGTATGTCATATGATCTTAAAGAGTCTCAAAGAGTCTTGTAGGCCAGGGAATCTTAAGAGTTTTGGAGGATGTCAGACTGGCTGAAAGGATCTACAGTGGTCCCAGGCAGCATCAAAGGGTTTTAGAAAGTCTCAAAGTGTCTTAAAAGGGTTTAAAAGGACCAAGGGTCTCAAAATATAACAACAGGTCTCAGAGAGTCTCAGAAGGTCCAACAGGGTCTTTTAGAATCATAGTAAGTCCTTCAAATTTTAGAGAGACATAGGGGACATCAGAGGGTCTGGAAAAGTCTCAAAGGATGTCAGATACTCCAAGTGTGTCTCAGAGGGGCCCTAGGTAACTCAGGGGCTCTCAGAGACCTTGGGATTGTGTCAGTAGGTCTCAGAGAGTCTCAAGATGACTCAGAAATACTTAAAGGGTCTCCTGAATATTTGGGGCCTCTTTGAGAGTTTAAGAGAGTCAAAAAAAGTTAGGTTTTTAGGGTTAAAGAGTTGAAGTGAACCTCAGAAGATCCAAGAGGATCTCAAGGGAACAGCAGGAGTTTCTCTGATGGTAAAATAATCTGATCTTTAATCTCAGCTAATTGATCTGAACTCTGACTGCAGACTCGAACATGCAACAGAGGGAGGTGGGTTTTTTTCCACTACCGTGGCAGTGATAACTTATGGTCTGGTTCTGTTTTAAGGATTGGACAGTACGGTATTCAGTACGTTAAAGTTGACTCTGCTGACAGGAGAGCATTTCATCTCTGTCTGTGTCTGTCTTTGTCGATTGTTTCGTGTTTCATAACCATTCGTGTGGCTGATGATCCACAGCTGGATGTTTGTGAAGCAGAAACTGAAGTATGAAGACGGGCTTGAAGGGGGGGCTCTTTTGTTTTTACACGTTACCATGACAACAGCCAGGTCAATAAATTACTGGCTTTAACCAGCAGCACAGCCTTAGATCACCTCTTAAGTCCTTCTGAGCAGACAGAGGAAACGCTGTGGTTTGAGTCTCTGATAAAACCCCTGAGCTCTGTCAGAAACTTTCTGTAATCTGGACGTGAAAGTGTCCGTACAGTTGTTTCCCTGCAGTCTGCACATGTTTAATGATACTGGACTGTAACGGCAGACACCGAGGGAAGTCCCCCCTCTCCCTGCAGCCTGTCAGCGTGAGGGTCAGCACTCATCCATCACTGAGGAAAGAGAGAATAAAATGTTGGCAGCAGAGACAGAAAAACCACAATGACAAGTTTTCCCTCCGTCCAAAGTTTGAGACTTAGTTTGGAAAAGTTGAAAAATCGTGCGGAGCATCTGAGAGCGCTGTGACAGAGTTTATCTGAAGATGTTTACTGTAAGAAAAGAAGAGTTATTCTAAGAACAATAACATCATTTGTTTGACCAAAACATGGCTGATCTGGTTTCACTGTAAAACCAACAGCCTGTCCCGTACTCGTGCAATAAACGTGCAAAAGGAGCTCCTGGAAAAGTGATCATTTCATGCTGAGCACAGCAGAGTCCTGCAGAGTTGGCCTGCATGGTACGAGGAAAAACCAGTGCAAAAAATAAAGCCAGAAAAATCACACAAAAAACACGTGATTGAATTGAGCAATATTACAATAACAGCATGAATAAAAATATATACTAAAGTCACTGTGGGAAGTAGTCTCACTCAGAAAACGATCCGCACAGTACAAAGAGAGAATAATAGTGATTAGTTAGTGATTGGTTCTTTCTATAATCTTTATCATTTATATACTTTTTTTTTATCTGAGTCCAGCAAAACAGCCATCCAGGACTGTTTTCTTCTTGAAGTATGAAAATGTGATTTAAGCAGTTTTTATATCATGGTTGAAATTCATACTTCTTTGAGCAGGTCAAAGTCAGGTTATCACTGAAGTTCATGTCATGCAAGAGAGACAACAAGAGTAAACACAGTTGTCAGTTATCATTGAGATGTGTAAGATGGATCGACAAAATTCACGATGTTGACACGAGCTGCAGAAAATACTCCACCTTCAAATATGAATTAGCAAAATCCAGGAGGCCTCCAGCAGTCCAGTGCCAACAGGTACGACCTACAAGTTTCAAGTGCAAGTTAGTAGTGTTGGGAATCACTCGTGACCACACGATACGATATCATCATGATATTTGTGACATTGTTGCGATTTTTAAACATTTTGAAATACAGTGAGTATTGTGATACCATATATTGGGATTTATACAATTTTTTTCAACTGCTCAGCTGATTTAGCATTTGTCTTTCCTTTATGTCTGTCTTATTGACACAATATTTTATTTTCATGTAGCACTTCTTGCAAACCTCATGTGTCAGGTCCATCTCATTTGTGCCCTGTTTTCATTCCTGATGTCCCTCCCCAGGTGCTGCCATGTTTGTGGTACGAACTTATTCCTGCTCACCTCTGCCAACCCCACTGGACAAACAATTAATTCAATTTTTCCATTTCCTGAGTTTATATTAGCAATTAATTTGAAAAAATTGATACTTGGTGGATGAGAGGATACAATATATCACCAGACAAAACATCACAATACTGTGTTGTATCGATTTTTTCGCCCACCCCTACAAGTAAGTGCCTTATGCACAGTGGTGGCTGCTCTGTTGTCCGCTTTACAGATGAGAATAGTCCATGTGCACGAGAGCCATCAGCCACCAGTTTGTGTTTTGTCAGATGGACGATCACAGATCATGTTTGTCATGTTCATATCCCCATCCTAGGAGACGAAACATGATAACATTAAATATTTTATTTTTGTTATACTGATAAAATCCAGACTTTTGTGACGTGTTTAATCTGAACTCTTGTATTGCAGTAACAATAAACAAATGTTATTTATTGTGCAGCTTTTCTGCAGAGTCCTGCAGGTCTGACAGACTCTGTTACAGTCTGAAGTTTACATAAAACTTTACGTCCGATAGTTCTGTATCTCCTTTTTTGTTAAATTTTTTTCCTTCAGTTCTTTCTATTTTTACCAGAACACAGACAGAAAGTCAATCTGAAGAACATAAATCCAGAATAAGCTGGCAGGTTTCAGGTTTTCTGTCTCTCTACAAGCTGCAGGACAGATCAGGAACAGAAACACGTGTGCAGGTTTTCCATCGGACCTTCCTGTCCTCGGTAAATCTCCTCCGTCAGACCTCCTCCTCCACCTCTTTCTTCTCTGGGATCTAAACACGTCAGTAAAACATTTTCAGAGCAGACTTAAACAAAAGGAGCTGCTGTGGTGTCTGACATGAGGTCATCAGTGAGTGCTGGTCAGGTTTATGTAATGGTACTCACAGTGAGCCCGTAAAGCTGAGTCTACAGTCAGTCGGAAGATTATCAGACATTATTCTCTGAGCTTAATGTTTGGCTGAGAGTCTGAACTCTTTAAAAATCATCATCTGGATCCATAAAAACATAAAAACGCTCTTTAAAGTCATCCGATTTTAAACGTTGATGGTGCCCCTTGGTGAAGTGAGTTAAATGTTCATCCAGAGTTGACGTCACTGTTGCTCATGTGAGCTTTATGTACAAACAGAGGGGATCCAGGCTGCATCCCCACAGGACTCGGCTGTAATGGGAGCAGCTCAGCGTGAGGAGGAAAGCAGTGGTCTGAGGTTTGGACTGGCAGGAGCTTGTTTCTGCAGAGTTTCAAAGTAGGACTGCCTCTCCAGACTCTAAAGTTCTGCAGGTTCAACAGGGCCCGGAATGCAATAAGAGCATAAACAAACAATGAAAATAAAGAGGAAACAAAGAACTGGCAGTTTGTGGATCAGCTCCCTGCTGCATAATAAGCAGCAGCAGTTCTGAGGAGGGTTGGATCGGCGGATGGTTTGAGAAGATGACAGACTCAGGTGGTTTAAAACTTCAGATTTAGAGCGAGTTAATGATATGCTGAACTTTTTTGTGTGATCTGGACACTTTGGGAGCTTATTGTGGTCTCAGTGTGAGAGAGGTTTGGGACTGTCTCTGAACTCTAAATGCCAAGAAAGAATATTTGCTAACCGAAAGTTGACTCTGTTGAACTCGTAATGCATTTTTTATGGCAGGTTGAATTTTTGCACCCACAGCAGGAGCATAAACAACATTTACAAGACACAGTGATGTGTGCAAAAACTCAAACCAGAGGTAAATCACAAGGCAGTATGGGACAGCACTTCCAGGGAGGATGAAGCAGCATGAAGATCACCATAATCTGTAACACATGGAAGAGTTTCCTGGATGAGTTTGAGATGTATAAAACGAGGATGTGGTCTCCGTAACAATGAGGAAGTCATCTTTTCCACCCACTCCCCTTGAATGTAACAAACTTTTTTCTACCAGATAAAGTCTGGAAACTTTCAGGAGTTTGTTGCATGTGTGAAAGAGGCTTGTTCTTGAAACAGGTATAGTTTCATTCATCCTGATACGTGTCACTTCTTTCAGGTTCGCACAAAATTGCTGTACGTAAATGTCCTTCCTGCTCACCCACAGAGAATACTGCATTGTTTCCACTGTGTTTTCATAACAGCTCAACCTGATGTTGTGAAGTTTTATGAGAATGCTGGTTTGGGAAAGTCCAGGAAAAGTCAGGAACGGAAAATATGCCTGTCTGTGCTCTCAGTTAGTTTTCAAGACTAGAAGTTAGTTTGGATTTTTTCTGACTTTTGTGCACGTGTGAATAATACAGCTTTGGTCTTGGAGACGTTGGACTTATTGTGGTCATAATGTATAAAGCAGGACCAGACTGTCTGTGAGCCTGTCCTCTGGTGTCTCCCCCTCCCTCTGGGTGGTCAGGTGGAGGTGTGAGCTCCTGGACAAACAAACACAGAGTCCTCCCCCGGACTGAGGGCTGGAGAAGGATGATTGATATGCTGGCAGGAGGCAGGAAGTTTGTACTTCAAAAATAAACAATGTGTCGTCCATAGAGAGACAGACAGTGACAGTGTGTCCACTTAAAGAGACTCTGTAGACCCTAAAAACCTCAGATCCACTACAGGACAGTTTTATAGATCTCACACTTTCCCTTCCCCTCCTCTGGTTTCTCCTCTTCCCACACATCCCGATTCCAGATTCACCAACATAACAGCCTGTTTTTAACATCTGTGTATGAACCCCCTACCCCCCTAACTGCCCAGAGACTCTCCCTGACTAAGCTGGACTCTCTCTCTGTCCTGCTGTGGTTCAGGTCAGGGACTTGTGAGCATTCAGGTGGATATTGTTTCAGTCAGTGTGTGTGTCAGTGTGCGGAGCTGGCAGGATGAGCAGGAGAGCTTTCACATTATTCCTCCTTGTGTTACATCAGAGTCTGGCCTCAGGACGCCTCAGGGGGAGCAGGATATGTGTGTGCAGAGTTTGTGTGGTCTCAGTCTTTACCTTAGACCTGAGGTCAGACAATGTTAGATATGCACAATATTGATATCTTCAGTCTTATTTAGGCTAATATCTATGTATATTCATCTTTGTTTTCCATTGTTAAAAACACCAAGTCTCTCCTGTGCTGAAACTGACCCGTTACACTGTGACAGCCTCTTCATTTAGATGTATATTTATATAGACATCAATAAGACCAAAAAATTAACTCTGCCATAAAGAACTTATTCTTTCGGTTTGTTCAGGATGATAGCTCTTGAGGTGCAAAAATGGATCATTAGAGTTAAAGGAACATTGTCTCGCACCAAATGTCTTCCTGATTTATGCCTACTAACTGTTGCCTTTGAACACCATTTTGCAGTCACTATCTGGTTTTGTGTCTTTTCAAAGACTCAGCTTCAGTACTCATAAGAAACCTTTTTACAACAGTGATAAATGCAGTAATCAGAGGGCAACGTTTACCAGACTCAAATTCCTTGTATGTGTACATAAACCTGGCCAATGAAGGGAATGTAACAGGACTTGAAACTGGGGGTATGACAGGCACAGTCATCTCACTGCTTTCTGGAGTATTACAGTGTTTTAGTGCAACTATGGTATAGCTAAGTAGGGATGGTAATCACCACGATATTATCATGATACTTGGGCCACGATACGATATTATTGTGATTTTTAACATTTTGCATCACAGTGAGTATCGCGATCAATGCTTGGTCAGTGAGATGATACTGTATATCACCAGACAGAATATAGCAATACTATGCTGTATCAGTTATTTCTCCCACCCATATAGCTAAGGTAAAGGTCCGACAAAGAAGCGAGACATAATAATTTCAACAGCAACAAGCTGCAGGCTTAACAGTGTTAGATGTTGTAGAGAAAGTGCAAACTTAGTCAATCACAGATAGTGGGAAAATCTGAAATATGCAGAAAAACTTTGCATATATACTTAGGGGGCCCACCTTGGTATACTACGTAAGATGGAAATACTGCTTTTTATGAAGATGATCTTACACAGGTAGGCTCTGTTGTTCAGTGATGTCATTCCCTCTCTCTTTCTGTGTCCTCAGGAGCTGTCGAGCTGTGGTTGGAACAAGAAGGAGAAGCACAGTTTAGCTCCTAACGTGGTGGCCTTCACCCGACGGTTCAACCAGGTGGGTCACACTGGGTCCTCAGTCATGTACCTGACAGGAACAGGTCGAAGGGCAGGTTATCGTGTCCCCACACAACATTTTTGGTGTTTTTGTTTGGTGTGTTGGTGCAGCACATGGAGAAAACATTCTCCCGTGCACGCTCTGCTTTGTGAAATCATTACCAGGAAGTTGTGGGCGCTGATGTCACAGTCCTCCCCTTTAATCCCTCCTGTGTTTTCTGGCTCCTGTCAGAGTGTCCTTCTCTCCTGCAGCTTAAAATGAGACGATCCGACAGGAATGTGTTTGTGTGGAAACTCTGCGTGTGTGTTAGCTTCGCACTCTGCAGCTGCTGGAGGAAAATGAGCCGTTTGGATCCTGATCCTGGACAGGAGGGCAGAGAGTCCCACAGAGCTCTTTAACCTAAGCCGAGGCCAGGTCTTTCTTCCTCCTCCTCCTTCTTCTCTTCTTCCTCAGTGCTGTGTTGTTGGCACTGGAAAGAGTAATGAAACATGAAGATCAAAACACAGAGACCAATAATAAGTCTGATTTCGATCATTGACTTTATCAATCAATTTTCACCTCTACAGAAGTGGCTCAGGCCTGGTATTGCCATGTTTTTTAGTGATAGCATCACAGGTTGACAGCTATGAGTACATGTGTCCACACTTTGCACCAACATGACACTCCAGTGGATGCTCGTGATTGGATCTCACTTTTCTGCTCTGGATGAATCCTGATGATAAAATAATGACCTAACATGGAACACTAGAAGATGCCATCTGTCACGTGTGCTTGTTGTCAAGGTGGCAGAGCAATGCAGCATAAAGGCAGCAGCGATTAATCAAAGCTGCAGCCCCTGCCAATAAAAGTTGGTTTTGGATGTGTGTAGGTATGCTTTGGTCTCATGTCCCTTTAAGACGCTGTCCTACGTCAGAGACGTGACCCCCCCCCCCCCCCCCCATCCAGTCCGTAACAAAGAGGGAAAGACAGGTGAGGAGATGGAGGACGGTTCAAAAGTTGTAGCAGCTGGAGCAGCGGCTGAAGTAGACAAAGTTAATGTGAGAGGGGGTGAGCAGCTTGTGGAGTAGTTATTGTCCATTTATCGTTATTAGGGTGAACTGCTCAATATATTGTGATATTGATTTGAGGCCATATCGTTCAGCCCTAGATAATAGCTTAACAAGTTAATTCTCTGCATTGGCATATGTAACCATGTTTACAGATATAATCATAGGCCAAACAGGTGATGCAGGCAATGACAGCTTGCATGTATTGGCTCTATTCAAGTGTTTTAAAGTGCTAGGAACAGAAAGCAGACACATAACTGAATGTCTGTATTTGAAAAAGGATCCATTTTTCCTTTATTGTAGAATCTAATGCTGTTTGTCAGGCTCTATAACAAGCTGTCAAAGTAAGAGTAACTTTTCAGTCAGAGTCACCTGGAAGACTGTTGGAGAAGGCTGTCATAGTTTAGTATTTATTTTCTGTTTGTTTCTGATCAAGCAGGAAATGCTGATTTGAGAAGTTTGTCAGATTTTCTGTGTTTACTCGATTTCAACATTTTATATGAACATTTTGATTTAATTTCGCACCAGTTTTATGAAACTTCTTTTTTCACAACCTCCTCCTCCTTATCCTCACAAAATGTTGCAAATCAAATACATGTGAGCCTGTTTCATTTATTGTGTTTGTGTGTGTGTGCGTGTGTGCGTGTGTGTGTGTGTGTGTGTTTGCAAGTCTTTAAAGAAGATAAATGGATCTGCTCGCTCCTCACCTCTCCTCTGATACAAAAACACGTCTTTGAGCAGCTTCCAGGAAAAGAGGAAGAGCGAAGAGACACACAAGAGGAGGAATGTACGCCACAAACATGAACTGATCACACACACTTAGGGAAAGATAAGGGAGAGAATAACACACACAGAGAAGAGAGAGATGGTCAGTGTGTCTGGACGTCTGATCAGAACATGGTGTGCAGACAGCTGAGATATCTGACAGCCTGCAGTCATACCACCTCTCCAGTCCTCCTTTCCTCCCTCCCTCCCCCCTTCTCCTCCTCCTCCCTGTCTTCCCCTCTTTCTGCTCGTCTTCCTCTTTCCATCCGTCCTCTCCCCCGAGCTCAAACACCGACTGATTCACCGACTCCTCTCTTCAGTTTTCTCCCCAAAGACGCACATTTCTATCATCACCTTGCATTCATCCAGTGAAAACACACACATGCACACACACATACACACAAACACACACACACACACACAGGAGTTTTGGTGTGTTTCTGTTGTGTAATCAGCTGGAATTAGGAGGATTTTCCTCAGAAGTTCTTGTTTTTATCAGGAGCTGTTTGTCTGTAGTTGCTCAGGGATCAGCTCTCTGTGCACTCTGGTGTGTCTGATCCGGTCTGAACTGGTCTCAGACCAGCAGGTGGCTCATCCCTGTTCTGTTCTGGGGGATTTGGTGCTCATACCTGAGATCCCACTGTCATTAGAGAGATAAACAGCTCTGTAGAGACTCATGACTGTTTCTGCTGAAGCTCTAATCTCTGTCGGTGTGTGTTTGTTTATGTTTGTCTGTGTGTGTTTTGTTTGTTTGTGTGTTTCAGACGAGTTTCTGGGTGGTTCGAGAGATCCTCCACGCTCAGACGTTGAAAATTAGAGCAGAAGTCCTCAGTCTGTACATCCGTACTGCAAAGGTATAAACACACACACACACACACACACAGAAACACATTTTATTATTTGACTGACTCTTACCTTTAATCTGTAGTGTGTTCCTGAGGTAAAAGAAGGGGAAAGTAATTGACCAAATGAACACAAACAAAAAGTTTTTGTAGTTTTAAAGATATTTATAGATTATTGTACTAAAAGCTGCTGTGAAAAAGTATTCTGTTGTGTTGTGTTTTTTTTTGGAGAGGGAAGAGCAGGGAGCGGAGCAGGAGGAGGCCGATGTGCAAATCTGCATGTGCCTGAAAAGCTAAGGGACAGAATAAACACAACCTCAGAGAGGCTGGAGAGATCACAAGTTTACAGTTTTAACTCGCTTGTCTGTGTGCCATGTAGATGTCAAACCACGAGCAACTGTGTTTAATATATATGATCCAAATATTAATCAAAATAACAGTGAATATGGTTTTTGCTCTCATCAAGCAGCCCTATAAGAAGTGCTCTGATGCCCTCTTTTAACAGCTACATGTGATTGTTTCCTGTTGATAATGTAAAGAGAGGTTGGCTCCTCTGTATGTTGTCAGTCATTTATTCTCTTGCAGTGGTTTCAGGCATTCAAAAATGACCGAACAGAAGTTTTAGAAATCTTGTTTCTGACAGTCTTGTTTTGTTGTCGACATCAGAATCATTTTCAGTCCATTTCACATGCAGATAAAACCTCCTTTTAAAAGGCGGAGACCTAAACATTCAGCAAATTCATTCATATACAGCTCTTGTTTTTTTTCCCTCTCATTGTTAACTTAATGTGTATCTATATTTTTTGTATGTAACAGGCGTTTTTCTCCCCCTCTCTCTCTCTCTCTCTCTCTGTCCTCTCAGAAACTGTGTGACAGTAACAACCTGCACGCTGTTATGGCGGTTGTGTCAGCGCTGCAGAGCGCTCCCATCTTCAGGCTCACCAAAACCTGGGCGGTGAGTATCTGTCTGTTAGTGACACACAGATCTGCATAATAACTCTGTACACACTCCTTTTTCATGTTAATTTCTTTTTTTTCCCCCCTTCTGTTGTTTTGCTTCAGCTGCTAAGCCGGAAAGACAAGGCGACCTTTGACCGACTCGACTACCTGATGTCCAAAGAAGACAACTACAAACGGTTGAGAGACTTCATCAGCAGCCAGAGCATGGTGTCCTGTATCCCCTACCTAGGTACACACACACACACACACACACACACACACACAGAGTTACATTTTACATTTGCAGTCTGCTTCTTATCTTTACGGTGTGTTTATGAGCCGGATGTTCCCGTGTGTGAAAGTCTGGTTTCATTATCTCTTCATTCGTCACTCTCTTTCTCTCTCAGTTTACTGCCTCATGTCTCGCTGTGTGTTTCTGGATGATCTGTTTCCTCTCCGTTTGTATCTTTCTGGGTAAAATACTGCAACACAATAAATCATCTCTCGATTTTAATGGTCACACTGGTATACAGAACACAGCTCACTTATGAAATGAAACAAGATGTGAGAAGAAAGTTATATGGACTGGGATTTACAGTTTCTTGGCTGTTGCACCGGCTGACTGCCACGTTATTTGCTGATAGTCAGATATCTGTAATAAGCAGAGTGTCATCAGACTCTCATACCTGATGTTGTGCAGCTGCATCCAAAACCCCCTAAGTTATCTGTTATAATCTAGAGTGACATATATGGTGGTGTCTCAGTAGCTGTGTTTTCTAGGTATCTGACAATCCCGTCTGCCCTTGTGCAGTGTGTGAAGCTCCTCCCCGGTACTCTGTGATTTAGAGCTGATAGAGAACAAAGTGACCAGGTGATGGTCTCTCTTTGCTCTTTGTCTGTCCATCTACAGCTGACAGGAGGATTTCAGTCGACTAAAAAGTTAAATTTCGCAGCGGCTGCACTCACTGAGAGAAGCTGTGATTTCATTTTCAGAGTCTGTTTCTAATCACAGAGTGTGTGTTTGTTTACTGACTGTGTGTGTGTGATTGTCCCCCTGTAAACACTGAGGTTGACTTTGTGTAAAGTTGTGGGTCCGTCGTGTTGCGGTGACGTCAGACGGCAGAGACTCTGTGATGTAACAGTATCATGCTTGCTCTGCACGTGTGTGTTTGGATTTACTGCAGCTCTGTTTGTTCCTGTTGTGTCTTCACAACGTCTGGATGATGTTTTTATATCGCAGATAATGAGCTTCAGACGCTGTGTTAGATACAAACACACAAAAACACGGAAACACAGTCTGTTTGTCATTAAAGGAGCATTTCTTTTTTGTCTGGATGTGATGAGACGAACGAGGAGCTGAGAGAGTGAGGTGACCGAGGACGAAGGCTGAGTTTGAGCTGATGGTCATCTGTCATTGGTGGGCAAAGTCTCTTTTTTTAGTTTTTGGTCTCAGTGTGTGATGGTGTTTCCTCACTGCCCATCTTTGTTATATATGTGTGTGTGTGTGTGTGTGTGTGTTTGTGATAATCAGCTGTCCTTGGACCTGTAACTAATCATTGTGGACACACGAGGGGGAGAATCTCTGTGGATCGCAGCTCTCCCTCAAAGAAAATGGGGTGGGGGGATGGCCATGTGAAATCTGTTTTTAATCAGTTTTTCCAGATTATTATTTTTTTCATTCATAATGTTTTTTTTTTCCATTTTTATTGTCCTAAGCTTGACCACGTTTTTTCGCTTGAGGAGTTTGCAATCATGAGGTGGATGAATAAAACTTAAGCAACTCATCTGAACATCATTTTATATGAATGAATATTAACTATTATTAAACAAAACAAAAGAGAAGTGCTCCTTTTTAAAATTAAGTGTTCAACAAATGTCTTGCAAGTAGATTAAGAAAAAGATCCTTCTTTTAGTGAAATACAGAACCTCACACGAGTTTTACAAGAAAAATCAATGACTGAAGTGCTCCATTCACTGCCTAAACACTGGGGATAAAGTGTCTGATTGAGGCCACTCTTAAGAATAAAACCCTCCATCAGTTTTCATGCAGTTCAGTCTGTATGAGAGGAAAGCAGACAAGTGGACAAGAGCTGCTTAGCACAAAAAACCTCTGTCGCTATCTGTTCATATAAGTGAGGCTTCCACATTTTTGCAAATCTCGGCATATCACAGTTGATTTTATTGTCGTTGCTTAATTCTGTGATTTCTGAGAAGGTTTTTGTGTCCTGGAAAACGATAGGGCTGTGGAGAGAGGATAAACAAGTGAGAATTTGAGTGTCTGTGTTCATTTCCCTCTCAAACAAACTCCACTTTCAGACACTCTGTGTTTTTAGAGGAACACGCTTGATTTTTGACGAGAAACTTTTTTTTTTTAAGTTGAAGTCAGAAACGAGAAAAATGTCACAAAGTTCCTGTTGTGATCTAGACCCACAGAGGGGTACTGATACCTGTTTATGTGTGTGTTTGGTTTCATTATGCAGCTTCTGTGTGTGTATGTGTGATAATGTGAGGTGATCACAGAGCGCCTGTGTCGTTTCCACAATGAACGTCTGTGTGACTGTGACCTTTGACCTCCTGCCCCCCAAATCACAGAGAGGGTTTGTTACACACATCAGCTACTTCCTGTTCAACAGCCAATCAGCAGGGACAAAGAGCCCTCAGAAACACACTGCTCAACAGTAGCCAGATACATGCACACACATATACTCTAAAACAAGCTCGGTAGACGCACACACATATTTAGACACAAAATGAACATGACACAAAAACATAACTGATGCACACAAAAAAAACTGTTTTACCAAATAGAAACACTAAATTACAAAAAAGAGCAACACAATAAAATTCAAAGAAATAAGGTAAAACGCAATACCTGACACAAAAGATTTGAAAAACATAAAACACACATACATCAACAACAAATATACAGACAGACCCACAAGAACATACATACAGAAAAAAACACTCATTTCTAAAGAAGACTACAGATACAGATACACACTCATAAAAACACACAGACAAAGGTCACACCACCACACCAATAAAACACGTTCACTCAGAAAGAGATGCACCAAAAATTAAGTTACTGACAGAAAGCAGAAAAAAACATGCCAAAAAGAATGGTGCATAGACTGACAACACTTACTGTGCAAAAAAATTTGCAGACAAACACCCTTGAAAACACAAAACACACATAATAAATTCAAATAGACACACCAAGAAAGAAAGTTGCACATATAAAAGCACCAAAAATGACACAATAGCCCCCCCCATCTTAACTTATAAGTAAAAAGAAAAACACAAAAAACAAACTTAAAACATGCATAAAAAATGTCTTTTGCATAAAACACAAAGAGCAGATATACACACAGAAAACACACATTTATACATAGTTTTTGCAGAAACTGACATATAAAAATATGAAACACCAGTAATACTTATGCACACTCCAAAAATATTTACCTGGACAAAAAAAAAAGTCATGAAAACATGAGACTAACACGAAAAACAAATTCACCAACAAACAGCACACAAAAAAACGTAAACATATACAAACAAAAGACATCCATTTACATACAAATGCACAAAGAACACATATTTTGGCAGGAGATTTTGCAGATACTTAACTGCAAAAACACAAAACACAAGCTAACATTTCACATGCACACTTGGAGTGCACACTTACAAAATAACATCCAAGCATGGACAAAAAACACACCATTACACACCTTTTCAACCTGTGTCACTTTGACTGTAGCAGCCACAAAAAGTGATCTTCATCATCCTTATCATCCTCCCCATCAAGCCCTTATCAGAGGGAACTCCCTCTGTTATCTTCTGCTTTTTAGCTCAGATCTCTCTTAGTAATAAATCCTCAAACTATTTCAGCTCTCTGATTTAAAGCCTGACAGAAGTTTGGAGATTCTTCAAATATCAGCTGATTTTGTCTGTAGAGGTTAAATCAGGTCTGACTGAAACAGGACCAAGCACTGAAACGGGATCTCTGTAAATAAAAGGGTTATTACTACACTTTTTAACTAATAACTCACTTTTTACTTGCATGTCACACAATCATAAAAAGTTATCTCATGCATTTTTTGTTAACATCCCCAGCTGACACTGTTGTATACAACACATTACTGTTGAGTTTACAAGATGAGCTGTAAAATAGAATAGTTTGAAGTAGCGACTTATGATAAAATCTGCTTGCTTTGTGAGACTGCTCACTTTCTAGTGACAAACTTCTTGTGTTTTCACAACATTCAAGGGTTTTTTCACAGAGAAGGTTGGTGTATGTTCAGAGACTGATCCAATCTTTCACAAAAGCCACGATCATCTGTGAGAGTGTTTATATGTTTAATCAAATAGTGTTGTTGTGTTGTGAGCTGACGATGCTAGACAGAGGCTACCATATTTGTTTTGGTCTGTCGTCCAATCAGAGGCTGTATGTACAATCAGCTGACCCGTAAAGGTCCAGTCAGAGGCAAGGCCAGCCTGGGACACAGGTCAAAGTCTACTCTCTGTATATAGTTATTTCTAACAGATACAAGTCTCATGTACAGAGGTGATGCATCATGCAGATAGCCCGGGTTTAATTCCAGCCTGAGACCTCTCTCCCACACGTCCCTGTCCAATCTCTCTCCTCATTTCCTGCTCTGTCCACTGTTAAGATAAGGATATGATGAGCCTGAAAAATTGAATGATGTTCAGTTTTGTGGTTTATCCACATCAGCATCTTGTGACTGAAACTCTTTTAGAGAAAACATTTTCTTGCAAAATGTTTGTTTACTTTCAGACATTTTGATGCGTCTTGCATTTAGGTTGCTTTAAAGCCTGTATGGTTGAACTAGGCTTATATTTTGAAATTTACATCTTTGCTACAAAGATGCTACAGCTAGCCCACTCGGAGCTGCTTTTTTTCCTAGTCTCCTTTGTTTTTATATGTGTGGGACCATCTTAAAGGACACTGCTATGCTAATTTTGCACAATTTCAATATTCATTATTTGTCTTAAAAGGTTAAAATTGCCTTTAAAAAGAAGGGGTCATCTTGTAACCAGGGTTACTTATTTTCAGGTCATAATGGTAATTTCTTATCGTTTGAGGTCATATTAGATTTAAAAAAAAAACAGGCTGCACCACAGATGAGTAAAATCCTGCTATGACAGAGTAGAAAGAACAACCTGAGACATGAGACTGAGAGGATACACATGTACTCTGCGTGTTTGTGTGGGTGTGAGAGAGAGAGAGAGAGAGAGAAACTTACAGCTCCTCAGAGACAGACGTCAGCACAGCAGTCATCATTCACAGGTCTTTGCTTTAGGAAAAGCAAGGAAAGAAAAGTTCAGTTTCTGTGGAAGGAATGTTCTTCAGTCTGTCTCACCTTCACATCTTCGCTGTTACTACATTACACACCGAATTCTTTGACAGCAGCATCATTAAAAGCCCTCTGAGTTATCTGTGTCTGATAACATCCCATCAGCTCTCACTGTTTCTTACCTCCTCTAAAATCAAGATCCATGTGATTTTAATTTTTCTCTCACTTCATTTTTATTCTTTATAATCCCTCTGGCTTCAGAGCTGCACAGCTGCTGTTTCACTTCCATCAGATAAAAGAAAAATGTCGTATATCAGATTACTGCTGATCATTTACACAGGTGGAAGCTCATATTTTACACGCTGAAATATTTCAGCTTCAACATCCATAAATCTGTCGGGCTCACATTTTAAACTCTCCTTAATATGAAGCTGAGTCAGACACAGTTCATGTTTATAAAAGGATTTAATTTGACTTGGATGGAAACAGGATTCCTGCGTGTGCATGTGTGTTTGTGTGTGTCTACATAGATTAAAACATAATGAGACTATATGATAAGATAGTTACTATAAATACACAGATAAATAACAAAGAATGGCAGAGTGAAAACACTGGACATTTAGCCTGAGTAGAATCACACCTTCTTAAATTACCTTCACACTTAAAGCCAAAGATATTTACACACCACAGCTCAGCCTCATGCACGTCAGACACACTCGTTTTCTCACTAGAGACTGAAAATAAGAAGTGGACCTCACCCACTGGCTCATTCTGCTAATTTAAAACCATGAGTTTTGCAGTTGGTCGTTGTCTTGTTGTTTTGGGCCAAAATCTGATGAAATTCAACAAAAGGTTCATTGTTCTGTCTCGGTTGACAGGCTTCTATGGTATTGACGCGTCAATCACAGGTAGCCCCGCCTCAACAGTCCCTCATGTTATACTGTTTTTGACCCTTAAAAAACCCTGATGTTTGCAAAAAGCGTTACGTGTGTTCATTTTTCCTACAAAGCTCAACATTAACATGGGGCTCTATGGAGGACCGACTCACTACAGGAGACCGCCTCTACAGGACACTCAGGGAACTGCAGTTTTTTGCACCTCTGCAATTTTATGCATCTATCCTGATTGTCAAGTTGTTGTGGTAGCAACCTGTCAATCACACCCAAAAACTACAGCCTGGGCCCTTTAAAATACTTTTCAAAAAAACATATTTTCACTTTTTTAACAGCTGATGCAAATAATTACACAGCACATCGGCTGATGGCCAATATTTAACGCAAGTTTTTTTTGTATTGGATAATATGGAACAGTTAATATTTTATGTTTTAGGTGGATTTCTGATTAGTTTATGAGAAACAAAAAAAACATATCAAAAATTTATCTGTAACAGTTTGATTTGATTTACTGCCATTTGTGATAGAAACAACAAAGCTACCTTGAAAAACGTGTTATTAGCCTCCAGTGGAGACTTGAAGAACTGCATCTTTTCACTCTGCATTGGCTTTCTATTTCAACCTTGGAGGTTGAAGCTTAGTGGGGATTTTTTTTTTTCCTGGTTTTTATGCTCAAACCAGGTACCCCCCCTAAATCCTCTCCTACTTTCTATACTTTCTAGTCTGTTAGAGAAAATATTTACTGAGGGTTTAAATCAGCTGAGAATTTGGACTTTTTATTCAGAGACTCCCATGCAATCTGTTGCCTCCTGCTGGACCTGAATGACTTCAGCTTTAAGGCACTTCTCTACATTGGCTTAACTTTCTAAACCAAGAGGTCACGTCCACTTCTTATAAATGGTCTGTGAGTTATAGAGTCCATTTAGCATCCAGTCAAAGTCTGTAAGTCCAGACACTCCAATAAAAACACAAAACACAGGGTAACCTGTAATGTTATAACTGGAAACAACTTGAAGTCACATCATTATAAGGCTACCACAGTCAAACATCCCAGTAAACCCAGCACACCCAGTATCCTCAGGTATAAATAGTCACAATTAGCTGCTCAGAAGAAATCTCTTGTTTTCCCTTTATTGCAAAAAGAGTGGGTAACATACAGCACATAGAGGGATACTTGATAGTTCCAGGAAGCTGGATGGACCAGTCGTGGTCAGACTGGGAGGAAGAGGAGTTCCTGTCTTCATCTAAAGTAAGTAGGAAGTTTCCACCACCAAGAATAAAACTGTGATGGAGTTATATTCTCTGGCCTCAAACTTTGCCATCGGTCCCTCCATCATGTCAAAAAAGTGGTCCTGGTTCAGCCTTTACTGAGAATCAGTCAGATAGAAGGAAGGAAACAAGGAGTGTCTGAAGGATCCTCAATCTGAGAGATCAGTCGATGGGTCGGATCATGAGTCTGACTGACTTCAGGGAGTAGAAACCACCTCCATACTCGGCCCAGAAGATTCCATCCTGGAACTTACTCCGGTAGACCCCGCCACTGTACCAGACGCCATTCAGGTTGGTCTGCCCACAGGCGTTGTACCACCAGCCGCCTTTATGGAAGTGAGCGCAGTTTCCTTAAAGAGACAGGTAAAAGGAGGGTCAGTCTATTGCTTAGAACAGAAATAAAGATGCTTTAAGATCCCATCCCCTCAGCCAGCCTGTCTTACCAGAGAAACTGTCCTTGTCACGGTCTAGTGTGGTAAACTGTTTGCCGTTGTGGCTGCTGAGCGAGTCGCCAGCATTGCCCTGGTAGGTGCCGAGTCTGAGCCGGTAGCCCTCGCTCTCCGACTCCAGGCGGAAGCTGCTGTACTCAGCATACACCTTCTTCCCCGTCCAGTCCTCCAGCTCCACCATCAGCTTATAGTCGCCCTGTTTCCCCAGGTTGTAGATGTTGACCAGCCCCAGCCAGTGTTCACCGTTTATGTTCCCGAATCCTCTCTGTAGAGAACCACAAAGCGTTATCTGTTATTCATACAGGTCTATCTGTTAGTCATCTGCAGCTGTGGTTGAAGTTCAAACACCAGAACAGCAACATAGGGGATTAATCTGAGTCAGTCATCTCTGTGGGTTTGCTAACTTCCTTCTCTGTGGTCACTGAAGTCATGTCCAAGAAACACAAGCAGTGAGGACGAGTGAAATGAATCAAATCTGCTCCCTGTGGGACAATAATGAGTGAGGGGTTCATAGTTTCTCACTCTTGATGAATGAGCTGACTGTCGGGATAAGGGTTTTACCAATTTTGCATCAGTTGGATAAGGAGTTCAATAAAATCTGAGCTACACGGACACATTTCTGTTCCTGCTCCAAACTAAAAAGATGAAATTCTAGTTTGACTCAGTGACAGAGAGGAAAACTCCCGCACTGGTCTTGTTAATTTTTTACAGAGAAAAGCAGTTGTATTAGTCAGGCTGTAAATCTGTCATCTTGAGCTTTTGGCTTTAATGAACTGTGTGTAACTCTGGATCACATATCAGAGGCTGACACATGGAGGAGAGGATGGAGGGACTGTAGAGGTTGAAGATATTGTGGTTTTTTGTGGTGCCTTTTGCACTAAACAGCCTGGTTAATTTTGGTATGATAAGCTTTCACTTCCACTTTCATTGCTGAACGTTGGAAAAGATACCCAACCTGTACCACCCTACTCTTTTGACACCTTTCTGTTGGGGTTTCATGAAGAGCATAGTAGAGTATAGTGAATGAGGTGCTCTCTCTTTTCCCTGAAAGCAGAGCATATGCTCTGACCTTCCCTTCAAACAGCTTTTACTTTCACTTCACCATCCTGATCTCAGGTTAGTGTGCAGTAATGTGTGGAAGTGCGAGGAAGTCGCCAACATGAGTGTGAGCAGCTTCTTTACAGTTCACCCCATTTTTGAATAAAAAGCTATGAAATTGTGTTTTCACCAAAATAACTGACCTGGATACAAACTCAGAATAAAATCATTTTGTGAGAACAAGAGGAACCTTTTAACAGTAAAAAAAAAAGGTCAGGCATTTATTTTGAAATGCATTGTGGGAGTGCCACCATGGTATATTTTTCATGCTTGTGAGATAGCTGATACAGTGTAGTTATGGCGCTCAGTTTGTTATTCTCTCATTTTGGTCTTTTGGTGGGAGATCTGAGTTGCTCATGGAAAATAAAAATCAGGTGAGATGTGCTGCTCATGCTGCCAGTCTGATATTCAAATATTCACATCAAAAAAAGCAGCTGTTCTGTAGCTGTCAAGCAGCCAACACTCTTACTGCATTGAGTGCCAGGGTAGGGTACAGTCTGCAGTGAAAGCACAAGTAAAGATCAAAGTTAAGTGTACAAAGCGGTACCATAATTCACTGGACCAAATCGGACTGCTTGGTGGAAATACATCTTTGAACCCTACAGCGGCCAGAATTTGAACCCTGACCTAGATTCAGGTCTCTTTTCAGTACAGGAGTCTTACCTTGTAGTTCTCCCAGTTCCTGAAGAAGTTCACAGATCCGTCTTTCCTCCGTTGTAACACTGTCCACCCTCCATTGTCGAGGCCGTGGTCACACCAGGCCTGGATCAGCTGATCGCTGCCATCCGTCTTTAGCAGGTACATTCCGCTGGTGGTGTGTCCGGCCTGTCGCACCTGGTAACAGTCCCTGAAGGGGCCTAAAGGGATGGAAAAAGGAAGTAACCAGACAGGATGTTAACTTTGAGTGAGTATACAGTTAATATCCTCTCCTGTTCGTATAGACTCATTCCTTATAAAACCATCCTCTGACTTATTCACAGTCATTTTTATCCTTTTAACAAATTTATCAAACTGAACCTTGAACTAGAGAATGTCTTATTCTTATACTGAATGTTAAAGTCATCTCCATCAAAGGCTGAGTGATGAGGGGGCGCCTGTTTGACCTCGTGTCTGAGGGATGGATCATACTGTGGAAAATCTCTCAGACCATCCAGACATCCATCAGTCTGAGCTGAAATCTGATTATTCCCAAAGATTCACAACAGCTGAACCCAGAGCAGCTCACTTCCCTTGTTCCCTTGTCCACATCTACAAACCAGTATGAACACCAGCATTGTGCGGGGCCCTCGGGGGCCTGAAGGTCCATTGAGATGGTTTTCTCAGCCGAGAGCAGGAGCACACACAGATCCTGTACAGATACTTAAAACCCCACAGCAGCAGGTTTTGTTTTTTTAGTAATAACACATTTTCATCAGACGTGTCAGTGAGGGCTCTGAACCATCTTTTTTTTCACTTTTCTGTCACTTTCTCGTCACTTTCTCTAAACAGAACTTTCAGGTTAAGGTGGAAAAATAAACGAAGTCGTTACCTCAGGATTTGAACAGGACTCAGACAGACCAAACTGTGGTCAGCTGATGTGTGTTTATTTTAGGGGTGACTCTCTGAAAGAGTGTGTCTGTTTGACTTAAGTCCTTCCAACTCTGACCTCCTGACATGAACCCTATGGAGCCGTTATAAGTGACATCATCTCAGCTTGCCTCTGTCTGGTTTTCTAAAGGGACCTGTTACTTTCTGGATGCTAGATAAGTTCTGCTGTCTGTTTCCACCGTTATCTACATTTTAAACTATGTGTTGGATTCATTCTTGCCTACCACACCCACTGAGCTTGGAGCGAAGCATCCCACACACCAGTGTTGCTGACTAAGGCAATCGACACAGGTGGACTCAATCTTTTCCAGGCAGGACTCATATAAAGGAAAAGAGAATCCAATGCTCTGTTCCCTTCATAATTCAGATCCTTTTCCCTCCTTTGCTGTTCAAGTGCACCCAGAGAGAGTTGTTTTCTGATGTCCAAGTATGACAATCTGTTGTTTTTTGCTAAACTCATTGGTAGCCTACTTTAATTCAAGCATTATAATCTCTATGAGAGAAATGAATTTGACCAATTATGTTATATTTGTGTAAAAATATAGAAAACACCACTCAACAAGCAAAGGCACCACAATTTAACAAAATAAAAGTCCTTTAAATTGAGTTTTCTGTCTTGCTCGCAGTTTATTGCACATTCTATGTGATAAAAGTAGAAAGAAGGCAGAAGCAAATAAAACAGAACAATTCAACAAAGAACTGGCAGCTCTTGTTGTCGTCCTGTTTCCTATATTATTGGTTTCTGAAGTGACTGTTTATGTTGGTTGCAGTCAAGCTACAGTTGCTGATTGAGAATCAGTTCATTACCAAACATGTCTTCTAGGGGTGGGAGAAAAAATCGATACAGCATAGTATCACAATATTTCGTAAATAAGACAAAAAAAAAAGAAAAACAAATACTAAATTAGCTAAACAGTTGAAAAGTTGCATAAATTGCAAAATATTATATCCGAATACTCACTGTATTGCACAATGTTAAAAATCGCAATAATATTGTATTGTGGCCCAAGTATCGTGATAATATCGTATCATGGGGTCACTAGTGATTCCCACCCCTAATGTCTACCTCAACTGGTAGATGTTGGTATGCCCCCTTTCAGCTTGTTATTACTGGGTCTACTTTTTGACCTGTTACGTCATGTTCCGAGACAATCAGCAAAAGCATTGGCAAGAACCCGACAGGATATGTGCAAGACGATTGAAACACAGATAACTTTACAGCTGTGTAACTTTGGTACACACAGTGCGATTGCTGCTCTTTCTACAATGCATTTATGCTGCTCAACTTCTTTGTCAAACTGTGGAGCATGCTCAGATCGCCGAGACCAGTTTGAATCTGATTGAGATGTATACGTACAAGAGAAAATCGATCCTAAACTCAACAATTTGCATCCTCTAAGGAAGCAGTAAGACATGATTAAGAGCATCTGAGCATCCTACCCTGAATCTGATGTCAGAGGAGAAAAACAGCCTCCCAGTGAAAATGCTCTGTTAGAGAGTTAACTTTTATCATTTGGCTCATTGATTCAACTCAGTTATTTTCTCCAATGGCAGCCATTGAGAGTAATGATGTCTCTAAGGTTCAAATATCTGATTTAAGCCTGGACGGAGAGCGTATTTTTCACTTCAACATTCCTCTGAGCAGAAATACGTCACTAACTCAGAGACTCCCCTGCCGGTATTAAAACAGATCCTCTTTTATTCCCCATTTTGTCAGAGAGATACGATGAATGATTGCCTCCATTTCACCGTCTGGTTGTGTAACCCCTGTCAGCATTCCCCGCCACGCTCTAATCAGCAGCCATAATACAACAGCTCTAACCAGGAGACATTTCCAAGTAGCATCCAGCTTCACTAATCGCTTTCATACTGGAGATGATGGTCCTCAGATGTCAGGAATCACAGCCCAGTCTGAACCACTTCTGGGGTTTAATCTGATATGATTGTTTACAAGTCCTTCTACAAGTCGATGAACTTGTCCATCAGATGTTAAAGGCGAGCTGCTTTGCCTCTTCACATCTTCATTGACCAGATTTAAAGTCACTAAACCCTTTCAGTACACTCTCATCCCCTTTTCTTCAAAGTCTTTGTAAAGTTGTTCAGAGCGGTCTAATCCAAAGCTGCTAATTTACCACACATGCTTAGAGCTGCAGCCAGCACAGGCGGCCAAGTGGGAATCAGAGGAATGTATGACTTCACTGCTGCCGCTGCCGGAGAGCAGACGAGCCTCAGTCCTACCAGCAGTTATTCAGGGTGACTGAACGGCAGTGATCGTGACAAGAATTAATGAGAAAAAGGACCGAGGGACATTTTGTCTCTGCTCATCTGTTTGGATCACTGTTTGTTTGAGATGTAGCTGTATTGTCAATTTCACGATATTCTGAGAACCACTGTGTACTCATACCGGTGGTCCTGTCACAGTATGAAATGATTGATCGTCCAGGGTAAAAGTGTAGTTTTCTTTTAGCCACAATGGATCAGCGATCAGGGACTACAGAATCCACTGTCCCATTTGTGCCTCTGACCTTGTTCATAAATATCTGGATTAGCAGGTGTCCTGATACAACTTTGACTTACAATACAATACTGATATTGTAGCCTTCAATATTGACCAGTATCAATATTGATCCGATACTGGCACAAAATTGTGCATAACAAGATTTTCACTCAGATGCAATGTCTTTTTTGGACTTAAATAAGAAATACTGCCACAAGGCCAACATCACTCCTACTCCGTGCTACTTTGTTAGTAACTTTGTCCACACTGTTGCTCTGATTTTGTGGGCTTACCTTGCTGGGCGCTGTTAGATAGAGGTACCGGAGCGGAGTCTGGAATGGACTGCTTGTATCGGAGTGCTGATATCAGAGATTTTAGATGCAGGCCGATATAATCCGATATTCGTTTTTTTGCTGATATCGGGCTGATATCTGATATCAATATCATATCGGGACACCCCTAATCTGGGTTTTTGGCACATCAGTTAGTGATAATAGAGGAAAAGAAGCAGAGCAGGGATAGTGTCAACACTCTCACTTCTGTAAAACAGAGCAAGGTCACACGCTGCATCTCTGATTAAATCCCCAAAACCTGCTGGCATTTTTTGTGGTTCACAAAGGATTTAAAAAGTTAATAACCTACTGGAGTCAATGTTGAAATATAGGCCATTGATTTTCCATGTCTTTGTTTATCCTATTTTTTTAAAAAAATTCTAATACATATCATACTCTGGACTTGCTGAAATAAATTTGCTGGCTGTTGGTTAAACTGTGCTGAGTCTGTTAAAATCTGGTACGTACCGTCAGAAGTGAGTGTTCCCTGAGGTGGAGGGTTGATCCCAAAGGGGCTCATGGTCGGGGTGTCCATGCGGGATCCCCTGGTGAAGGCCCGATTGTTGTTGTCCCTCTGTATCTCATTGGTGAACCGGTTGTTGACAGGTAAGTTCTGCGGCACTACTTGGACCAGTGGGGGGACGACAGGGAGGTCACCTCGCCCTATAGTCCTCAGACACTGCTCCTCTAAGGCAGTGATCAGGATGGACTGGTTGTTGACCACCCCCGCCATCGTGGCGAAGCGGCCCTCCAGCTCCTTGTACCTGGAGGCGAGCCTCATCATCTCGGAGGTCACGTTGAGGACGCGGTTCTCCAGCTGGGCCAGCTCCAGAGAGTTGTCCCTTTTCCGGATGATCTCATGCAGCAGCTGCATGTAGAGCTGTGTCACTCGAGAGTTCATGTTCCTGCTTTCTTTCCGCAGCAGCTTCATCTCGTTCACCAGGTTACCGTCCACATCCACCACCAGCTGCAGCGTCTCAATCTCACGCCGCTGCTTGTTCAGCACCTCCCTCACATCTGCGATATCCATGCGAGTCACTCTGTCCTTGTCGGGCTCAGGGCCTGTGGTGCTGGCACAGATGGGACCTGTCGACAGATGAGACTTTGTCAGGAAATTGAGCAAAAGCTGTATGGACTTCAGCCAAAGTGACAGAGTCATGGTGGATGAATTTATCATGTGAGAGCAAAGTTTGAACCTGTGATCCTCTGCTCAGGCACCAGGAAGGTGTAGGAGCACTTCTTAGCATCAGCGTTGAGGGGGGCTCTCTTGCTCCTGTGCAGAGGAGCTCCTGCGGTCCTCCGGGCCTCCCTGGAGCTCCTGCAGGAACTTTGCCCCCAGAGGGAGAGACAGAGCAGGGCACACAGGCTCCACATCAGTCCCTGCATCGCCGCAGGCTGGTTGGATGGATTGATGGACGGGTACTGGTGCTCCCTCTGAGTCCCCCCAGGCCTCCCTGTGAGAAAACACAAACTCTGAAACAGACAGCTCTTTGTGTACAGAAGCTAACAAAGGGGCAGGGAGGTGTTGATTGTATATTTCAGAGGAAATGAGTACCAGATATTTAAACAGAGGAGGGTTGGACACAGTTACTCAGATATTCAGTGGATCAGTGTGTCCAGTCAGCTGAAAGCTCTTTGTGTTGGCTGTTTGGAAAGACTCAATGAGAGAAAAATGTGACTGTTCAGCCCGAGGACGAGGTCTGCTTTCTGTCTGAGTTAGTTCCCCCACCGTCGGACGCCACATTTTTCTGAGATCTTGCTCCCTCTTAAAAGATAACTGCTTCATAGCTGCAGGCTGTGTTGAATCTTTCACACCTCCTCTTTACTCTCGGTATATCCTCTTCACTCCAAGAATAACATGATTTATTTCCCATCCTCATATCTCCACAGTGTGAACCTAAAAGTCTATTTCTGCTTGGGAACTATTCCAATAACTCTCAAGAAAAGACAGTTTAGCATGTCGACATCGAGGAAAGTGTCTTGAAGTTTTACGGACGTCAGTGTCATTTAGACAGCCAGCAAAATTCCAGATAAGCAAAGATTTAACAGCCCAGCAACTGGATGAACAAATGGTCCCATCAAACTCATATAAAGTCTCAGCATTGATCGACATCACAAGCTTCAAAATGCACAATTATTTGAAGTCCGTAACACTCGCCTGTGTCACAGTTTTGGCCAGATGCACCAGTGCATCATCTCTTAATCTTAAACAATGCTAGCAGTAAGCTGTTTAGGATGATGATCAAGGTATTTAATTATCTCTCCGTAATAAATCTGTTGTGTGGGATTATTTTGGATTGTGGAAGAGACAGGTCAACAGTGTTTTTATACAATAAATTACAAAAGAAACACAACAAAACAGGGGTTAGATCATGCAACTGGTGCAGACGTGAAAAAGTGATTCCTATCTGGATTCATGAGGCATTAAAGAAGTTTCACTTTTCAGAAGAGAGCAGTGAAGATGTCTGTTTATTTACATGCAGTAATTATAGAACTGTTAGCTGTCTTCTTGGTGTAGGTCTCTTCAGATTGCTTTGTCCACCAGCATCCTGTGGCTAAACCTTTGCTGTGTGTTTCTGATGATCATGCCCCCCTTAAGTAAGACAGAATCAGGACTTATTCTGATAGGGCCTATTGCAGGATGAATTAAATGTGTTGCTCGTGGCTTCAAATATTCAGCGAGAATAAAGAAGAGGAAGTTGAGTAGTGAGGTGACTCTGCAAAAGCTGAACAGTCTGCACTGTTTCTCTCTTATCCCTGATGTATGGGCTTTCTGCTCCTCATCAGCGGTCTCTGGTCTATGCAGCGCCAAACCAGTCTACACTCCTAATCTACTGCATAACATCCCAGTCATTCTGTACTCAGAGCCACATCATTAAGTCCTGCCCCCACCCTGAAATTCAGCCCTGAGTGTCTCTGTATGACGTTATTGTGGTTCTTCAGGAATTCTGGTCGTCGTGGCCCTTGGAGCAGGCCAATGGGCGGCAGGATTTCAGCTCAAGTGTGTGTGTGTTTATGTATGTATGTGTGTGGGTGGATGTGTGTGTATTCGTTCTCTGTAATTGAATTCTGCATGACCATCCAGAGACCCTTTTCATTCTCATGCTGCCATGTTTTTACATAACCTGGATCTGTCTCCTCACTGACCTCAGTGTGAGCTGCTGATGACTTTAGCAGCAGCGTCAGCACCATCACTGAACTCTGTCTGATTGCTGCTGTGTCTGGAGGCTTCAGAGAGCCCGTACTCCCCCCCGGCACAAACAGGACAGGAAACAATCCAGCTCGTACATCAGCTGGCAAATCCTTCATCTCCATCACTTTCCTGCCCCCCTGTCTCTCTTTCCTCTACTCTGGAGCCAGGTTTCCTCCTGGGTGGGGGTAATTTGGAGCCTGCTGTCCTCCTGTGGGGGTGATTTGAATCCAGAGTTTTTCTTTCCTCTGAAGCTATGTCTCCTCTTTGGTGGGAACTCTTCTGGTACAAAGTTTCAAGGTTGACGGTAGTACCTTTTGAGCCCAGTTTGCTTTTAGGCAGGGGTTCTTGTGCATCTTGACATTTGTATCTTTGAGCATGTTTCAACCTTCATGGGGGCTCCTGTTGAGCAAGGCTTCATCCTGAGTAAGGTCTAGAAGTGCCAAGGTTTTCCATTGGGAGGGAATTCTTTTGGATCAAGGTGTCTTCCTACACAGGGGACTTTTGAAGCAGAGTTTTCCTTTTAGGTGAGGGCTCTTCTAGGGGCAGATTGACTCTTTGACGGGGGTTGAAGAGCTGTGGTTTAAGGGTGTTTTTTTTTTACAAGAACAAGGTTTCCCAGTGATTAGTGGTTGTTCGAATCAAGGTCACTCCTCCTTGGTCAGGTTTTTCAGACTTTGTTTTTGGATTTCTGACTGAGTGGAGGTTACTGTGAGGCTTGGTCTTCAGCTGCTTTGAAGCCATATGCTGCGTTCCAGTTGTACTCGGAAGTCGGGATTTCCGGAACGCCCCCCTGAAGTCGGATTTCCGACTCAGACCATCCTCACCAACCCTGACTTGACGATATCATAATCCAAGATGGCAGCGCAGTGCAGTGCAAAGAGTAACAGTGAAAGCTCTCGTAATGTATTATTTATTAGCACTTCTGTTTTTGTGAAATTAAATAAGTGATATAGGTTGTGCTGCCCAACGTCTAACTGTGGACATGGTGCTAAGGTGTTTGTAAGAGTAAAATACTGTGTTATGTGTTGTTTACAACTGCGAACAGCAACTAACAACAGCTTTCAACAGTTAAAAACAACTGACAATGGCGAACAACGGGTGACAATTGTTCACAACCGCCAACAGTAGGCGTCCTTCTTGATTTTCCGACTTGTTTACTGGAACACCGCCAACTTGGGTATAATGTCATTCCCAGCTTCGACTTCTGAGGTAACTGGAACCCAGCAATAATTCCTTACAATGTTACAATGTCATTTAGCTGACACTTTTTTTCAAAGTGATGTACATTTGAGAGCAGGAACAACACAACACAGGATCGGTAAGAGCAACAAAGTGCTTCAAGTCCTCTTGTTTATAAGGGATTGTAAAGTGCTGTCATGGGGTGCTGGTGGAGCAAACTCTTGTACGGGTGAGGTTGGTTTTCCCCTGGGTTGAACTTGCTCTTGAACCTCAGGTCATGCTACAAAGCAGGATTTGCAGGGTTAACGTCAAGGTCACTTCAGGGTTAACTTTGGGTTTTCAGCACTATAAAGGAGGTTCACTTATTATTAAAGCAGGTTAAAGAATGAAATATCAATGAAAGTTACCGATTGTGCTCTCCTGATGGGATTCTATAACAGAGACTCAAAGTAGTTAACACCAGAGATGTTAGATGCTGACAGCAAACTTATTCCCGTCTGTGATCAGTTCATGAGACTGCACCCACAGTAACTCTCGGTCCTCTGTCAGGGTTGTTAAAGCTGGATAAGTAAAAGATGACTGAGCGCTATGTTGAGCACGCTTCAGAGTATCAGCCCCAGGTTTCCTCTTTGGTTGGGATCCTTGTGAATCAAGGTTTGATCTTGGGAGGGGGATTTCTGGAGTGCGATTTTTCCTTTAGGTGGAGGCTCTCCTTGCACCACCAAAGAGCCAGAGTCAGCCCTGGGTTAATGTTTTGCTTGGTAGGCTGCTTACTTGAGCAGGGTTTCCTCTTGGGTCAGGGTTCTAGTGGGTCATAGTTGCTCCCTTGGTGGTGGTTTTCTATGCCTGGATTCCCCCTTTGTAACTCCAGATTTTGGATGGAGGTAGGGTTATTTATGAGCTTGAATTTGTGCCAGTTTGAAGCATTTTTGAAACCAATCAGGGAAACCTAAACCTGTACAGTGGTGTATAGCACTCCATGGGGGCCATAGTTTTTAGTTGGAGTACCGTTTATTCAGGAGCTTGGATTCTGGTCAGCTGGGAGCTCTTCTGTAGCCTAAGTTTATGGTGCCTGCAAGAGCTCGGACTACAGCTTGGACTAACTTAAGGAGGAGAAGCATGCCGCAGTGCAAATTCAAAGACATATGCAAGTCTGAAAACACAAAGATGGAAACACTACTAATGAAAATAACGCTAAAACAGCTGTGTCAATATGCAAAAAGACTAACAATGCAAAGCCAGAAAATGCACAGACCTAAAAAACAACAAGCAAGAAATAGAATAGAAAATCTTGATTGTATAAAATTGGACGCAATCCTATTAGATGCTAATGGTTGAGGGCAAACAGTAATAAAAATACATAAACAAATAAATGAATCCCAGACTAACTCACAGAATATCAAAACTAACCAAACAAATGTGTTGAAGGAAGAGGACAGATTCCCGAAAAAGACAACAACCATATTTCAAGGGCAGTTCCTACAACCCGTTGCTACACATTCACAGTTCAGTTGTTTTATATTGCACAGTTCAAGTTTTGGCAGTGCATTGAGTGCAGTTATGGCTTCAGGATAAAAACAGTTTCTCAGTCTGTTTGTTCCTGTTTTTATCCTCCTGAAACGTCTGTTCGAAGGCATGAAATCAGGACTTTAAAACAGAAGTGCTCAAGGCCTGCAGGGGAGCCAAGTGACACAGGTTATTGTTGACAAGACAGAGACGAAAAGCAGACAGTCAATTGATGGTTTAGATGGAAAAGTTGCACAGTTTGATATCAGGGGGTAATGATGTCATTCCTGCAGTCAGGAGAGTCTGACTTGGACTCTAAGGGAGAGAAGTGAGTGATATCAGGCATCAATTTTCCTCGTCTCAGGAGACTGTTTTATTTTGGTGGTTCTTTTGTGTTTTGTTTTTTTTCAGATGTATTTGCAGAGTGTTTGTAGTTATTGAAATTGTTTTGGCTTTTTCGCAGCAGGTTTTTATGTCGATGCTTTTGTTTTGGATTTTTGCATCTTCATTGTTTGAGTATCTGCAGCACGTTTCCCCTGAATATCTTCCAGCCTGATGCAGATCATCCATGAAGGTTCCTGCTGGTTCGGGTTTTTACTGTATTATGGGTTGAGGTTTTCTGGATGGGGTTCTGGTTGGGTGAGGTTCCATTCATGGTGTGGAGCTCTTCTACAAATCGGTTTCCTCCTGGGTGTGTGTTTTTTGTTCCAGAGCTTGGTTTCTTATTGGGTGGGGGCTCTTCTAGCTTCCTCCTGGGTGGGGGTTCAGAGTATGAGGGTTTTTTTTCATGGAAACACAACGAATCAAAGACATTCCAGTGTAGATGGAGGGGCCACCAGAGTGTCGTGAAGTTTAACGATTTGTAGTTTTTCCTCCAAACGAGCAGAGCGGCTCCTTTCTTCTGACCAACAAACCAAAACGAAACACTGCTGAGGGGCTGTGGGATCAGGCCGAGGGGCTGCTTACCATAAAGAGCTCACCTGGGAGTGTAAAGGTTTATGTTTGTGAATGTATCTTCACTCACCGTGGCTGCAGTAGATTGAGTTTTCCCGTTTGCTGAGAATCTGATTTTTAATGCATCATGTTGGAGTTTGCAGCTGCTCAATCTGACCCCCTGCTTTGTTCAGGTTCAGCAGAGATGGAAGCCACTCACATCTGCTGCTTTGCAGATTCAACAACTGGACAAGAACCAAAATTAAAGTCCTGATGAGACAGCAGATGGTGTTTTACAACGCGCCTGCTGAAATCTGACAGAGCGATCTGTTTAGTCTGTGAGGTTTAACTCGAGTTTCCTGGATTCAAGTTTGTGCATTTTGAAAACAGATTTAGTGCAACATCTGCTCAGTTTTTTTTGTCATTACTGAGCGGAAACCAAACCAGGTTTTTAACTCAGTAGGATGGTTCAGATGTAGCTGAGCTGCAAGATCTTCAGATAATTGTTTGGTGCGATTATGATGAGCACAGAGATGTGTTCACAGCCTCTGCAGATTGAGGAAGCTTCAACAAGACAAACAGCCTCTTTTTAAAATCTTTTTTAAGCTCTTGGCGAGGTAATTTCCCTGCATATGTCACAGCGTGAACCAAAACAGATGAATTTATAATCTCTAAAGGGTTTTCTTCCCCTGTTTACTGTCTCTGCCCGTGTCTCTCCTCTTGTGTTGAATCATTTCCTTCAGTAAAACCAGCGAAGCAGCGGACACAGAGAGACAGAGATCTTTGTGTGAGTATCAGACAGGAATGATTCTCCTCTGCAGGTCACCAGAGAGGAAATTAGACTCATGAGAACTTATTCAGCTGCTTGGTTTAACAGTTTAATGAGTGTTTGTGGTTTAAATCAGGCAGAAACAGTCATGTGACACACTCAGGATTCAGGTCAGTGCGTGTGGTACAGGAGAAACCCTCTAGCTGCAGGACAAACACTGCAGACAGCTGATAGATCAGAGTCCATGTGGAGGTATTCCTCTGTTCGATGTCCAAAATTCTGGATAGCCTTTGCAGATTTGCACATACCTACATTTTATTCCCTGTCTTCTATCGTCAGTAAGTGATGGCAACTTTTTGATGGATGTTAATAATTTGTTAATAATTTCTGAATTATACAGACAAAACTAAACTAAATACTAAAGTCTGTGTTTAGGTTTGAAAGTATAGAGATGAGCTGGAGCTTCAAACAAGGGAGTGGATAAACAGTGTGCAGCCAAAGAATCTCAGGGTTTCAGGATCATCAGGTTGAAGCTAAATTAAATTTGCGTCAGGGTTTGAAACAGGAGAAACGGGGACAAATTCATGAGGAGTGCTGACTGGATGTGTAGATTTCTCCTATGCAAGTCTGTTCTGATAAATGCTACACACACTGCACAAATCTGTCCAGATTATCATTCATGTATGATTTTGGCTGTTTTTATTCATTTACAGAAGTCCATAAATTTCCTGAAATTTTCCAAATGAGCTGCATGCATGAGCACAAACAGCCTGATGTTTAACAGCCAGCCTCTTAGTAAAATTTGTGCATTAAGACCTGGTTTAACTTTCAGATTCTGTGTTAATATCAGGAAAAATGTCAGTAGGTGCATTAAACAGATTTTTACCTCCACATTTTCTAACCTGACTCGAACTGGGACCAAACCGAGCCCCCATCCCCCATCAGTTTCCCCTCCCTCAGTGAAACTCTACACATGTATGCTGATGGGGAGGTGAGAGGTCAGTTTGTGGGATTAGGCTGCAGCCCCACCCTTCCTCTCTACCTCACCTCACCCCCACCTCTGCAATCAATTGGGCTTTGTCGACCCAGACCCCCCCCCCCCCCCCCACACCCCCACACACACACACACACACACACACACACACACACACACACACACACACACACGGACACAAATGCACAAATACACCATTCTTACACACCCACCTCCATCAGTCATACATAATCAAGATAAGGACTCATTCTACCACACCCTCCTCCATCACTCCGTCACACTCACCCTCTCACACCCCTCAGGGGGGAGGACTCACTGACACACATTCATGTGTGGACGCTCAGTGTTTTATTTCTGCTCTGACTCTCACCTTCAGCCCTCCCTCACCTCCTGCACATGCTTCCTATTAGCCCCCCTTCTCCTCCTCCCCCTCTGATGGTGACCCTCTGACCTCCCCTCTCTGGACTGACCCGTCCACTCAGCTGTGTCCCTCAGCACTCATTAGAGGCTTCAAACAGGCTGCAGACTCACACTACTAACTTCATCCATGCACAAATGCACACACTCTGAGCTTTGAACCGCAGTAGGGCGGCAAATTCAGAGTCATTCTCTGTCATCGATCTTTAGAAATATCAACACTTATTTTGGGCTGCAGCAATACACTAATACTGATGTTAACCACCTGTCTTTAGAAATAGGACCACGACTTGCTGCGGCTTTAAGCAAGTTAGCTTTAGCACCCTCCTGAGAGGCGTTTTGACACTTATAAGTAGGGCTGGTCGTTAAACCGAAAATTTACAGATAAATTTATGACAATAACCAACGTAATTTTGCCCATATCGGTGTATTCAGCATCAAAACAATAAATAAATAAAAGTTGGTTTTGGATGTGTGTAGGTAGGCTATGGTCTCATGTCCCTTTAAGACGCTGTTCTACGTCGGAGACGTGACTCCATCCCATCCAGTCTGTTACAAAGAGGGACAGAAAGGTGAGGAGATGGAGGACGGTTCAAAAGTTGTAGTGGCTGGAGCGGGGGCTGATAAATGTGGTCAATGTTAATGTGGGAGGGGGTGAGCAGCTTGAGGAGTAGTTATCCATTTATCATTATCGAGGTGAACTGCTCAATATATCGTGACATTGATTCGAGGCCATATCGCCCAGTCCTACTTATAAGAGACTCAAACTCCTGCATATAGACTTATGCAACTGAAAAGCAAAACATCCCAGAGTCACAGTGTTCAGTTTTCTGCATGCTTGTTCTTACTGAAAAATAAGCATGTCCACAAGATCAGTGAGGAGCACAACAGCATGCAGAAAAAACTCTCAGACAGCGCTGATGCTGCTGGTATGCAGAGATACTGATGTGCCAGCTTTGCCAGAATTTTTCTCTGTTAAAAGTTCTCAACCTTGTGTTTCTTTCATCAGCTGTGGTGTATCGCTAACTCCCCGGAAAAAGGGCTTGCACAATACCTTCAGGCAGCTGGATTGCATTCTTAAACAAAAAAGGATGCTGGATCCAGGACTCACTGGAAAAAGTTAAACCCTTTCCAGACTATTATGCAAACAAATCTGATGCCAGTACTCAAGATCAGGAGACCCCAGAATTTTTAGCCTGTGATTCCCAAAAAGAGAGTGGTGACCCCCACTACTCCCCTGAGGTGGTTAGGCATTGCTCACGTTTTGTTGATAGTTTTATTACAGCAGGTTAAATAAGATGCGATCCATCAGTAACAAGTTGGAAGGAGGTAGGTCATACTTCTGTTGACAATTCACTTCTTGCCCGGTGCATGTAAACTGGGACAAGAACAGTGGTCCAGTTAAATCATCTCATCAAGATGTAACTGCAGCTCCACTTGACTGTACAGATAAAAGCACTGCATCATGTGTATTATGACCTCTGATACCTCTGTTTATTCATCCTGCTTTTGTTACAAATAGAGATTTGTAATATGTGAAGTCTGTAAATATAAAAGCATTATATCAATAGCTTTGCATGCAGAAGTGTGATTCCAGTCAACAGCTCAAGCTTAATCATCCTCAGATCACTGCTGGGTGGATTGTTTTTCAGAGTTGTTCTCCTCACAGACTGTTCTCATTCACGCTGAGTGACACACAAGTGGACGATTAAAGTCAGACCGTGGACTGAGAGCAGAAAGATTTTAACGCAGAGTTTGTCAACAGAGATAAATGTGTTGAAAACACAGAAAGTGACATGAGAAACACCCAGAAACACAAAGAGTTCTTCAAGTTAAACACTCAAATGTCCGTCACAAGCTGTACCTCAGCACAGAGTTTTGAGATGTTGTCACACCCCAAAAGTTTCATTGAAGCAGAGTGTGTATTCAGTGTGTGTATTCAGTTTGTGTGTATGTGTGTGTGTGTGTGTCCTTGATAGCATCACCAGGTCTGTCCTCGGGTCAAACACCACAGCCGAGTGAACAGACCGACATGTGTGTGCGTACGTGTGTGTGTGTGTGTGTGTGTCTCCTCTACCTGTCTGCGGTTTATGAGTGTGTTCCAGGACTTTTAAACCCCTAACAAACCTCAGACTGAGCGCGTGCGGTGAGTTACGTTTGAGGCTGTGATGTTAGCAGTTAGCTTATGTAATGACCCGTAAAAGGTTCCCCTCTTGGACCCCATGTGACCCTACCAGGTCTCAGGTGAGCTGAAGTAAGTCACAGATTAATTCGGGTGATGAAAAGGCAGCCTGTCTCTCTCCTTCATTTGTTCTCTCTCTCTTTTCATCTCTTTCTCTCTCCCCCTTTCTCGTTCTCTCCCTCACTGATTTATGACCTCAGCTCTGAAGATGTTTTCTTAACTTTCTGCTGTTCCCTCATTTTTGCTTTTCTCTCCAAGTGTTGGCTGTTTGAAGCTAAGTGTGTGTGTGTTTTTCAGTGTGTGTGTGTTTCGGTCTGCAGAGTGTCCCTGAGTGAAAACACTGGAGGATAATAGTGGATCTGGAAGTGCAGCACATTGATGTTGTTAGTGTTCAAAGCTCTGCTGTCGTGCGGCTGGGTCAGATGGAGGATGTGGTTAAACACGAGAATCTCTGTTCGCTCTGAACGCACCACACAACGACTCGGCTTCAGACTATGACCTCAAATGCAGCTGTGGTGTAATATCATGGTGTGATACTACTTCATAACATTACTTCTGTATGTTCTATTGGCGTATCTGGACTTAACTTTAGATGTTATTTTTATTTCGCCTTCCTGATACAGGTTCCCTAAGAATCCCTGTGACTCAAAATTGAATCAGGAGACTCAGTTTTTGAGGGGTGGGTAGATTTGGTGGTCTGCTTGTTCAGTCTTTCTTCTAAAAATATGGCTTTAAATGACCAGGAGCTGAGAGGTTAAAACCTGAGGGTGCCGGTAGAGAAATATCTTGAATGCAAAGTACCATAAAAGCCACAAAAAATGAAGAAGGAGGAGAGGAAGTGAGGTGTAGGTACTCCACAGATCTAAAGTTAAACCATGATATGTTTTAAATCATCCTTAGACAACAAATGAACATTAGAGATAGAGGGAGTTGGTGCTACAGCCACCTAACATTTTCAAAGTGGTGCATCTCAGGATAGGTTAAAAAAATCACAGCAAAAAGCAAAAAAGTCCTGGATTACACAGTTAACTCAGCAGTCTAGTGTATTAACACTGACGTTTCCACACCGCACATGTTTTCTGTAGAGTAAACTGAACAATGCATGAATGACAACTTTGAATAGCCTGTCCAAACCTAACTGTCAATCTGTTACAACAGAGGGACTTGGGCACTGATTTGGCCACACGATTAAGGTGTGTCCCTAAGTCCTTGTCACAACAGTTGCTGTTCTCAGCTTGACACTTCACTCTCTACTCCTCACATCTCCTGTCTCTCTTTGGTCATCCTCTCTAAAAAGCCAACACTTCCCAAAATAACCTAGAGTAATTAACTGCTTTATTGTCACTCAAAAGATGCACTGATATATTTGTAGAAAATCAGAATGGCTAAGTTTAGGTAGGTCCTGAAAAACCAATCTTGGTTGATATGTGGTGGTCAAAATACAAACATTTTGACTTACAGATTACAACCAAGACTCAGAGTCAGAAAGCCATATTCATTCCAAAGGACAGTCTGTTCTTTTTAGTCTACCCAAGACTGTACACTATCAAACAACAGCAGCTTAAAAAAGGAATAGAAAAAAAAAATCAATGGATATCAGTATCTGTATCAATACCAGATCTAAGAAAACTGAACTTCAGAGCAGGAAAAGATGAGTCATTTTCCATTTTGAATTCCCAGCTTGCACACACAGTACAGAAAAAGTCACTGAACACAAATTAACATCAAATTGGTTGTCCCCATCTTGCAAGTGTCAAAAATCCTGACATCCCTGAACTTATCGCAACTTTATCACATCAATTTAACGCTGGTGAGCTGCAACGCCAAACTATTGATTGGGAGAGGAGAGCATTTATTGTGCTGGAAAAGTCAGCTGCTGGATAGACTGTGAAAGTGAAAGAAAAATATGAGCAGAGTGGGAGTATTTCACGGTCTCTGAGAAAGGTCAACAACTCGCAAATATGCAGACATGTTCCAGAGATACTTGAGGAGGAGGAGGGACCAGCAGGAATAGATGCCAAAAAAATGCAATGGCTTAAAATTATGATTTAAAACATTAATACCAGTCTTAATTTTCACAATGCCTCTCATCAAAGGGCTCAGAGTGACCTTGTGGTTAGGGATTCATGATTGTACGTTTCTTTTATTGTTAATTTATACCTTCACTTTCAAAACTCATGTGCACTTAATATCATTTAAAATCTTAAGACACGTAAGTCTGGTTATTATCCGATTCTTACAGACTTTGACTTTCTCTTCTGTTTCAGTCATTTTATGATCTTTATCCAACACCGCATGGCTCCTCATTAGGTGCAACATTATCCACCTCATTCATGCAGCTCTTATTCTACCCTCTAACACACACACATGCACACTCTCATGCACACACTCACAGCTCTGATGGAGCTGTTTTAGGAACCAAGAGCAGAGAACAAATAAACAGCTCCATCTCCAGAGCCTCAGAATCTCCAAAGCCTCAGATCTGACCTCTGATCACTTGAAGCCGCACACGTGGTCACACAACTTTTGTTTCTTTTTCTGCCTCTTTAAACTTTTTTAAACTTTTTTTTTGATGCACAGGTCTGCAAAAAGTTTTTTTTTAACTTACACACAAAGGAAAATAGTCTGATGGAAGTTTGTTTTCTAAAATTTTCTGCCTTGTAGAATCCTAAAAAGTGCAAACTTTATTAAACTCCCTTTAAAATGCAGCCCTGTTCCTGGTCTCACACACTCACAGCATGCACATGTCTACACACACACACACACACACACACACACACACACACACACACACACACACACACACACACACACACACACACACACACACACACACACTTAGCCATCAGCGTGCTGTACAGGCCTCAGTTTGCAGAGGAAGACAGAAGCATTGTTTAAAGTTTCAGTCACAAAATGTCCAAACATGCCTCCACACACACCCTTCCATCCCCTCTTTCTCTCTCTCACACACACACACACTCCTGGGTTAGTTAGTTACCTGTGTGTCTGCAGCTGTGTGTGTCTCCTGCTCTTAAAGCGTCACCTGGGAGTCGTGTGGTGTCTTCAGCGGGCTGCAGCTCTCAGGACTCATGTCTCTATGTCCCAGTCTTCTCTCACTGAGTTCCCTTCCCTCTCTGACCCGGTTTCTCCTGCAGATGAACCCCCTCACTCCCTCTCCTCTCCTCTCCTCACCTCTTGGTCTCTCAGCTGTCCCAGCACTCAGACTGGCTCATGGTTCAGCGGCTGGACTCTCCACAGACTGAGCTCTGAGGAGAGGGACCTCCAGTTTTCACAAAGGAGGGGGGGAGAGACCAGAGGAGGGAGGGAGAGGAGGAGGGTGTGTGAGTCTTTTTTCTTCCTCTCTGTGTTTTTTTTTTTTTTTTTGGAGTGGCTCTGCCTCCCTGTGATGTCACCGAGGTGAGGAGAAAACAAAAAGAGGAAAATAAAGACTCAGATTCCTTTTCTTAGTGATCGAACTGCAGAGGAAAAAGATTTTCACTTAAGAGGGCAGAGCAGGCTGGATCCATAAGCGTATCTCTGAGCCCTCTCCGTGATCTGTGTGTGTGAGTGTGTAGATGTGAGTGTGTGTTCATGTGTGTTTCTGCGCTAATTGTGATGCTGCAGACGTCTGTTGGTCTCTGGGCTCCTTCCTGTAAAGGATCAGCTGATCTCTGCTCAGTCCTGCTCTCAGGAGGAGTCTCAACAAGTTATCTGCTCACTGCTCCTCTTCACCACTGCCCTCCTCCTTCTTCTCCTTTAAGTGTGTGTGCGTGCGTGTGTGTGTGTGTGTTTGACTATTAGTATTTGAGTTATAGTCTTTAGAGGAGGAGTTCTCCCAAGAAACTCTGACTGCAGTTTTCGAGCTTTTATCATCTGTTGGAACGTTTCTCTTCACATTCACACAAACATAGCCTGTGTGTATATGTGTGTGGAAGTGTGTTTGTGTTTGTATGTGTGTGTATGTGTATCAAAGGTTTCTGAGGAAAAAAAACATGGGGGGTTGGGGTGTGATGTAGTGTGCAGAGTGATAACTTCTCCTCCATCTGTACTGAATCAGAGTCTGGCGTGTGAGAGAAACATTCAGAGGAGGAGCATGGTGGGAATCAGCTGCTGGGTTTGTCTCTCTGTGTTAATGTTTGTGTAATGACACACACAGAGTGAGTGTGTGTGGGTGTGTGTGTGTGTTGGGGGGCCGCTTATGATACTTCAGACCCCTGCTGTTAAAAAGTTCTGGTTTTAACCGTGAGTGTGTGAGTACGGCTGCACAGCTGCAGTGTGTGTGTTTAAACAACAGATGGATGCTGTCCTTGTGTGGCTCACTGAAAAAGAAACTGTGTGTGTGTGTGTTTGCATGTGTGTTTTCTCCTTTTTGAACCCTCTTCTTCTCTGCTGTGTTTCAGGGATGTACCTGTCTGACCTCACCTACATAGACTCCGCCTACCCCTCCACGGGGAGCATCCTGGAGAACGAGCAGAGATCGAACCTGATGAACAACATCCTCAGGATCATATCGGACCTGCAGAGATCCTGCACCTATGGTCTGCACACACACACACACACACACACACACACACACACACACACTGAACACATGCATTGAAAATATTCGGAGCATCACAACACAAAAAAATACGACAAATAGACCCTGAACTGTTTATGGTTTGGGTGTTTAAAACCTTTTTTAATTTCTTTCTTTAGGCCCTCTGGCTACTAAACTTTAGTATTTGTCTATGCTGAGAACCTCTTTGTTACACTTTGGGAATATGTTTGAAATTCACTGTCATTTTAACTTTAATCAACACTACCATTTAACTGGTTAAATCAAAGATATCCACTTTCACTTTTATATGAGGCCAGTTCAGATTTTGCAGTTTGTATAAAAACAGTAAGTCGACTTTACCTGGAGCGGAACATGAACGTCAGAGCTGAAAGTCTGCAGCTCACTGGCTCAGAGTTTGAAGGGTATAATAAATCAGCGCAGAGGATCGAGTGTTTTCCAAAGACCCTAAACTTTTTTTCCGTCAACAACCATAAGTTTCACATTTCAGGTGGATCCTCCTGCAGACAGCTTCACAGCAGATTCAGTATCATAAACCACATGAACTCATATTTCCCCTGCCTCCCTCAGATATCCCCGTGCTGCCTCACATCCAGAAGTATCTGAACTCGGTCAGATACATCGAGGAGCTGCAGAAGTTTGTGGAGGACGACAACTACAAGTAAGACTCAAACAGTGGATGAAGTTAAGACACATGGAGCTTTAGCTTCATAACCTCTGATTTAGACTCAGCAGCAATTTCCTGTCAGGAAAATCAGAACATTTTTATCCTGTTGCTGCTTTTATTGCTGCTGCCAGGCACGCTTCTGCTGCTGCTGCAGCTCCATCCTCATGAAGACGTTAGTTTGATTCTCAGAGGATCAGTTCAGCTTTAACACATGATCTCTGCGCAGGTTGTCTCAGAGGATCGAGCCTGGCACCAGCACACCTCGAGCCAATGCCTCCAAAGAAGACCTCGCAGGTGAGCTCATGTTTCAGTTTTGTAGTCTTCTTTTGATGGGATGTGTGTCAGGCTTCAGCTCCACAGTGTAATGAACGCTTTTGAAAATATATGAATGTTCATAAAGCTTTTGAGGGTCTACTCAAAGAGAGTGCTCTCTTCCTTTCAGTGACAAAATATGTTCATATCCTCCAAGTAAACAACATCCAGCAAATAATGTATGTCTCATACAGAAGTGTATCCGCAGAGACTCAATAGAGGAAACAGTTCAGTCATATGAAACAATCAGCATTTGTTCAAATCCCTCTTAACTTGATGCACAGTTTCATATCCATCGAATCTATCTGCAGGTCTGTTAACCTTCCTCTTCTTTTCTCTCCTCTGCAGGTCAGGAGGCGTCAGCATCTCCACTCTGTGGAAGGAAATGTACTGTTACAGCCGAAGGAACCAAAGTTCCAGCCACACCACCCTCCCCTCGAAACCTGCTGCCATACGGACACAGGAAGTGCCACAGCCTGGGTTACAAGTCAGTCACAGACTACTCTGAAGTCATTAATCAGCAAAATGTCAGAAACTTTTTAAAAAATTGGGGGAATTAATTAAAACTTTTAATCCCCTGTTGTTCTGCTCTCTCTTTGTCTCTCTCCCTTTTCTGTCCACAGTTTTATCCACAAGATGAACTCGGTGGAGTTTAAAAGTGCAACGTTTCCAAACGCCGGCTCTCGCCACCTGCTGGACGACAGCGTGATGGAGAGTCACAGTCCCAGCAGAGGACAGGCCGAGAGCTCCACACTGTCCAGCGGCATCTCACTCGGTAAGACACACATAATACATGGTGTGTGTGTGTGTGCGCGCATGCAGGGAACATCTATTGGTAGTCTATCTATATATTGAAAAAAAAAACTAAAGATTTTCTTTAATCAACTTAATTCTTGATTAGTACATTTTCACAACTTACAGAGGGAGTTAGGAAGCTTTAAACACCATTAGTGCTGAAAAACATTAACAGGTTTAGGAGCAACATCTGCTGCCATCCAGACCTTCATATCTCAGTAAGACAATGACAAACCATATTCTGCAGGGATTACAACAACATGGCTCTGTAGTAGAAGAGTCCTGCTGATAAACTGGCCTGCCTGCAGTCCTGACTTGTCACCTATTGAAAACATTTGGAGTGTAGTGACACAAAAAAAAAAACAGGAAAAAGGAGACCCTGAAGTGTTGAGCAGCTGAAATCCTCTTTCAGGCAAGAATGGGACAACATTTGACTTTTCTAACCCCAGAAACTGGTCTGCTGGGTTCACTAATGTTTACAGAGTGTTGGAAAAAGAAAAGACGATGACTTAGAATGAGAAATACTACCCTGATTTAAATTATAATTTAGTTTTGTCTTTTTTTTCCTCATAAAACAATAATTGTTTTCAGTTTGAACATCTCTGTCTTTGCACTATACTTGATTAATGTGGACCTTAGAAGATTTGCAAACAACATTATTTTCCTGAATATTTTCTGAATTATAAGAGTCCAAACTCTTGTGGAGTTGAGGTCATGAGAACATATTAAAACAAGATTTTTCAAAGCTGTAAAAATACATGTTTGTGTTGTGTGTTGTCAGGGAGCAGTGAGGGCTCTGAGCTCAGTGAGGAGGTGTCTTGGCCGGCGTTTGAAAGGTGAGTTTCATGTGTCTGTTTTTGTCTCTTTGTCTTCATCACATCCACATGTAACACCAGGAAATAGACTCATCCCAGATGTGATTGTATAACTTTCTCAGCTCTGCCATTAAAGCTTGCACACAGACGCCTAGCACCTCTCTCAGCCTCACAGCGGGTGGCAGGGGGTGTCAGGCCCCCTCCCTCACCGCTGCTCCCTCTGAAGCTTCCGCTCCTCTCAGTTCTTCATCTGACACCAGTAAACCCAGTCCAGACTCTCAGAGTACTGCTGGATCAGACTGATGTCATGTTAACCCTCAAACAGCTGAATGAGTCTGTAACACCGCCATCATCAGCCCTAACCCCCCCCACCCCACAACAACACACACAGCCCTAACAGTGCCCCCCCATCCTGTCTTATCCCACTCTGAACAGGACTCGCTTCTATCACTCTCTGGGCCCGGTGACCCGCGTGGCCCGAGTCCCCTACAGAGGAGTCCTAAGGCCCAGCAGGTACCAACCAGACCAGATCCTCCTCAAACACAACCTCTCTACTCCTGCAGGGGGCGCTGTCTGCTCGGGCTTAGTCTGAGTGTGATTGAGTGTGTGTGTGTTTGTAGACGCTAAATCAGGTGGAGGGCTCAGGATCTATTTCTTCATCTTTTGCTGCAAACATCAGTCTGGTTTCAACCTTCTGCTGTCTCTAAATTCATGCATGTCTCACTCTCACTTACACAGGTACACATGCACATACACATGCATATTCACATGCACTCATACACATACAAATACATATGCACATACTTAAACACATGCACATACTCATACATATAAACATGGACACACTCATACATATGCACATGCACATACTCATACACATGCACATATGCATGCACATACTCATACACTTACACATGCACATACTCAAACACATACACATGCACCTACTCATGCACATACAAATACACAAGCACATCTGCATGCACATTTATACATGCATATACACATGTACTTTTGGGTTTCCAGGGTGTTTTTCCAGCTTGGAACTTAAGTTGAATCTCCACAAACTCTGTGGTATGAGTTTAACACAAAGACTGTGTGGATGCTCTCTGTTGTTGTTCAGCTTGACTGAGGTTGTAAACATAATTATTGTATTTTATAGGAAACATTTTCAAATCTCTATTAACCGAGTAAGAGCTGTAAAGGAACATAAATAAGATACATAAAGAGAAGAGTGGGTGCAACCTGGGTGAATTTTGTGACTCTAAGGATGTGGCTGTCGGGACAATGAGTAGAGTCACTAATAGAGGGGATAACCTGCAGCAAAGAGCTAAAATTGGAGATGTTAAGAATTGAGTTTCAGGTAGCTGGTTGTTAGGAATGTGCTCAGTGGTCTCGTTTACATCCAGCTGTCAGGTTGGTGTTGAAAGTTATAAACATGTTTCGGTGCAAACTACCTGGCAGAAGCTGCACACAGTGGAGACTCTAAACCTGGGGCTGCAGCCGTGCACCGAGTCCCTGTGAGCTCTTCTTTTATAGGAGCGATACATAACAGCTACTAAAAGCATCAGCAGGAACAAGGAGGCTGAGAACTAATGCGGTACATGACCCCATCTTTGGAGACAAAACCAACAGACTGTTAGAAAGTCAATAAAGAGAGCAGGCAAAGCAGCTGCATCAGTATCTCTGCACCACCAGTAACATCAACGCCGTTTTTTCTGTAGCCAGACCCAGTTTCACTCCTGACCTTGTGGACATGCTTAATTTTCTCAACAAGAACAAGCATGCACAAAACTGGACACTGAGAGTCAGAAATGATTTTTCTCTTCAGTTCTTCTGTTGCAGTAGTTCTTCATTCAGAAGACTTAGCCTCACTCTGTATGACTATATGTCTGCAGAGATTTTTATGAGCCTACAATTTAAAATTGCTTTAAAAATGTGACTATTTTACTTATTTATATTTATTTTATTTTATTGCTATATTCAAATTGTGTGTTTTATGTAAAGTGTCTTTGAGTATCATGAAAAGCGCTATACAAATAAAATGAATTATCATTATTATTATTATTATTATTACTTTGCATTTTTGTATTCAGCTTGGTAAGAAAATTGTACACCTCTGCAGTAACATCAGTCATGTACCTTATGTTACTATGGAAGATTTTAGGGGTGGGGGGCATTTATTATAGCTTTGTCAGAGTAAAAATTCCATCTTTTTGAATAATTGATCATTGACTGTCAACATTTCGAAAGATAGATCACAGAAAATACTCAAGATTTGTGTCCATAGTGGGGATCAAACCTTAAACCGTCTGCCATGAGGACTGAGGTCTCTACAAAAGGGCATGCATTTTAACGTCTGAACTAAGCCAGCAACCCCAATAAAAGGTTCTCTAAAAGCTGAATCCACACATGTGTGAAAAATCTGGAAACTTGTCAGAAATGTCAGGAAACAGCTGAGGGGAAAACACAGCAGAAGAATAGTCAGTATATTCATCAGACAGGGTGATGACGTCTGTTCACTTCTTGATTCAGAGCGACAGCATGATTAAATACGCCCAAGACTAAAGACGGACATATTTGACATATTTTTAGAATGCTGTCACTCTGATTCTGTTGAAGAGAAAACTCCCCTTTTTGATGATCTGGATGGAATATCCTGTTATTGGTTTAGTTTTCTGACAAGGAGGGAGTGAGGGAGTCACTGATGGGCGATCCATATTGAATAAGTGGAGAGAGAACAGTACACAAAGTGGACGAACTTCCTTTAGTAGCTTTCAGACTTTTACCTGCAGGTTGAATTCTTCTCTGACACAGTTTCCTTTTCAATCTGAACCCTTCATTAGGAGCTAAGCAACATAATGTTGGCCTCCTTGTGACGAAGTTAACTTTAATAAGCAGGGGCACGTTCAGACTTTTTCTTAACCACAGGGGTGTCTCTACTTGGACACATGCAAGGGTGGCATTTATTCTAATAACACTGTTTGAATTTTATCAGCAGTTTTGTCTCTGAAAAGGGAAATAGCTACATGTCAAAGGGTCAAAGATTAAATACAAGTAAAAATAAGAATATGTGAGTTTTATTTGACTCGATTCTTTCTGTCTCCGGTCGGGGCTGGGTCTCTGCACTGCTCCTCCTGCTCTGCTGCTCCTCACATGTACACACACTCTGCTCACCACCTTGTCTGTACAGCAGCAGATTTATTGCTGTGAAATCAATTACACACACACACACACACACACACACCTGCACACACTCAGGTTAAAGCGAGGTTCAGGTGGCTCTGCAGAGTGTGTGTGTGTCTCTACCTCTAGTCTCTCTGTAGGTAGATTGTGGTTACCTGTGTGTGTGTCTGTGTGTGCCTGTGTGAACATGAATGCATGTGGTCCAGAGTTTGCGTTGCTAAAGTTTGTTTGTTTTCTGTTGCAGCTCGGCAGAGTCGGAGGAGCTGGCAGTTCATCTTTATCCCGGAGCGGTGACGGTGCAGGGGGTGCTGAGGAGGAAGACTGTGATGAAGGAGGGGAAGAAACCTACTGTGAGAACACACACAAATGCTCACACATGTCTGTGTTTCTCTCAGTGCCCTGTAGGTGCACTCCTCATTGCCCTCTCTGTTTCAGCCTGAGATGTATTTCTCTCTCCTGCCTGCAGGTGGCGTCATGGACCAAATACTGGGTAGCTCTTTGTGGAGCTCATCTTTACTACTATCCTGCCAAGTCCCTGAAGGCCACAGAGAGAAAACATGTAAGTCACACACACACATGCATACACACACACACACACACACACACACACACACACACACACACACACACACACACACACACACACATTATGATCATGATGGTATCTTATATGACAGCAGTAGAGGATCAGAGACTAAATACTTCAGGTGCAGGAAGTTCGACTCCACTGGTTGCAATCTGCACCACACCTGTCAACAATTGAGTTTGCTACACTCTTAAAGGTGTATTTCATCAGTCCATGAACAAATTCAAACTCCAATGGTAGAGCTCACAGCAAAGCTCTGGGCAACAAAAGCAAAGATGCTGACAGCTTGATCAGACCCAAAACAAGAGTGCAAACTGCACAGAGCTGCAAAACTGAAGGGCTTGCTTATACATTTTTATTGATGCTCCTTGAATCGGAGTTAAGAATGAGAAGACAGTCTTAGAGCAGTGCAGGAGAATCCAACCCTCAGAGTTTATGTGCAGCTTTGTCCTCATTTAAAATCCTCTGTGTGTGTGTGCGTGCGTGCGTGCGTGCGTGCGTGCGTGCGTGCGTGTGTGTGTGTGTGTGTGTGTGTGTGTGTGTGTGTGTGTATCTGTGTTTTGGAGGTGGGGGTGGGGGCCACAGCTGGTAGCACTCATTGGGTAATAAGAGCGATGACATCACTGCAATCCTGTGTGTCACTCACAGAGTTTAATGAGAACCTGATGGAGTCTCACACACACACACACTGCGCTGTCTGTATTTGGATGACTCCACTACTTCACTAACTGCGGTTTTTTGAGTACAAAATAGAATATTTAACTTCCTGACTGAGCAGATTTACACTTTCGACAAATAAAAACTCAACTTTCTTTTTTCTTTAACTTCTTTTTCTTTTGCTTGTATTTTTCCTTTTTTATATTATATGTGTGTTTTTTTTGCCTCATTGTCCTGCTTGTTTTTTCTTATTTCTTTTTTATTGCTTCAAATAGAACTGAATTACTTCATTTCTTTCTTTCCCCTTATTCTTTGTCATTCTGTATGTTTTTTACTGCTCCTTTTTTCTTTCTTTTCTTCTTTTTCATAAATTTCATTTTCATTTTTATTCATGGTTTCTCCTCCTCAGTAGACTTCCTTTCTGTTTTTTATATTTTATATTCTCCCTTTTCCTTTCTTGCTCTCTTTTTCCTACTGCTGCAATTTTTCTTCGCCTCCATTTCTGAATTTTATTTCATTTTCTCATTTATTGCTCCTTTTTATGTTGCTCTTTTTTCCATTCATCCTCTGATTTGTATTAATGTCTTTGTATTTTTCATATTGATCTTATTGTCCCCCCTCCCCTTCTCTCTCTCTCTCACTCTTTCACTCTCTCACACTCTCACAGTTTAAATCCACCTCCAGTAAGAGTGTGTGTGTGGTCGGTCTGATGGCCATGATGGCTGACGACCCTGAACATCCCGACGTCTTCCTGCTGACAGACTCTGAGCACGGTGAGACACACGTTTGTTTTTGGGCAGTGAAAGAAAAAAATGATTTCTGAAAAAGTGATGTTCAGGCACTGAAAATAAAAAAATAGAGATCTGATCCTCTCACTGTTTTTCTCCATTGCCTAGGTAACACCTACAAGTACCAGGCAGGGAACAGGATGAACGCTCTGCTGTGGTTCAAACACCTGAGTGCAGCCTGTCAGAGCAACAGACAACAGGTACAGCACACTCATATAAATACAGAAACACACAGCTTGCAGTATCCAGTTACTGTCTGCATTTTCATCTCTCATCAGTACAGGTAAAGATGTGAGATGGCTCACTCCTCACAATTATGGAGAACAGGTTGGATTATGTAAATGACTAATCATCCAAAAAACATTTTTGTTCAATTTCACACCCCTTTTTTTTGGACAACGTCAGACTCATTAAAGCCAAAGAGAAAAGAGCGAAACAGTCTGAGGTGTCTTTGGGGTATGCAGTTTAAGCATTAATGACTCGAAAAAGTTTATTTTTTCCCCATAATTTGATTCAAATAGTGAAACTGATTTTGTTTGAATCTTAATGATTACAGCTCCAAAAATCAAAGAGACACTTTCCTAAACATAAGAATATTGTGGAAAAGTCCAGTTTGTTGTCAGTTTTTCAGCCCTGAAAAGAGCTCTGATCAGCTAGTGAACTCTGATCACCTGTAAAGGTTTACTGAGCCTTGGAGCAACATATGCTGCCGTCCAAGCAACGTCTTTTTCATGGACGCCCCTACTTATTTCAGCAAGACAATGCCAAGCCACATCCTGCACGTGTTACAACAGCGTGTCTTCATAGTAAAAGAGTGCGGGTACTCGACTGGCCTGCCTGCAGTCCAGACCTGTCTCCCATTGAAAATGTGTGGCGCATTATGAAGCGTAAAATATGACAACGGAGACCCGGACTGTTCAACAAGTGAAGCTGTACATCAAGCAAGAATGGGAGAGTATTCCACCTTCAAAGCTTCAACAATAAGTCTCCTCAGCTTCCAAAGTTTATTGAGTGTTGTTAATAGGAAAGGTGATGTAACACAAAGTCGTATTTTTTTAAATTAGATTATGAAAAAAAAAGAACTTTTTCAGGACATTCTCATGTCCTCGGCTGCACCTGTATCTCCTCCGTGTTTCTGAGGCTCTTGTTGTTATATAACTGTGATTCATTCTGTTCAACATGTCTCACCTGCTCCTCAGGTACCTGCCAATCTGATGTCATTCGAATGAGCCACTGAGAAGAGAGACCAAGAGGAGGAAGATTAAGAGGAGGAGGAGGAGAAGGAGGAGAGACTCTGTAGTGGGAGCTTTCACTGCCATGAGCCCCGGCCTCACTGCAGCCTCACCTGCCACGACTGCCTTAACCAGCCCACGCTGTGTGTGTGTGTGTGTGTGTGTGTGTGTGTGTGTGTGTGTGAGAAGCAGCTGATGAAGAGTCTCCTTTCAAAGACAGACAGCCACTTCTGATCCTCCTTGGCTTTTTAAAGGGGTAAACTGTTTTTATTCCCCCCCCTCACTGCCGCCTCCTGACCCCGCCCCTCGCTCTGCTGCAGCATCCTCGCCTTTTAATCAGCCGGACAAACAATCACCAACACACATACACGAAACACACACCCTGGACTCTGGAGGGTTAAAACACTTTTACTAACTCCATATTAGATTTTTGTTTTATTCGACTTTTCACACTATTCGAGTGTTTGACAAGCCACAAATACGCACACACACAATTAGATATGCGCACATGCACACACGTGCACGCACACACAGGCCTATTCTGCATCCTGGTAAAAATAAGGGCTCTGATCTGAATCTCTATCCCTGCAGAATTTCTCCCCATATGTGTCGACTCTTTGTTACTGAACGTCCTCCTGTGTCGCATACAGGCTGTGTGTGAGTGTGTATCTGTGTGTGCACGTGTGTGTGTGTGAGTGCATGGTGTGAGATGAGGTGGGGGTTAAGGGGGGGTTGTTTGTTTTCACACGGTACAATAATCCCAGAGTTTAAGCTTAAGCATTTTCATGCCCGGTTCAGCAACAGTTCATCTTTTTACATCAGCGGCTCCAGTCTCGTCTGAAAACTACACACACACACACACACTTTCACACATATACACACACACAAACACACATGCAGAAGCACTAAACACTAAGGTTTGAAACTGTGAAAGAGTAAGAGAGAGAGCGTCATGATTTCTCCTCCTCCTTCTCGTCTCTCTCTCTGTGTTCCTGCAGACGTTAAAGCGTCCCTCTCTTCTGTTTTATAGTTTTGTGTTAGTTTGATTTTTTTAAGGGGGGTGCAGTTCACAGTATTACCATGTAGTCAGTGTATTTCTGTCTGTTACATTTGAATGTTACAGTTTTGTTTTTCTTTATGTACATGTGATTTTTATTTTTTCTATTTTTGCCCTCTTCCTCTTTCTACTTCATCTTTTAAGAACCTGATTTTCTCTGTTTAGCCTTGATGTGTCCTTGTTTGGTTAATGAAGCACCTCGGTTAGAAAGAGTGCCAACTGATGACCCCTCCCTGAGCTTCTACTCGCTCAGATCTTAGATTGTATTTAAAGATGGACAACGCTCTCCTCCTCTTTTTTATGTTGAACTAAAGTGAAGCCAAAATCCTCCATACGGCAGAGGGAGAGTCTGTGCAGGAGAGATCAGCTGGTTAACCTGAGGCACTGACGTCCTGACCCCTCCTCTAACAAAATACACTTTAACTGGAGCTCTTTCTGCTCGGACCTGAACCTCTGATCATTTCTGAGAACTGCAGAGGGCGTCTGTGTTTGATCGGGTGTGAATCAAACAGGTTTGAAATTTGTAAAGCACAACTCTTGGACAGATCACAGACCATCTTTGAGGATTCACAGAGGTCTTCTAATAATGCATAATCCAGCTCAAACCAGCATCAGTCCGAACATTAACATGCACAGTTCAGTGGAGCTACAGTTAAAGCTTGATTGGGTGGTGTACCTGGACTACTGTCTTTGTCCCAGTTTACAAGCACCGGGCGAGATTCTGACAAAAGTTGAGTTCACCTCTGCTCAGATTATGGGAATATTTCTTTTTTCAGCCTTTTACCATGGGAGTGTTTCTTGGTAAACCTAATATAACATGTACCAAAACAATCGACAAACAAGTCTGCTAGAAGTTTGATGTTGTTTGTCAAATGATGAAAGCAGACAACTTTACAGCTCTGTAGCCTAGTCTTTTTTTCTGCAGCAAAAACATGTAGATCTCCTTTTAAGAGTTTGAGAATAACTATGAATTTCCAGCCATTGAGGACTGAACTACACTGAGAAGACCTCAAGTGGTTATGAGCTGAAAGTGTGAAATGATCAAACATTTTGTGCAGTTTTTACCAAAGGGAAAGATCAGCAGGAAGAGAACTAAAACTTCGGCTGATGAATAGTATTTTTGTAAGAAGCACACAAAATCTTCAAGGCTAATCACATTTACTCTGATAATCATGTGCACACAGCCCTGCATGAGCCTCATTGGTCAATCAAGCTGTTAATTATGATTTCAGTCTCTTTTTTTAGCTTTAAATTACTGAGTTAAGCTAAACTTAGAAAAGAATGATAAGAACAATCCCTCATGAAAAACCATGACCAAGAAGTTTCAATTTAAAGTTTGACTCATGTCCCATCTGCTTACATGGAGGAAGCAGGCTTTATGACCTGTACTGTAGACAGTCAGCCAGCAGAGGGTGCTCTAACTGTTGTGGCTTTACTCTTTGAGAGAGTGGTGTTGTCCATCTTTCCATACAGTCTGTTCTAAACTCATAACTTCCTCTGCATTTGAAATCAGCTGTTTACATTTAGTGTTTACACAATCCTCCACCCTCACATCCACCCCGACGGTCTTCATCCACCTGAGGAAGAGTGTTACAGTAAAGAAACAATCAGACAGGTGGAGTTCATACAGTTTGAAGGTGTTAAAAGGGCTCGCTGAACTGAACTCCCCTTAATATGAAATATGAGTCTGCTGAACTCCACGTCTCCAATCAGCTCTCAGACCTGTTTTGGGGGGGTTAAAACAGGACTTGAGCTAAAGGTGACGATCGTGGAGAACGAGTGAGGGAGGCAGTTACTGTCAGTGTGTTTGAGACTCTATTTTTATAAAACGCCACGATTGGAGTCGGAGCATAAGGTCCACTAAAGTCTCCAGAGGGGGATGGATGACCTGGAACAGGACTTGGACTCTTTTGATTAAAAACTGAAGCACTGTGAGCAGGAATCTGAGAAAACCTGCTGTAATTTCAGTTTCCTGATGATTCGTGAGGAAATCCAGAGTGAAAGCACCGAATGAGATCCCCGCACACACATCTTCCTATGAAAACAGACTGAAATGGACCTGGACTCTGAGTTTTTATTTGATCACTTTAAATGTTTCTGACCCTGCTGAGCGCTTTCTGTCACCCCAGTTTACATGGTTTTCTTTTTTTTCACTGTAACCTCTGCACAGAGTTTGGTCAGAGCAATGAAAACATGTTCAGTTTGGGATGTTTCGTGGTTTGACTTTGGGGTTTCAGAGCCAACTTAACCACACATTGAGAGCTAAAACCATCAATACTCTTCTGTTTTGGTTTGAACTTGATGCTCTTTGTTTCCTTCACTTTGATCATCTTTAAAGTGCACATCCTGTCCCGTATGAAGGGTTTGTGGTGACTTTGTGCAGGGACAGAGTGATGAGGGTGTGTTGAAGGTGTGATGTGACTATAAGAGGATGGAGAATGAGTTTGAATGTCCAGGATGGGCTTCATTCACTGTTTACCAACAACATCATTAACACCCTTCATTTAGTCGACCTCTGACCTGTACTTGGCTCTCTGTGTGCGAATTTGTGTTTGTGTGTGTGTGTGTGTGTGTGCGTGCGCGTGAGAGAGAGAGAGAGAGAGAGATGGGCGCTGTGACCTCACTGCTGAGTGATGCGCTAAGAACCAATAAACACTCTGCCCTTTTTTACTCCATCTCTGCGTTCGACTCTGTTTCTGAACAAGCATGCATCCCCGGTCTCTAAAATGCTGTCTCATTGGTCCTCAGGGGCAGGGGAGGTAGTTACAGACCTGCCAAGTTGAGTTGTGTTGCATGGCGGAGGAGAGAGGGGAGAGGAGAGAGGAGGAAAGTGAGGACTGAAAAATGTAGGAGAGCAGCCTTCAGAGAAGTCTTTTGACTTACAGACACGCCTCCGAATCAAATGTCACTCTCTGATTGGTCCCTGCGGCCAGCCAGGCATCACTGCATCTTTACATCATTGGAGTTTAATATCAGGACTTTAAAAAGTCACCAAAGGAAGCCTTTTAAACAGAATGTAGACCAACAGCATGTTCCACTGAGTCGGTCTGTTACAGCAATAAACTCTTTATATTTACTGTCATATCCAACAACATAGGAGGCTGATCAGCTTCAGTGCTAAAAGTATCAAATAATCTCTATTTTGATTGAAACTTTACCCCTAATAATATCTTGGGCTTTATTGATACAAAATACAGAGTTCACAATCTGAAAAGCTCCAAATTTATGATCATTTAAATAAAAGAAAAATGAATTAGTATATTTTTTAAATGATGTCGCATTTTTACGCGGGCCCTGAAGGTCAATGGCACAAATATTTCAGGCAGGGGGCAACAATAGTTTCATAAAACACACAAAACATTTCACAAAATATGAAACTAAAAACTATTTTTTCTTGCCTTTCTGAAATATTTGTGCTGGTAAAATAGTCTGTATTGTTTGAGGCAGATCAGAATCAATAGTGTCGGTTGTATTTTGTGCAGGTGTTCATTAAATGGGGTAAAGTACTAAAAATAACGGTTGTGTGGTTGTATTCAAATGCACAGTGTGTGCAGATACTGACAGCTGTTAAAGGTGATGTTGCTTTATGATAAATGGAAAAAAAAGATTGTCTCATGCGTCCTTACTTGTTCCCTCTCCTCTTTATTTCCTTGCATCTCTACATGCAAACCAATATGTGAGGATATGTAAAGGTTAATGCAGCATTTAAGCAGCAATATGTCTCCCTTATAAAAACATCTGATTAGAACTGACCTGACTAAATAAAGGTTGAATAAATAAATCAAAGGTTGCAGTGAGAATTATTGCACAGCAGTAATTTAGTATGAGCTAAACATATTTTTTTACAAATAATGTGTTAAAATATGTCAATCAATCAGTCTTTATTTATATAGCACCTTCCATACATAACATGTAGCACAAATTGCTTCACACAGAAAAAGGAATAAAAGAAACGAAGAATACCCAAATGAACCCCAGCCCAACCCCTCATTCCCACACCACGATCTAACTGCAACAAAAACAGTATTAAAATGCATAAACTTAAAAAGGGCTTGATTTGAGTTAGATATATGAGTTTTGATATATGAGTGAGTTTGTGTGTTTGAATTATTGATGATCTGGGAGGGAAAGGAGGTTTTGCTGACTGAGTGAGAAAAGTTTTTAAATATCTGAAAAGTATTAAAACAGTGGCGATAGATTTTAGGAGACGATATTTCCTTCTATATCGTTTGAATTAGACCCATTGTTCTTTATCAGTTCTTGATGTGAGAACAACTCTTGAATAACTTTTTCCATATAAAGAAAGCCTGTCTGCCAGAAATGTAGGTGTCAGGGCTTGATTTGATCTTTTAATGTCAGTTTTTTTTTTCTTTTTATTAAACTCTATTGTAGTAGGCCTCAAACATAGACTGTAAGTGTGTGTGAGAGAGAGAGAGAGAATTATTACTGAATGAATGAGACACGTCGGTTTGTTGTCATGCTGTCCCCTCCCTGTGGTGACGCTCCCGCGGTGCTCTGCTGCCCCCTGGTGGACGCCTCCGGCAGCTGCAGGAGGATGAACTGTTTCGGAAGTGGACTCTGCAGGCCGGGGAGAGGAGCTACCGGGGTAACCGAGGAGGTGATGAACCATCGGTAGTGCCATCGGGACATATAACAAACAACTGCAACTGCACCGGAGTTCACACACAGCTGGAGGAGTGCGTGTGTGTGTGCTGTGTGCTCACAGGTAAGTCTGTGAGAATAACAGACGACATGACGTGAGCCTGTCCGTGTAGCTACTTAGCATGTGGAGCTAACCTGTACTGTAAGGTGTGCAGCGCTTCAGCTAATCAGCTGTGAGCTAAAGCTGTGACAGAAGTATCAGAGATACAGCTACATACAGAAAAGGATGATTCAACTGTGTACCTGGAAAAACGTGTGAAAGTGACATTAAAGGAAAAGAAACGTCTGAGTTGAGTCCCTGTTAGCTGTTAGCATGTGTCAGAGAAACTGCGACTTAATGAAAGAGCGATTGTGTAAAGAGGAGGCTCCTGCTGCTGCCTGCGTGGCCAGACCTGAACCCGGACCTCTAACTGATAATTATGACATCCAAGTCCCGACCCGAGACAGGTTATACAGCGACCTAGACTCTGACCCGACACTCGGAGAGACCCGGACCCTGACCCAAGACTGAGAGAGACCTGGACCCTGACCCGAGACAGTTTCTACAGAGAGCGGAAACCACACTGATTCTATAGAGACCTGTACACCTGTATTCAGGTACCAGGTAGGGGAGATTGGGTTAAGATGAGCCATTTTTCATATTTCGGATCACAACCTCAAGGCAATCATAGTTTTGTCTCTAACTAGTGTATCTGCATATATTTTAAGATGTTGTGTATCCCTGCAAACTAACAGAATGAGTGTAAACATAACTGTCTTGATAATATAGCATGCAAAAATAAAGTGGTCTCCTATGGTCAACTTACCCCGTGTATGGGGTAAGTTGAGCCATATCCCTACTCCCCACTCCAGCCCTCCCTCACCTTCTCTCTCCCTAAATAACAGTCACTTCTTCACATTCATGTGTATTTTTATCTATTATACACGATTCAACTGGTGAAATAATTCTTTTTATTATTGCTGCATATAAGCGCTAAAAAGTTGTTTTGTAAAAAGCCATTTTACCATGAGAATGTCTATAAGTGATTCAGAACATTCATGGCTGTATTTTTGGGAAGAAAAAGTAACACATTTCAACAATCTGAACTGAAACTCTGATCCTCTCATCAGACTTCTTTACTTTCTCAATTGAACCAATGGCTCAACTTACCCCAGAACTACTATGATGACTTTATTAGTCCTCTACGCTAAAATGGTGGACTTTTATGTTAGGTTTTTGAGCTCATGTTTTAGCTCATAGATACCACAATTGATGTACAAAACACATTTAAAATGATATTTTTTGGTCTGAACACAATCCTAATAAAACTTATGACGGACTAAATTCACTTTCAAGAGTGAAAAATGTTTTTTTGGAAATAAATGTCTAACCTCTTCACCCATGTACTTCTAACCTTCACAGACTCCATGAATTGATGCCCATCTCTTAAGTATTTGGTCACATGATCAATGTCTCTCACCATTTCCAAGCAACAGGGAGTGGCTCAACTTACTCTTTAGCTCAACCGACCCCACTCTCCCCTATTCTTCATTCAGAGAGCACAACCCAGATCAGAGACTGATTACAGGAATCTAAACCCAGCCCAGAAAATGTCTGTAAAAAGACACCTAGACCGTGCATATGCAGACGTAGCATATACAGAGAACTAAATCCAGACTAGATATAAATGGAGTCTGTCAATACGCGGACCTGAATCCAGACAAAAGAATGTTAAAAACTAGGACTCCATTGTATAAGGACCAGACAAGTCCCAAATCCAGACAAGAAACCCATAATACAGAAACATGAATTCAAAAAGGAGACCTCTGTACAGAGACCGGATTCAAGTCTGAGACTGATTATGCAAGAACCCCAATCTATACTGTTGCTATAAGGATCTGTTACAAGATCCAATATAAGGACTCCATTTCAGACCAGACTTTTTATAACGTCTTTCAATTTAGAGACCAAAATTCAGACCATGTACACTTCAAACAGGGACTTTGGACGAGACAAAACCAGATTAAAGACTTCCTGTATTGAGTCCTTAAACCAGAACATAGGGTGTTTTTGCGAGAACACCAATCCAGAGCGGCTCAGCCCTTGTTTGTCAGCTGATAGCAGCTGTTTAATGATGTCTTTAACTCTTAATGCTCTGTAAGGCCTCAGGTGTGAAATGTCACCTGTTTGAGCTCCAGCAGGTTAACATGCAGAGTGTCAGTAAAGCTCAGGCTGACAAACATTTCAACTCCATATGACCCCCAGAGGGGCTTCATGATTGTCACCTCCACCCCCCTGTGGACAGACAGAGGGGGAAGGATGACTTTATCTACCTGACACATGAATTAAACACCTCGGCTCAAATCGATCTCATATTTCTGATGAACACTCAAACAGACACACAGACTGTTTCCCACTGGTCTGGATCTCTTCTCTGGACCAGCTCCAGCTGGACTGCAGATCTGGGTCATCCTCTACCCTGAGGGGGAAGACAGCAGCATGTCCATCAATTTATTGACACTGACATTGTTAATATGTCTCTCTAACTCTCCCCCTCCTCCATTTTTCCCTCCCTTTAGGTGATCTCTTGTCTCGTGTCAGCGTCGCTCCGCCCCTCTCAGAGTCTGTCTGTCAGGGTAGGTGGGCAGGCGTCGTCAGGGAGAAATAGGGGCCATGTTTCAGGGGTGAGGGGGATCGGCTGCGGGGGACACACACAGCATCAGGTGAGGAGGGGGGAGATGAAGCTCAAACAGCGCGTGGTGGTGCTGTGTGCCGTGCTCCTCCTGCTCGGCCTCGCCAAGATCTTCCTGCTGGATGGAGGCGAGGGCTCCGCTGCCAGTCGCCGGGACCTCCGAGCCTTCCGCAAGGTCAGCATCCCATCTGCAGGGCATGATCAATCAGTTAACCAATCAGCTGTGATCACTGTCAGCAGCCTTAAGCCTTTTGATGACTTATTTTTTTCAATATTAATTTATTAAACTGCTCCACAATAAAAAGCAGAAATCAGGTACCTTCAGTCTTTACACAGCAGGATGATGATCAGGCACATCTCAGTGTTTAAACCTCAAACACTGCTGGAGGTTCTAGTTTTTACAAAGTAATCTGATAGGATTAAATCTGAGTATTGGGTTATTTTGCAGATTTGACCCTCAGTGTGTTGTGGAAAACTTGTGGGAAAGCTTTGACCCACAAAAAAACAGGATTCTCCTAAACCCAGCAGAGGGCTGGATTGAGACTTAGTCACACAAACTACAAGCAAACTGTAGTTTTGTTGAAGTAAACTGTTAAGCTGGGCAACAAATAAAAGTTTTTATAGGAGTGAGTGTTGGGAAAATGCTCTTCGATGTTATTTGCTTCAGTCATAGCATACAAAGTAAATATTAGAGCTGTAAAGAAGGATTATGTCCTTCAAAACATCATCACTTTTATCACTGAGTATTTGCTTTCTGTAAGGGTGACATGCTGTGGACTATGTATGCAGCTTGTGTTTGGAGCACTTTAATCTGGATTTGATAATTCTTTAAATTCTACTTTTAATTCTGATCGAGATGAAACCATAAATGTTTTTGTGTGAGTGATTCTGATTAATCGAAAATAAAGATTAAAAGGAACATAGATGTTGGGGGGGGGGGATCGAGCACTACAGCATAGTGTCGCAATATGTTGTCTGCTGATATATCGTATCGTCTCATTTACCAAGTATCGTTTTTACAAATTAATTTCTTATATGAAGTCAAATCTAAGATAATGGAAAAATAAAATCAACTGTTTGTCCAGTGAGGTTGGCAGAAGTGACATCATAGAGCAGGAGAAAGTTAGTACAACAAATATATATAAGGTTTGCAAGATGTGCTACATGAAAATAAAATAAAGCGTAAATAAGAGAAACATAAAGGAAAGACAAATGCTAAATTAGCTAAACAGCTAATTTATACTCACTGTATTGCAAAATGTTAAAAATCACAATAATATCGTATTTTGGCCCAAGTATTGTTACAGTTTTGTATCGGGGGGCCACTGGTGATTCCCACCCCTATTAGATGGTATATACCGTCTATATGGCCCTCTAGGTTTGAAGCATTTCAGTGAACTTCAGTTCAGACAACAAAGACTTCAACCACTGTGATTGGTCAGCTGGGTTGCATCACGACTTTCGTGTTTCCAACATTTTCAGATTCTGCTTTAGTCAGCTGCATAATCGCTGCCTGATATTTATCAGCTTGTACTCAGCCACCTCAAGGAAAGAGAGAAAATGTGGATGCTTCATGCACTTACATGTAGTGATCATGACAGTGTTGGCCACTACAGCCAAACTACAGAACCAACATAGAACTATCAACAAACTCTAGATTCTCGCTGTCTGACAGTCATTGTTCTCAGATATACACTCACAGCAGATGTGTTCATAAGAATTCATCAGGTAGAAACAACTTAGAAACAGCTCTGTTTCCTGGCATGGTTGACAAGAGAAGTTTAGATAAAGTCAGGGTTCAACTTTTCATGTTCACACCTGTGAGTGCTATGTGTGTGTGTGTGTGTGTGTGTGTGTGTGTGTGTGTGTGTGTGTGTGTGTGTGTGTGTGTGTGTGTGTGTGTGTGTGTATTCATGACTGTGAAACAATCATTATCATTTATCATCTTCACCCTCTTCCACAGATGGAGGCCAGCCTGTCTCTGTCCCGTGGGGCGCGCCTCACCCACACCCTGCAGTCTCCATGGGAGATAGCGAGTCAGTGGGTGGGTCCAAGGGAGGTGTACCCTGAAGACACCCCTGAGCTGGCGGCGGTGCTCACTGCGCTCAGCGCGGCCCGGATCGAGCGGGCTGACGTGGGCTACAAGGGCACGCAACTGAAGGCTCTGCTGGTCTTGGATGGGGGTCAGAAGGTGGTCTTCAAACCCAAGAGGTGAGACCTGCTCCTGTGGGTGGGTTGTGGGTCACCTGTGTGTGTGTCACTGTGATTTACCCGTCCAACTGTGTCTCAGGTATAACAGAGACTATGTGGTGGAGGGCGAGCCGTATGCAGGCTACGACAGACACAACGCAGAGGTGGCTGCTTTCCACCTGGACAGGTGAGCACATGACATCACAGACCAGACTGTGATTGTGAGGTTTGGGATTTTTCATGTCTGGGTTACCTCTGTGTGCTCTGCAGGATCCTGGGCTTCAGGAGAGCGCCTCTAGTGGTTGGGAGGTATGTGAACCTGCGGACGGAGATCAAACCTGTGGCCACAGAGCAGCTGCTGAGCACCTTCCTCATGCAGGGTCAGTTCACTCTGATAACAGAAGCAGAGTCTTCATGAAAGGTTCCCTCTCTGTTCACTCGTCTGTTGTCTCTCTCCATCACTGTGTCTGTTTGTCCTCTTTTTTTTCATCTCAGTCAGTATACCTGCTTAATAAGTTAAGAGTCATCAGAGAACCTCACTACAGTCATGTTAACCATGGTGTTGTTTTACTGTTTGACAAGGTGACAAAGAACAGATCTTTAAAAGTATGTAGATAATTGGAGATGATACTGCTCGCTCAGTCTCTTATTTACCAGAGCAGTAAAAAGTATTTCTTTGTCAGTCCACTAGGTGGTGCTGAGTGTGCGCTGTAATAAACAGAGCCGAGGAAGAACTGAGGATGTCTTAGGATAAAAATGATTGTCAGATGGTTTTATTAAGGGACGAAGATTTTGAGTTATTCAAAATCTCTTTAGTTCTTATCAAAGCAGAATATGGATCCACCTTTTCCTTCCTTCATTTTTTTCCCTTTTTTTATTTGTTCCATTCCTCCTCCTCCTCCTCCTTCTCGTTTTCCTTCCTGCGTTTTCCCCTCTGTCCCCAACTCCTGCCCTTCCTCCTTCTTTCCCCACTCCTTTTCCTTCCTTTCTTCTTCCTTGCTCTCTCCTTCCCTGCCACCTTTTTTTCTGTCCCTCCTTGTCTTTCTTCCCTTTCCTAATATCACCCCCCCTCCTTTCCTTCTGCTCCTTCCATTCCTCATTTTCTTCTTTTACTCTTCCTTTACTTTTTCCCTCTTCTTGTTTTCCTTGTCTTTCTTTTGTTGCCCCATCTTTTTTCCATCTTTTCTCCCTTCTCCTCCCCTTCCTCTTGTCTTTGTCTTCTTCGTTTCCTCCTCTTACCCCCCCTCCCATTTTCCCTCTTTTTCATTTTCTCTTTCTCTCACGCTTTTGTCTCCTTTTATCCTCTGCCACCTTTTTTTTTTAACCTTTACCTTTTCATCCACTGTCTTTCCCTCCTTCACTCCTTAATACTCCCATTTTTTTTTCATTTTTAACTTTTGATCTTTTCTCTCTGTATTTCGTCTTTTCATGCTCTTAGTTTTTGTTTATCTCCTTCTTCTTCTCTATCTCTCTGCAGGTAACAACACCTGTTTTTATGGGAAATGTTATTACTGTCGGGAAAGTGAGCCGGCATGTGCAGATGGAGAGATGATGGAGGGCTCTTTAACCCTCTGGCTGCCGGACGTGTGGCCGCTGCAGAAACACAGACACCCGTGGGGACGCACATACAGAGAGGGGAAGCTTGCCAGGTGAGTCATACCTGAGTGACAGACTGTTATCGCACTGACTCACATCTTCTCAGCTGAATGCATGGAGTGAATCTCTTTTATCTGTCTGTGTGTTTATGTGTTTCGACCAGGTGGGAGTACGATGAGAGTTACTGCGAGGCTGTGAAGAAGATGCCGCCGTATGATGCCGGCCCACGGCTGCTGGATGTCATCGATACAGCCATCTTTGATTACCTAATTGGAAATGCTGACCGGCATCACTACGAGAGTTTCCAGGACGATGGCGGCGCCAGCATGCTCATCCTGCTCGACAATGCCAAAAGGCGAGGAAACAACAAAAACACAAAGATGATGCTTTTTTAGGTCATGAAGAGTCATAAGCATTGATCTCAGTATGTTATACCAACTACAAACTCATCACTGTATGTCTAAGTTTGCCAATGAAACCTCCCCTAAAATAGAAAGAAAAAATCCCCCGATATATGAAGAATTAAGGGGAATCCCCTCCACTTCAAAACTTGATTTTCATGCCTGATTGAAAACCGATAATAAATACTTTCTAACCTATATTCTATTTACAACATTACAGGAAGGAAGTTCCCCCTGAGCAGAGCTGTCAGGTTTCTGTCTCGGGTTGTTATTTTGTTCTTTGTCTCCTTTTATTTGCAGCTTTGGGAACCCAGCTTTAGATGAGCGCAGCATCCTTGCCCCCCTCTACCAGTGCTGCATGTGAGTACTCTGATCCAGAATCTAGAATTAGTGCCTGGTGCTTGCAAAATGCAGGTGATGATTTACAACCCCACAACAATTTTGATATGTTATGGAAAACATTGGTTCATTTAATTTGATGTCAGCAGCAGGTTTCAAAACAATTCTCAGAGAAACAACCAAACAGATAGAAGTTATCCCAAAAGTGCAATGCTAAATAAACACCTGGAGGAACATCTGCCAACTAATGAGGTGAATTTCCAACAGGTTAGTAACATGAATTGGTATAAAATGGACTTTCAGAGAGGCTGAGTCTCTTCACCACTTTGGTTCACCACTCTGTGAGAGACTGAGTGAGCTTTTAGGTCAACAGTTTCAGAATAATGTTCCTGAGTGTCAAATGTGAAAGAATGAGTGGATTTCATCATCTACAGAACAAAATATAATTAAAAGATTCTGGAGAAATCGCTGTACAAAAGGGACAAGAACCAAAACCAAGACTGAGTGGTCCTGATGTTCAGATCCTCTGTTTTTAATGCACTGCATTTAAAACAGACAGGACTCTGGAGTGGAAATCACTGCATGGACTCAGTATCAATTCCAAGTGTATCATGCATCGAGGACAGCATGCAGTGCTGTGAAAAAGTATTTGCCCCCTTACACATTTCTTCTATTTTTGTCTTTTTTTTGTCACAGTTACATGTTTCAGATCATCAAACAAATATGAATGTTAGACAAAACCTGAGTAAATACAAAATGCAGTTTTAACCTTAGATTCTGCACAAGGAGTAGAGGGACCCCCCAGCTTGTTATCAGCTCACAGTTCAAAGTCAGTACCTGATGGTACAGGAATTATAAGTGTCCATGGTATGGGTAGCTTACACGAGCTCCATTATTACTGAACAACATCTACAGGTTTAGGAGCAACATCTGCTGCCATCCAGACAAAGACTTTTTCAGTGAGATAATGACAAACTAAATTCTGCAGGGACTACAACAGCGTGGCTCTGTAGTAGAAGAGTCCTGCTGATAAATACAACATTTCACTTTTCAAACTCCAGAAACATGTCTGCTGAGTTCACTAACGTTGACTGAGTGTTGGTAAAAGAAGAGCTGATGACACCCAATGTCCTTGTAATTACTTTTTAGAAACATGTTGCTGGCGCTAAATTTAAAATGAGCCGATTCGCTTCATAAAACCTATAAAAAAAATGATAGTCTCAATATTTGATATGTTGTCTTTTCAGTTTCTAGGTTGAACTTAAAGGACATATTTATGTTTTGTCGTTCTACTTGTTAGCTGTTGTGTCCCACCCCTTGATTGACCCTCTTACCTCAGACTGCTCTTTAGCCCATCAACTTTTATTGGCTGTTAAATCAAAATGCTGATCTTAACGCCTCTGACTCTGTGTGTTAGGGTACGAGTGTCTACCTGGAACAGACTGAACCTGCTGAGGAGCGGAGCTCTGAGCTCTGCGATGCGCCAGGCTCTCGGTTTCGACCCCATCCAGCCTGTCCTGTCTGAGCCGCACCTGGCCGCCCTGGACCGCCGTCTGTCTGGTGTCATAGCGACGGTGAAGCAGTGCATGGAGAGTCAGGGTCCCGACAACACACTGATCGAGGACCGCATGAACCTCCCTCACCCGTAAAACGCACACAGGACAGTGCTGGTGAGGGGGAGGAAGGAGAGGACGGAGCAGATGGGTAAAGGACTGCACTCCCTCTCGCTCTGTTTCCTGTCTGATTACAGGACGGCTCTCAGATTTGGATTCAGTCTGAACTCTCTCTGGACTGTTGTATATACAGGACCATAACGGACCTCCGACCCTGCGCCGAGTTTCAGGCTGTCCACGGTCTCACACTGAAGAGTCGACTGTGATGAATGAAAATAATAAACCCAGATTCAAATGATTTTTCCTCTCTTGAACTCAAACTGAACTCTGATTGGAGGAAATCACTGTACAGACTTATTTCCATAGTGACCTAAAAATATACATCTGTTCTAATGTTCAGCACATAGAAGAGTGTGTGTTTGTGAGAGAGTTTGTGTGTGTGAGGGAGTGTGTGTGCACCATATTGTGCCATATATAAGAAGCTACTGACATGACAGACTTGAAGGGGGGGTGTGAGGGTTCATCTTCATCATTAAACTCTGATCTATTTAACTGAGCTGATCTCAGGTCTGTATTTCTGTTGCAATCTGTCGCAATAAAGAAATAGTCAAAGGTTTTTAAGTGAGGTTGTACAAGAAGCATGTCAATGGTAGGTGTTTTATCCCAGTCAGCTTGGCCCTTTTTGTTGAGAGGCCATCCAGAGAACCAGAGCAGAAGCTGGGCTAGCCACAGGTCTTACTACTCCAACAATAGCCCAAATGTCCTGGAAGTGTATTAGGAAATCTCTCAGCACTTTCTTTTGCCATCACGTAGTCCATATGTTGTGCAGACCAAAGGTTAGGTCATGCAAAAAAAAACAAAAAACAGAGCTATTTCTAGTTTTCTTGTTGGACTTCTAAAAATTGTAGAAAGCAGATGAAGCAGCAGCATTCAAGGAGGCAGGAGAAGATGCACAGTTCCTGCAGCTCCTTAGAGTGTATCAAACCATGTAAATGATTGAAGGTCACAAAAAGTCTCAAAAACTTGAATTTTACTCGTAGATGGTCATCACATTTTGCCCACCCCCCTACCCCCCATCTTTATATCCACTCTTGCCACTCACTCTTTCAGCTATGCACAGTGACATGTCTTCTTGCTCTGAGAGGTAGTTGCATTAGGTTGCCTCCAAACTGAAACGGATGAAACTGCCCTTTCTGGGTCAGCAAAAGGAAAATACCAAAACCCCAGTTAATAATCATGGTGTTCATATGGACAAGCTTGTACAAATCTGACTCTACCTCCTCCACACACCGTCTAAAGATGACAGTCCTGAACGTTAGATCCTTGGTGAGCAAAACTTTTCTTGTCAATGACTTCATATGTGCAAACAAGCTTGACTGTATTTGACTTACTGAAATATGGCTTGATATGACTGGTAACAAAGAGCTGATCGAAACTGCATCTCCTGACTAAATGTTCACACTGTATAAGAAGAGCTCATAGGAAGGTGGGGGAGTTGCATTTCTGCATCACACAACATTAATTAGTCATCTAGCCTACCTCGGTGATTTTTACACATTTGAATGTTTAGCTGTAGCTACTACTTATTATACAGCAATCAGAAAAAGAAACAAGAATAGGAACTTTATTGATCGCCGAAGGGAAATTCAAATGTCTGTCGTCTCATTTGTCATGTCTCAAAAGTCATCTACTATTTACAGAAGAGTTGTAAAGTCTGATGGCTGTGGATACAAAAGATCTTCTGAATCTTCTGAAAGAGAGAGGAGCCGTCCACCACCATTGGCCCTTTGGTCAATCAAGGTGTTGTGAAGTGGGTGATCCATGTTCTTTAGAATAGTCTCCACCTTCCTCAGTGTAAACCTCTCCACCACATCCTCCACTGAGTCCAGCTTGAATCCAACCACAGAGCCAGCCGTTTGTTAAGACGTCTTGCATCTTTGTGTTTGATACTTCCTCCCCAGCAGACTGCAGCGTAGAACAGAACATTGTAGACACCACAGACCGATCAAACATCTGCAACATCTTACCACAGATGTCTATTGATCGGAGTCTTCTCAGGCAAAAGAGGTGTTTCATCAGTGAAAACACCTCTCACGTGCTTGTACAGGAGTACATGTAGTCATGTAAATTCTTTGTAAGTGAGATTATTGACGACACTGTTCCCATTAAAATCAGAGTTAACAGTAGCAAACCAATAGCTCCTTAAAGGAACATGGGAAAGAATAAAGATGCTTATAAGATCCTGCTGAGAGCGTGAACAAAAACGGCATAAACATGAGCTTTGACTTTATTTTGACGTCTAAAAACGCAGAACTGCCATAACACAGAATTTAAAATAACAAGACAAAAACTTATCTCAAAAATGATCAATGACAATAAAAATAATGCTCAGTTCTTCATAGATGATAAATGCCTCAACTAAATGCAATGGATGTGCCACTTAGTTCATGTAAAGGTCTCCAATATAAGGAAACTCACTTTACAGCCACACAAAGACAGTCCCTAACTTCCCCCCTGAATCAGCCCACTACTGTCTTAACTCATCAGCCTAGTGATCTTGAGAAAGTGATCAAGTAGCTAAATTCTTTCCCCTGCTCTCTTGACCTTGAACCTACAAAACAATTAAAAGGTGTCTCTCAATGTCTATCAGAGGATCTACTTAATATAATAATTCCCTTTCTTCAGTCTGGTTTTTCCCCACTTCTCTTAACCACACTGTTGTCACTCCATTACTAACAAAAAAAAACCCACAAGAAACTTGATCCATTAATTATTACCAACTACAACCCCATCTCTAACCTTCCTGTTATCACTAAAATCATTGAAAAGGTTATCTACAAACCGTTACATGGTTATCTCACTCTTCACAAGCTGTATGATGTGTACTAGTCAGATTTTAGAGCAAGTCACAGCTTTGGTAAAAAAGTTATTAATGACCTAAAAATCAACCATGATGAAAACAAACTTCCTGTCTTAGTTCTATTAGATTTGAGTTCTGCTTTTGACACTGCTGATCATAATACTCTCATTCACAGGCTAGAAAATTGTGTTGGACTCTCAGCACCTGTCCTTCAGTGAAATCATACTTTCAAAATAAATCCCTCTCACTTTCACTTGGTAACGACACGTCAAACACTTCAGCGCTCACTATGGGGTGCCACAAGGGTCAGTGCTCGGTCCACTTTTATTCAGCTTTTACATGCTCCCTCTTGGTACCATCATACAGAAATACAATATTTCCTACCATTCCTATGCAGATGATACACAGTTGTATGTCTCACTTTCACTTGAAAACACATTAGTCCAATCCATAACCTGGTCAAATGTAGAGATGAAATCAGCCAGTGGATGTCAAAAAGTCTTCAACAAGTTAACAAAGACAAAATCATTACCCCCTCTTCAGCACAGTGAGCATGTCAGGAGCGTTGGTGTCATATTAGATTAGTTTAGACTTTTGACAACACATCACAACAATAAAAAAAAAAAAAAAACGCAGTCTACTTCTGGAAAAGATTTCCAAACTAAAGCACTTCATGTGATTTCAAAGAATTGGTTCATGTTTTCATCTCCCGCATATCAGATGACTGTAATTTCCTCTTCCCTATACTACGCAAATCAATAAACACACATTAGTTTATCTAAAGTACTGCGGCCAGAGTGCCAAAAGAGAACCAAAAGAACACAACATACTCTACTCATACTTTTAAATCTTCATCAGCTATGTTCAGTACAGAATTAAATTTAAAACACAACTACTTGTTTATAAAGCTTCAAATGGTATCTTTTATAAGGTGTGAGCCTCCTGAATGTACCTGAGGATAAAACAAAAACAGGTGAAGGTGCTTTTCATCTCCCGCATATCAGATGACTGTAATTTCCTCTTTCCTGGACTACTCAAATCAATAAACACACATTAATTTATCTAAAGTGCTGCGGCCAGAGTGCCAAAAGAGAACCAAAAGAACACAACATACTCTACTTCTACTGTTAAATCTTCATCAGCTACCAGTTCTGTACAGAATTAAAATTAATACACAACTACTTGTTTATAAAGCTTCAAATTGTATCTTTCATAAGGTGTGAGCCTCCTGAATGTACCTGAGGATAAAAAAAAAAAACACGTGAAGGTGCTTTCAGTTACTATGGTGCTGTGCTGTGAAATAAGCTTCCTCGTGATCTGAGGTCTGCAGAAACTTTTTTCAAATGTTTTCAAACAATTATTCTCATCATGCTGACATTTGACAGTCAAAATCATAGTTTCTTGTGAATATCTAATAAGACAAAAGTAGAAACAGGTTGTTTCTGCAGCTGCACGCCGGACACCTGCTCCCTCACACCAGTTTCATGCATCAAAAATCCACTATCAATCTTTGTATTTGAATGTCATAGAAAGACATCAGTATGAATTGCAGTGTATTTCATGAATGTCAAAAAGTTCCAAACAGGAGCTTCAACCTGTATTTAATCACGTTAGTCTCACTGAAACCTGGTCAAGATAGTCAGCAGCTAAACCACAAAGCAACAGACATGAACACACAGGAAAGCCCAGCAACATTAACAGGCACAAACATTTGAAATTCAATTGCAGAGTCATTTGTGAAAGCCACAGTAATCTCAATTATCTCATTTAATGGCTCTGACTTCTTGAGTTTTAAGTCATTCTGCAGTAAATGCCAAGCCGAAGGTGAAGAATACAGCGCTGCATGGATTAGTCTTGGGAGTGCAATAGATACTGTCCAGCTCAAGACAGTGAGGTCACAGGCCAGGGATTGCTCTGCTCATGCCCATGTTCTGCTACCCAATAATAATAATGATAGTTATCATGTAAATGATAGTTCTGAGTCCTTTAAACAATTTCTAAAAGCCATGAATTTGATTTTAAAAGTGTGCATTTAAGTGAGTATGAATCAGATTTCTACACATACGAACTTGAGTCCTTGGGTACGTGACCAAAAGTGTTCAAGTTATGTTACGAGGGTCAAAAGCAGGTTGTAGGAAGACTTAAGCGAGTCGTGATTCTGCCAATCACACATGCGCAGCGATGGCTGAAACAGCTCCAACTCAGCATTACAGGTAAAATAAATAACATGGTATTTTATTGACATTTCCAGTATTGTTTTGATAACACCTCACAATGATGTACTTTTTTAAAAACACCAGCCCACTAGGTCGGGGCTTGATCATGGTTTTCTCATGGTTTTGTCCATCATGGATCTTCAGTTTGCTGAAATAACAACATCATGGTGCAAATTAGTCAAAGGTCAAGCTTTGTCAGGTCTGCCCGCAAGAGGAGAAGAAAACAACTTTTACAATGACTGTTTGTTGAATGGAGATCAGAGCCATCATGTCTGATGCATTCAGGGAAGTCAGGAAATCTAAACTCTCATAGTGACTCAACATTAAGCAGATAAGTATCTCACTGTAAATGTTTGGTTGAGTTCAGACTGTTAGCCGACCTTAATGCAGATATCCATTTATATTGAGAGATAAATCCTCCTCAGATTTCTAACCATGGGAGCTGGATGTCATTATTGCATTCCTTTAAAGGCTGTTTTTTCCTGCAGACACCAAAGCCTGTAGAAACCTAATTGGTCAGTACGACTCAGAGGCAAACAAAAACCAGAACACTACTCACTGAAACCCTGACCTCCACAAATTCCCCAAATGTGAATGTTTCAACAGAGTCAGATCTGAAATATTCTGCTGATGGTGATGGTTTGGTTTGTAATAATCACTTTTATTTTTCTTCCCCTCACTTTCTGTAAAGGCTGGTTTCATTTTTCCTGAACGACTTCTCATAAAATAAACAGCATTTTTTTAGACACAAGTCAGAAATTAGTCAGAGGTTTGACAGAGTTAGATTGACTTCATGGATCTACAGGGAGCATCAGATAAGACCTGCTGCACCTGGAGCATCACAGCTAAATAAGCTGAAGTCATGCTGTTTCTGTGAACACAACTATGGTGGTCCAGGTGTGGTGGTAATGATGGAGGGTTCAGCTGTGGTTGGAACACCTGCGATTCAGTCAGCTGTCATCTGGTCCGATTACCTGATACAGTGTTAATTCTGCAGCTGTTTGTACCACCTCTTTCTGTTATTTAGGTTTCTAAAGTTCACTGAAGATCAGACATAAAGGTGGAGAAAGTATACACTTTAAACTTAGGAGGAAGCACGGATCCTTTGGGGGAAAAAAGACTGCGGTAAGAGTAGCAGTAGCGCTTTGACTAATTTCCTGCAGTTTATCATCCAGGCTCTAAAACGTCCTCACAGTCTCAGAATAAAACCCCCTCTGAAGAACAATTTGTACAGCTGTTTCTGAGCAAATCTCCTCTCATATGTAGAGACTTATCCACTGGAATCTGTCCAACATCAAGCCAATAATCAATAATCAACCTTCACTTTGCTTCAGTAAACCAGCTGGGTGAAGAATGTATCTTTGCTAATTGTTGTCAGCCATGTTTTTACATCATTATCATCAAGTGGTGTACTTATGGTGGGAGGTAGAGGGAAGAGTTAATTGAAAAAAGTGCCCTCTGGCTGCCCTTCCAGTGTAAAAGTTGAGAAAGTACACTCTGAATGACTTTTCAATGAATAACACTCTGGATGTCTTAGTATTCAAAAACTGCGAATTCTACTCTGGATGATCTTCATGTATATAAAATGTCAGAAAGTGTCATGTGCATGCCCTTTCAGTAAATGAAACATTAAAAATGAGCTCCCTGGACATCTCTCTAGTATATATACATATAAACAGATTCTCTCTCCAGATTCCTTTTCAGTGTATAAAAGGCAGAAACGAGCCCTTTGAGATTCCCTCCCAGTGTTTGAAATGCAACAAAAAGGCCTTCTGGATTAAAAGCATTTAAGAGTGTACTCTGGATGCCTGTCCATTGGATGCGACAAAAAAGCACTCATTATACCCTCCAGTATAACAAATTTAAGAGAATGTCCTCTGCTTGATCTTTCAGTAAACAAAATGGCAAAAATGTGTCCTCTGGGTGCCTATCCTGTACATGAAACACACAAAATTGACCTTTGGATGACTATCTAGCATATGTAATGCAAACAAGATACCTCCTGGATTTTTTTAAACTATACAAAACCTTAAACCAGTGCCATCTGGATGCCTTTCTAGTACATGAGATGCAAAACAGTCCCCTTTACACGCCCATTCTGTTATTATATTATTTTATTTGTATCAAGTTTAAGTTTTACAATCACCATAATGTAAAAAATAAATAAAATAAAAGTTCAAATCTTATTTGAATGTGAGCTACATAGCCTACATGAAGAAGCATGAATTTTTGATTGTCATATAAAAGAAATTAAATTAAATTTCTAATACTTAATGTTGCACAAGTTTCAACCAGAATGCAGGAAATAAGAGTCAGATGCTCAACATTTCGGGCTAGAACTGAAAGTGATGAGCAACAACCATATGGTTGTAGAATGTGAAGAAGAGACAGAAAAATGGAGAAGTTTCACAATGGTTTCAAATGCTGCTGAGGCAGAGCTTCATTTACCACTGATTCCCCTATCTCTATATATAGGAGGTGCCCCTTTCGTTTTTCTTGCCCTGTGCCCCTCAAACAGCCTGAACACACCACTGCTTTCATTCACGTGTCTACTAGCTCAAAGACATCACATTTTCCCAGGTCAGATGATACAGAAAAACAGAAGTAGTTTATTAATAATAATTAACAGTAACTGTGAGACAGTCACTCCTGTCTTTGTCTGGGTTATAGTGTGTGTGTGTGTGTGTTCTTGTGTGTGTGTGTGTTCTTGTGTGTTCTTGTCAGTGTGTTAGAGGATGTGTGTGGGCAGCTGCTGATTGATTTGAGCTCAAACTTTCCTGATCCCTCAGTGTGTTTTTGTCTGTCAGGTGAATTCAGACGGCGCTGTGTGTTTGTTTGAACGATTGCGTGAGCAGTGAGACCCGTGTGTATGTGTTTATTCTTGTGTGTATGTGTGTTCTTACAGACCTGTTGCTGATGGGTTTCCCCTCTCAGCTCCTCTAGCAGGAGTTTTTTCTTTTTGATCTCATGAGGCTCACTGTTTTTTAACAGTGTCGCACTTGATTTTGTGCCATCACAGTTAATGTGTGTTGTGTTCTCAGAATGCAGTGACACTTCCTGGTACTTCCTCTCGCCCCCTCAGTAGTGAACGGTCAGCTCCTACACCTGTTTTGTTCTGGCTCAGAACATGACATTGCAGCTGAGATAAAAAAACCACAGACTGTGTCTGACTAGTTTGTTCATCATAGCAGAGACAGCAGAGATCAAGTGGATGTAACCTTTACAGCCATACAACACTGAGTTGCATCATCTATTTGTAAATTTAATCTTGGCATGTTGCTGGTTACTTAATGCTCAGTGTTTACAGGCCACAACCTTATCTGCATTATTGCAGCACACTAACTGGAGCCGCAGCCCCATAATGGTGTAGCTATGATTGTCTACACAGATCAGAGGAAGTCAAATCTCTCATATCATCCTTTACACCACAGGAAAATCTCCCCAGATTATATGAAAAACCATAAAAAACTGGGCTCTAAATTTGTTCAAAGTGTGTTTTTCCCTTTAGAGTCCATAATTCAGCATTTCCACAAAATTGAATGTCAATTTATCCACCAGCTGTGTCAAAAACTTGACTTTTATTAGTCAAAACCCTATCACTACAGCCTATAAAGTCTCAGACTGATCACACATGAAACCGAATCAACTGACAGAAAAGAGTCTGAAAAGGTGCACAGCCCACCTTCCTGTTGAGATTGTGGCAGAAACATAAGTTTCCATTCATGTTTTAAGTCTGTAAGCTGACATTTTAATATTATATAATGAGCATTCAGTTTGTATCATCTTTGGTGCCCCCTGTGGCAAAAACGCTATAATAAGCCTCTTTACCAATCTTGTTTTGGACATGTGCTAGCCAGACATTGGCTTTTTGTGACACTCAGATATGAAATATGTGCTGTGAGCAGGGCCAAAAAGGCTGTTTCTTCTTGCATAGATTACATCATTTTCTCTAACATCAACCCCCAGCAGCTGTTTTTGGTGATAAAAATCCAGCATAGACATTGTCTGCCTTGTTACTGGTGGTCTCATTTTTCCTGAAATAGTCTTTGAGTATAAACTTAAGTCTGTTTCCCAACCAGTGAAGAACCTCTAATGGGTGCCTTAATTTATTTGGAGAGCACATAACTCTGGATTCATGAGGCTCACTAGTCTCCAACCAAGAAAAAGAAGAAAGGAGGAAAACAGCTCAGGAACCAAAGGGGGACAAGCCACACAGTAATTAATAAAAAGTGTTTGGTTCTGGTTGTATGAGAATCATCAGGATTCAAACGATTATGATCGTCCATTCAATATAAACTAACTCAAACAAACTTCTACATAATATGACTCTAAGGTTGTGTCTGAAATGGATCCCTAACCCCTATATAGGTGACTATATAGGGGTTAGTGCCATTTTGAGGGGTGTCTGAAACCTGAGTGATCAATTCCAATGCCACATATGGGCGACTCAAAATTTCCCATAGAGCATTGCGAAATGTAGCGGCCATCCGATGGTCACTCACTGGTGTTTTGCATCCTGTCATGCATTGCGTCTCCAGTGGCAGTCTGAGCAGTGACGTCACAACGGTGCGCCATGTAGTGTCCGAAAGTGTCCGTGATAGAGCTCACTACATAGTCAGCTATGCAGTGAAACCCCATATGGGTATTAGAGGTTAGGAACTGAGTGATTCATTTCAGACACAGCCTTAATTCTAAGCAGTGCACCTTAGACTGTATATAGAATGGACACTGTCTGCCTCCTCAATGGGTGAAGCCACCGTGAGAACAGCACCCTCTGGTGACGGGCTGCAGTATAGGTCATAAATCCCACCTCCTCCAGCAAAGCGTATGGGGCTGTGGACAAACTTTAGAAATTTATTACACAGAACATATAAAATTTTTTCCCCCTGCTTGCAATGTTGACATGTAGTTGTTGTAAGACTGGTTTGTGCTCAAATCCTCTTTTTTCTGTACAGCTCCATTTTTAAAAGTTATTAGGGGGTTCATGTTTTCTATGATTGACACCTGATACAGCCTATAATTGTACGAAGATTGCATAGCTCACCTGGGGGATTCGCTGTTTGAGCATCATCACAGCGTACAATGCTACTATGCAATGTTGGTTTCAAGAAATGGAGAGAAAACACGGAATTACCAAAAGCTTTTTGGCTTCAAATCCGTAAACTGGCGGGAGGCGGAACCAAGTTTTCCATAGTATGTACAGTTTATGGTCAGGACTGAAACTTTCTGTCTTACTTTGGCTGTAGTATAAGTGTAAACCACTGCCTCAGATAAACATTACAGTTTGGGGGGTAATAAGGAGCCCTGACTCTTTGTCGCCTCTGGCCACCAGCAGGATATTGCTGCCCTGCACTGGTGTTTTTTTCTGTATACTATATATATATATATATATATATATATATATATATATATATATATATATATATATATATATATATTTTTTTTTTTTCTACTTCACCAATGAGCAGTTTGTTTTGAAATCTTTGATCACGTGACTCCTGCTGTCTGTGGTTTCTTCTGAACAGGGCTGAGAACATGAATGAGGATGTGAAAGTTTGTGAGGCAGTGAGTCTGCGCACAACTCTCAGCCAATCAGATCCAGATGCGCCTTTCTCTCTCCTCATTCTGCGTTTTAATGTGTGTGTGTGAGTGTTGCATTATGTCACCCCCCCACCCACACACACACACTTGCACCTGCACAAAGAAAAACAGTCAGCCACGAGCGGGCTCCCTCAGTCCCTCCGACCTGCAGTGAGGTGAGAATACACGGAGCCCGTAAGCCGACACACCGACACACCGACGGAGGAGGAGGAAGAGGAGAAAGAGGATGACTGAAGGAGAAAAGGTGAACCACGGGGACAGGCGCTCGCGGAGGCTGGCGGTGGTGGTCGCGGTGCAGAACGTGCTGGTCGCCGCGTGCCTGGTGGTCACTCTTTACGTTTACTGGACCGTTCAGGAGCGCGTGAGCAGCACGGTAAGTGGTATACACCTGATCTTGTGACGCTGAAGTAGGTATCTATTTATTTCTTAGACTTTAAAAAACAATGTTAATTAGAAAAAAAACTCATTCTATTTGAGAAAATAAAAGGAAGTGTGATAATTATGAGATAAGACAGGCTTTATTGTCCTGTTTGGCTTTGTTGTTGTACTCTGATACAGCATCAAAATAAAATACAGCATAGCCAAACGTCAGGAACACGTAGCCCTATAGCCTAGTTTTATCTCTTACAAAACCGTCCTCCAATAAAAAAATATGTAAAAGTGTAAAAACAGCCAAAATCGCGATGAACAGCTCAAAGTGTGGTAATGAACCCATGGGATATTTATAACATCCTTTTAACAGGATGTTCAGATCTAACAGATAAGATTGAACAACTTCAGTCTTCAATCACTTACATTTTCTAAACTAGATGAACACACTCATTTCTGTATCCTATTATATAATCATAGGCAGATAGCAGGTTTGAGCCAAGAACATTTTGGTGAGCTTTGTTTTCAGCTATAAATCAAGCTTGGGAGAAGCCAGCAGATTAGAAAACGTAATTAAGATACAAGGATAACTAATTTACTAGCCAAATATCTAACCAAAAAACTCCTGACTATGACACCCTAAACACCCAAAAATAAAAGGGCTAAGAACAAGGAAACACTCTTTATAACCTAATAATCTGTCTAGTTTGTCCATAAAAGGATCAACATATCTGCTTGATCACCATGATAAGCTATATCTGTGTTGCCAGAAGCACAGATATGAATACATAGATATAAAACATGCCCCTATGAGCTGCGTGCCTATGGCGAGGCTAAGCTAGTGGGGGCATTGTTCCCATTAAAGGCAATGCATGTACATTAAAAATAAATCACAACTTGCTCATTTCTTTAGTTCTGGATCAGAACCTGGTTCTCTTAACCTTAAAACCGCTGAATTAGAAGCTGCAAATGCCACCTAACCCTAACCCTAAACCTTTACTATAGTTTGTTATTTAAGTTTAAATCACAGAAAAGGTACCTGTCTGAAACCCTTTAACTGTTTTTCAGGTTTAGTGTACCTGCACGAAAGGTTCTGATCTGCATGTGTAAACATACATTAGACTTTGGATGAAAGCTGGTTCAGACTCGTTAAACAGAGCTTTAGTGGATGTAATATTTGTCTGATATTCAGACTTCACATGAGTAGTCTGATTCTGATGGAGCAACTATTTGGTCATTTCAGAATGACAGGGTGACACGAAACATGTTTCACTGTGATAACATGAAACTAAAACTCAGTGATCTCACATTTTCTCACTTCTTAAATGACACGATTATTCTCCAACACCATCAGAGACATTTAACCTCTGAATCTGAAGCACAAACAAAGGGCATGTGTCTTAGTCATTATTTTCATTGTATTCCACCTGAGCACTTGTGGCCTTGTTCGAATTGCACTCATGCATTGTGAAAATACATAATGGAGACTTTCCTCATCAGCTCGAATACTTATTTTTAATTTGACTGAGAAACTTTCACTAATGTTAGGATTATTACTTGGCGAGGAGGATCTGTACTCTACTTGAGGTGATCAAGCTCATAACTTTGGCCAGTAACATTGTTGTGCATGGACCAAAGACAGAAGAAAAGCAGATATTCAGAATTATTTGACATATGATTTGATACGAAGATATGGAATATATGATTATACAGTCTATTTTTTCTTTGACTTTTCATCTAAGTGTTCATTATTCAGCATTTCCACAAAACTGAATGTTGATTTATCACCCAGCTGTGTCAAAACTTGACTCTGATTGGTCAAAACCCCATCAACACAGTCTATTAAGTCTCAGACTGATCACACATATGAACTCAAATCAATCTGCAGAGAGGAGGCTGGCACATCTTACCTCTGCCTGTTGACACTATGGCAAAACATCAGTTTCCATTAGCAATTTTAAACAAACACATTTTAATATCATATTTAAAGCTCCTGTGAGAAGCCTTCAGTTTGTGTCATCTTTGGCACATGTGTGGACCAAAACGGTAATCAGATCTCTTTGCTGTCTGACACTTAAAATTTGTAAATCTATTTATATATCTATATCTATGTATATCTATTGTGAGAGGAGTCGAAAAAGACTGTTTGTCACCAACCTGATAAGTTGTTATAACACCCATCCCAGCAGCTGTTCCAAATTGTGAGTCATATTGCTGACTGTTGCATTGAACCTAAAATGTCATGACAAGGCATTAGCAACTGTTTGGGTCTGTTTCCTATCCAGTCAATACCTCCAACAGGGGTCTTAATGTATTTGGAGATTACATAACTCGAGGTTAGACTCATGACTGGAAAATCAAAGAGGTGAGGAGGGAAAAAGCACAGAAGCCAGAGAGGATGTGAAGGGGCTGTTCACAATGGTGATACCGTCAATGGAAAGCAGTCTATTCCTCTACACAGAAATAACGTCTGGACGGCTGGAAATACAAGCTTAGAAACTAGGTGAAATGATAAGAGGTCACAGCCTCACATGAATACTACATTTGTGTTTTATTCGCTACTTCATTGAAGAACGCCAACATGCACAGGGGCATCGTGTTCTCCAGGGATATTTTATTCATAGTTTATACCCTCACCTACACTTTCAGTCATTTTTGCAGATCTGTAAGGGCCAAGGTTGTTCTCTAAATGTTGTAAATAAAAATTGTTGAAAATCACTAGGAAAGACTCTCCTGTTTTAAATGAAGCCTTAAAGAAATGAGGAAGAAAAAAGCCTTCTACCAAAGTGAAGAAAACGGATATAAGACAAACAAGTTCTACTTCAGCTGGGTTAAAGGACTTACTTACTTACTTACTTAAGCGTAAAGAAAATAGGAAATGACTTTGAGAGGAGCTAGGAGACTTTAAATTTGGTGCTGCAGTCAACTGAAGCACCAATTTCCAAATGCTTACAGAAAATAGACTTAAAACTCCTGAGAGGAACTTTCAGTTGCATCACTTTTGGAGCCAAAGAGGTCTCCTTGTCCTACATGCATGAGTGGTGACTGACAAAAAAACCCCTCATCCTTCTGACTTTTGACAGTGAAATTTATTATCAATTGTGAAAATTTTCTGTGAAAATGGTTCACCCAACATTTTTATGCATTCAACGTTTGGATAAAAATTGCCAGTAATGTGGCTGATGGTCTTGTTTGCTTCTGGTTATCGTGGAAAGGAATCAATAGGAATTTTTGTCTGATTTAAGATCCTCCACAAAATTCCCATAGGAGCTTTAATTAGGAGTGAAAATGTTCAGCTGAACTTCAATTCAACCATGGAGTCAGATTTCTTAAACCAAGGCACCACAGGTGTGGTTAACTTTACGGGCTTACCCCAGACCAAGGAGGTTTATCACCAACAGTCACATCTACGTTAACTATTGCAAAAGAACACAAAAAATGTCTTGTTCTTGGACAGAGAACTTAATATTGTGATAAAATTTAGATCTGCAGAATTTTAGAGATTTAAAAGATATGTTTGACTGAAGTCACCAACCAAAGTACCTGCTAAAGAAAGTGAAATGCTACTAGCTACTAGCAACACAATCTGAGGCAAACAAATGAAGCAAACACCCAATCAAAGTCAGAATATCAGGGTGGCTAATCAGATCAAAGGGGCACCACTGAATTCAACCCACAAGTAGGCTGGGTAGAATTTGTTATTGTTAGCAGAGTAGTAACTTGGGCAATGTATAGTAAGTAGGTTGTCGAAGCAAATTGGAACCCCAATGGGACAAGTCCAGACAAGACTTACTCACTGTACAACACTGAGAAGGTTTCAGTCTTTTTGAAGTTTCCATGTTTTAGTCATCTATGAAAAGCATCTTCAATGCCAGAGCTGCTGGTGACTGAGCTGAAAACTTTTGAAAACTGTGACAAAGCTGCAGGGACTAGATGTGAAACACCCTCCAAGAGAGAAAGAGAGAGTGAGGCGTTTATTTAATGTAGAGTTTGATCAAAGTTGAGAGGTGACACAGTTTGACAGAAAACAGAATTTGTTCAGGAATCCAGTGACCTGGATGACTGATTATCTGTAAGACTGAATGACTCATGTTTTTTACACCAAGGCCGAGATGGTGCTCTGACTTTTGTTATCAATCATCTAAATATAAAACTTTCCCTCCTTTCTGTTATTAAACCACAGCATCTCACAAATAGTTTCCCAATGAGAAACACGAGGGCATCTGAGTCGAGTGACCTTTTAAAACACCCACTGCAGATTTATAGATTTATACCATCAGAGTCAGACTGATGGTTAGAAACCAACACCGAAACATATGGACGACTGTCCGTAGTTAGTCTAACTTAAAACATGCTGAGCTGAGCGTCTTACTTTACATGAAATAAAGCTTCTTTACACTGATCCCATGCCTCAGAAAAAGGTGGCAAGCTAAACCACAGCAACACAGCTAAAGAAGCACCATGTAACAAAGCTATTTCCTGTTACATTAAATCACTTTGAATCAAACTGTTTTTATGTCTGTATTTTTGACCATTCTGTACAACATTTGATAGCTATATCTAGAACCCTGATCCCCAAACCGTTGGTATTGCTAATAAAAACCATTTAAGGTCATTGTGAAAACTTATATGGCTCAAAGTAACTTGTCAAATGTCAAAATTGAAAGTTTTACAGGATTTTTGGGAAGAGAAAGGCTTGTTTTTAATTTGTTTCTAATGTTTTGTCTCCACAGCACTGCATTGATATAAGTATTAAGATTCTAAAAAGGCAGAGCAAAAAGCTGAGATGTGTGGTATCCCCCTTCAAAACAACATTATGAGGCTAATCACAGACCAACTCTGTAGTTAGTTAAAGGACAATGAGTCATGTTACTGTCAGAGAAAAGAAATAAATGAAGAGTTGTTGTCACAACATCTCCTGATAGTTGGCTCTTGCCATTTAGAGGAAACATTAACAGGATCTCTAAAAGCAGCACTAACTGAGATTATTTAGGCTTCATATTTCTGTAGACTAATGTAACTTTACCTGTCCAACAGGCAACTGACAGCTTCAACATTGATCTTCAAACATAAATGCGATACCAGGGTTTTAATCTATGAAAGGAAACACTGATCTTAACTCATATTTTCTGCCATCACCTGTCCTGATCTTGTTTTACTTCCTTATATTTTTGTTTTTGGACGTAATCTCAAACTCACTCTAACTCATGTCCCAGAAATGCATGAAAATTGTGATCCTCCATTTATCAGGTTTTTATGGAGGTGCAACACAGCAGTGTCTGGAGTGAGTACTTTTTTAAAGTCATAAAACGATTGCGATATTCCATTCATTATAAACTCATTTAAACATATTCTGCAGTATGAAGTCCATTTCTTTAGGAAAATGGTGATAAATTCCACACAATGTACAGTACCTTCAAACACAAATAAACTAAATTAGGGAAAACCCCCAGTAAATATAGGGAACATGACACATGCGTAGAGTATGCATTTTGCAAATGAAATGACTGAAGAGATCAGATTGAACCTGCACGTCATTAGCCAAATGCCCGTTTACGTTGAATTCCTACAGTGATGCAGACCTTTCCTCTCTAAAAAACACAAAACAGGTAATTATTGCTTACTGGGGTTGAAACAAGGTGAGAAAACCTCTCAAATAACATCTCACCTGTTGATTCTTCAGTTTATTACCATAGGATTGCATGTGCGTTACACCGTTTAAAGGGGTAAGGTGCTGCAAACTTGCAAAATTTTCCCAGAGCAAAGAGCGCACTAAAACCTTTCAACCTGACGCATATGTTTTGTTCATGTCCAAAACTGACCAACTTTTCATTTTTGTTTTGGAAAATGAAGATCTGTTTGTCTTCGCACAAAGCAATATTTGGCAGACCTCCTACTGCATTGCCTCTCAGTCTATCGTTATTCTTTCTGCTTGTCTTTAATGTCTCGGGATAGAGATGTTTCTGGTAACACTTTGCTGTTGAGAAATAAAATGTTGTTGTTTTGGAGTTTTTGACCAATCAGAATCAAGTATTTAACCCAACTGGGTCATTAAGTCAATGTTTTAAAGGTGCTTCTATTTCTTATATCAACATCCTGTTTATGTTCATTTTTGAAATATCATTGTCTCATGAAGAGCTATTCAAGTTTGATTGACAGACTGATGATATTAGTATAACTTTTGTGTGTGTGTTTTCTGTCAGCAGGCTGCAGGAGGAGACATTCACATCCAGGTTGAAGCTGTTCCAGGTGTGTAAATCTTTATTTTACTGTCTTTTATCTGCTTAACTTAGATTTTCAAGGAGTAAGCTCAGACTTTGTTTGTTTGGACACCCATTTTTCATGCATGTGCCTGTGTGTGCAGATATTACTCGTAACAGCACCCTGCAGCTGGCCCACATTTACAGCAACTTCAAGATGGATTTGCTGGATGGCAGGAGGATCTACACAAGCTGTACTGGATCTTACCTGCTGCACCTGCACACATGTTATACAAGCCTGAAACTGGGGGAAAGCAGAGTTGCTGAGCTGCAGCTGCAGGCGAGAAAGGATGAAGAACCGCTTAGCTCCTTCTTCCTGAACACTACACATGAGGTCTGCAGGGGGCTCCACAGGATCACCTACCTCAGGGCCAAGCAGAATGTCAGTCTGCATCTTTTCCTCTCAGACGGCTTCAAGCTCAAGAACATGACCGTGGACCTGAGCTTCCTTCAGGGGGGGCGCTGTGAGCCCTGATGGCGGGGGTTACCTGTGAGCCAGCAAACACATCTGAGTAGGACACAAAGTAGGAGCAGGACTGTACTGACTGTGCCTTCTTTCAGTTAGAGAAAATGAAGAGACCTCATTTCTTTTTCTTGGTGCTACTTCTGAATTCTTTTATCAATACAAAAACAAAAATCTAAAACTTGAAAATGACCACGAGGAGGAATCAGAGGAATCAGCCCCTAACAAACACCACTCTTTCTGCACGATGTTTGTCTTTAGTTTCCAAACTGTTTCAGAGGAAACTGAAACTGACTTTTTTTTTGTTGATGAATCAGTTGTTGGTGGTGTGATTGGCTTGACAAACTTTAGATACCTATTACCATTCCCCTGGGCCCAAGGTCAGATATTTTCAAGTATAAGTCAGGGCACAAATCTGAAACCCAAAGGTGTCCTGCATCTTTAAAAGCTCTTTACGTCTTGGCTAGTAATTGAAAACCATTTTAAATGATAGAAGATACTTCTGAATCATTCAGGATGCTCTTCAGAAAGAAACACTTTAAGTTTAGTGGGAAGTTAGAGTAAGTTTGAGCAGAAAAGAAGTATCTTTTAATAATGTGTCACTGTTTCTATTAGTGTGCCTCAGGTAGACTAAGCAGCAATGACTCACTGATATTTTAATTATTTGTTTTATACCCCAAAAGCTGTGAGCCTTTACAGACAAGGGTGTTTACAGATTTTTCATGGAGCTACATTTCCAAAAGGCTGCAAACAAATGCCAAATGTTAGACCCATTTTTTGTCTTAACATTAGCAACCATTTCATACAACGTGCTAACTTAGCTTTTCTTTTGGCAGGTCTTAAAAACAAGGAGACACAAGTGGGATGGCTGTAGCACAAAGCTTTAACCCACTTGTGCATTTCTTTGGTGTTATGCTTGCAGGATATGCAGGATTAGAGTGAGAAAGACTTCAGGTATAACCCTTTATGATGCTCATGTGCACCCTGGTACAGGTGAACAAAAGAGGCAAAGAAAATGATAAGCCTATGTCTGAAAAAATATGCTAACTTGCTGTTGTTGCCCCTAAATTGGACCTTAGCTTGGATCTCAAAAAAAAGTTAACAGTAAAAGTTGGCAGACTTAAAAAGTTCATTTTTTTATTTGCAGTTAGGAACCTATTTGGGTTTTTGAATTATGTAGCCGCACAGGCGAGCAGTTAGACCTACAGTGACGAATGCTTAGTCTGAAGTTTTATCTTACATTTTGCAATTTTAGTTTTTAACTTTAAAAGTCTCTTTACTGTCAAAGTTTGTGGAAACAACGAAGAAAAAAAAAGCATTTGCATGTGTGATCACTTTGTTTTCTTATAAAGGCTGAGGTCCAAACAGAGGTCTAACTTCTAGCTTTGCTGTGTCTGAATATTGTGCTTCTAGTTACTATGGCTACAATGGCCCCTGTGGGACAGCAAGATGACTCTGCACACCTGCTGCATTCAACCTGGTCGCACACTCACTGTGTTAGACTCTGCTGCTGTTTGTACTGTAATGGAGAACTCACATGGAGGTGGCTTATGAACAAAAACTGAAACTTGTGCTGTTATTTTCTTCATATAGAGGGATGAAAAATATAAAAAGTGTAAAAACAGACCCTGATCCTTCTCACTTAAATACAACACTGTTTATTGAAGTTAAGACAGGATCTAACTGTTTGTTTCTCAAATGCAGACAGAAAACCTGCTGCTCAGAGGCTAACTGAGCTGCTGCTCACTCAGGGTTTGATTATTACTCCTTCTACGGTGCCTTTTAGTTTAAAACATCATTGACAGAGAGACTCTGTTTTTTATTTGTTTATTTTTACTGTTTAATTTTGACCTGATGAATGTAGGGTATTTTTTATTGGTGCCTTTTCCTGAATTTATCATGACATTTCTAAGTGTTGTGGCTCTGAAAGCAGCTCCACGCTGTCTGTGCTCTGAGTCAACTCCTCAGAGGAGTGGCTAACACGTTGGCATGTCTTTGGTGTTAGCTAGCAACACTACAGACAGGCATAAATACATCAGCGCTACACATCCTTCAGTGGTGTTTTCCAACATGACTGACAAATATCTTTTCTGTCAGCTAACGTATCTGACTTTTAGCCAACTTATCAACATGCCTGTAGTGTTAGCTAACATGCTAATGATATTAACTAATGTTAAAATCACAAATCTTCTGTGTTAGCTGGCACGTGTCTCATGTGATAGCTAAAGTGCCAGCCACAGTTTTATTTTTCAGATAACAGGAGAAATGACAATTTTCAATAAATGTTTTAAAGCATGCAAGACTTATGCTTTTGTTTAAGCTAGCATGAAAGCTAAGAACCACAGTGGACATATCAGTGTAACTAGGTATCTGTCTCTAATGTTTGCTAATAGTTCATATCTTTTGTAAAACAGAGATTATTTGTAATGAATGACAGATGTAAGAGCAAGTTTCAGTATAATTGTATAATTTTGTGTCAATAATGAAGCTAAATAATTGACTAATTTATGAAAAAGGGATGGCAGAAGATACAGTTCTTTGTCCTTCTGGAGTCTGTAAACCAAATTATTATTGCTTTCTTTTTTTTTGCATGTATTCTTATGTCTCCATAATAGTGTTATTACCTTTTTTGTATCTAAATGCAAATAAATATCTCAGTTCAATTCAAAATGCTTGCTGAATATCTGCTGTTAGCGTACAAGTTAGCTCCATATCCTGGGTGATATCTGACATTAGAAAGATTTCAGTGGTGCTAGCTTTCTTTTTGCAAGTTGTCTGTGTCATTGCAAAGCACCACACATCAGAAGAACAGGTCGTGTGATCTGAGCCTGTAGGGAAAGCAACCATAGACAAAGTTGGTCATGTGATCACACATTTTCTATTTTACTTAGCCTGTGCTGTTGAGATTAACATGGAATAAAAGTATGCTTATTAGTTTATAAAACTGCTTTTTACTGTTCAGAGAGAGTATTTAATGTTTAAGGAGTCGTGGTTTGACACCCTGCCATTGGCACGATGCTAGTTTTGATTTCTTGTCTCTACCTGTTTATTGTGTTTGTAGATCTATAAATAAACAGATGATGCCTTAAGTTTCCAATGAATGGAAGATCATATTCCTGTACATGGACAGAAACCAGTAAATCTACCTGTAGCTCTACAGGAGAGGCTAATTTAATACCGATGGTGGCCAACAAGGGCTAACAATCTGCAACAGACTGAACAATCTTCATTAGAAGAAGTGTGCTGCAAATGCATAAATGACACAACTTCAAAAACACATGCAAAAGACCAAAACAAACACAGTGGTTTAAATATGTTACAAATGGAACCAACAGTGTTAAAATGGTTAGATTCATGCTAATAAATTAACAGCTTTGTATCAATGATAAAAATGGAGAGACAGATGAATGTAGTTAAAGCAGCTGGAAAAAACGTCTGCAGCAGTGATCCAGGGAACCTAAAGGATGAAGGAGCGCAGGGATTTCCTGAAAAGAACTATCTGTTGCCCCTCATCTTTTGCTGTTACTGTACAAAAGCATTATCCAACCCATTCTGTTGTACTGCTCACCATGTTACTTTACCATACTGTCCATGCTAAATAGAAACAAACTATACAATATCACCCGTATTGCTTCCAAGGTCATCGGACTTCCCACACCCACCCTTGCTGATCTGAACAATAAGGCCATCACCCACTTGGCACTCTCAATAATAAGCGACAATGAGCATCCTCTGCATCGTCACTTTGACCTCATGCCATCAGGCCGCAGATACAGATTACCCAGGTAGAAGAGGGTTCAGTTCAGTTAGAGTTTCATCCCAACAGCCATCACCACAGTAAACAAGCTTAAACTGCCTCACCACTAGGATGGTCTCTGTGTATTCTGGGGGGGGGTCTCATGGCCTGTCCTTGTAATATGTTTTGTGTCATATGGTATGTGTTGTCTGTACTCCTGTTTTGTGTTAGAATAAGACCTGTGAAAGCAAATTTCCCCCTGGGGACAACAAAGATTATTATTAAGTCTGTGGTTAGTGACCTAAATGAGGCACAATAATTTAAAGGTAATGGCACAGACAGATAGAGGGTAGATAAGGGGTGAAAGGCGCTGAGTTTGCCAGTTATTCCAGCAGTCTAAGCCTATAGCAGCATAGTTAAGAGCTGGCCCAGGCCTGAACCAGCTCTAAGAGCTCGATCAAAAAGGAAAGTGTTGGGCCCACTCTTAAAAGCACAGATGGTCTCTGCTCCAAAATAAACCATTTTTGAATAGATTTTAGAAGTAAAATGATTAGTCTTAAGGATGAACTATATGCTGAAATATGTGTGGCAATTGTAGTTGATACATGACTAAAAAATATGCTTCAAGTGAAAACTGGCTCACATCACCTTGATCTCCTTTAATTGTGGTGTTGTTGAAGACTTGAACAGACACCTGTGGTTTTTGTACATTTTGGTGAGCCTTTATGTCTGTGATGAAAAGGAGCTTGTACGTCAGTGCACACACATTTCCCCCTAAGGTTAATATGTTGTTTCAGCCTACACTGTTGCAACCAGTCTGCGGTTTAAGCTAACATGCAACCTACACACAAATACACAAATAATGCAAATGTGTCACTTGTTAGTGTTTCATACACTGAGTGATGTAATGTAAAGGGGGCTGTTAATTAGACTGTGAGTAAAGCTTCTGTATCTTATTTTAAATCTTGTTAAAATGATGAGTAATAATGATGGTAAAGTGAGCTGTGAGGCACATTTTCTGCATTTGTAATACTCTGAAGTTTATGATTTGGTATCTTTTCAGTTTCATTTTGTTGAAACTCAATGATGACATTTTTCCAAACTGTCACTCTCACACTGAGCTCCTAACTGTAAACAGAAGAAACAATAGATTGTTAAAGGCCTGTGAAATGAGTTCAAACTGCCTCAGCAAAAGTTTCATGAATATTGATTAAGGACTTGGAAACTTTTTTTCTCAGGATATAAATATAACTTCCTGCTGTGAGCTCTAACCACGCTCAGGAATGAAACTGTTATAAAAAGTTTCCATGCAGTGATAAGCTTCTGATCTTTGTTTTCACTGCTCTGTTTCCATTTCTCTCTCACACACTCTCTCTCTCAGTAGTTTCGTCATTGGTCTGCTCTGTAAACACCGTTTAACCAAAAGTGAAAGTTCAGTGAAGCTCGCTGACGTTGCAACCTGACGCAACTCTGCCGCTCTGTAGGATTTCTCAGCCTGTACAGGAGAGAGTCACAGACTGATGGTGCAGTTTCAGACTCACCTTCAGGTGTGTTTCCTTAATAAAGAAGTTTCATCCTCTTTTATTAATCCTGAATGCAATGATCTGCTTTCTT